TAGGGTTTTTTTTATATATACAAAAAGCAACGCTGAATATTCAGATTGCTGTGAATATTTCAATCTGCACTCATTTCATGTCAAGCAGTGCTTGCCATTGTTGATGTTTCCTTTGCAGAATGATGCAGGCCATTTGTTGAGCGTCAGGATTTACTTGCAACAGGACATGGCATGCATAGTTGATGTAGCTTTGATTTCCTGTGTGCTAAAATGTTTTGTTTTCTCAGCATGCCAAACATAATACGAGACTGGAACAACTCCAAGAAATGTTTCTTGTTCTTTGAAAGACGCTCGTACTTGAAATGGATCTTTCCCTTTTTTCTGGAAGACTTTATTAAGTGTCCTTGAAGGTAACATTATGTACATTGTATTCTGGATAGTTCAGCTGGAACAAGACATTGCTTTGGAAGATGCATTCCAGGAGAACTTTTAAGATGGCATGAATTTCATGTAACAAATGTGATAAATTTACTGTTGCGGCTGTGCGCTCTGTGTTTGGCAAGTGCTTAACTGCTTGAACTTAACCACTATATGGTTGCCGTGTGAGCCCTCTTTAGCTATTACAGCCATGAATGGGCAACCCAAAAGTTCTATGGGCGCATGCCTTTAGCCTTCCCTTAGCATCATGCAGCTCCATCCCAGTGCTCAACAGAGAACATTTTCTACTTAGTGGAGTCCACCCCCATGCAATTCAGGACCATCATCTTCAATTGTTGTGCCTAGGCTTTGAATGTCGTACCAAGGAAGAATGGTTTGCTCCTTTGTTGGCCTACAACAGCATTAAGGCTTTCCAGTTTGGGAAGACATTGGCCATTACTGGCCATTTTGTTATTGCTTGCCTGTCATAATTATACATGTTGTTGTTGTTTTCTTTTTTTACTCCTACGGTTTTTAATTGTTTTATTGCTAGCTTATTTCTCTGCTTTTCCTTTTCTGCTTTCTTCTTCTTCTTCTTCTTCTTCTTCTTCTTCTTCTTCTTCTTCTTCTTCTTCACCACTGCCTTGAATTATATTAGAAAGGTGGGGTTAAAATAAATGTTTAAAACAGGCAATGAAATAAACAGATGCAGAGGGTAGCCCTTCTCTGTGCAGGGTGCTTTGGCCCACAGGAGCTGTAGATTTTCCAAATTCGTTTATTTCTCACAGCACAATACCCTGTGGAGAGGAACCATACCTCAACGAGGGAGCATGTGCATGCAGAGAATCCCAGGTTTAACTCTTGTTATCTTTAGGTAAAAAAGTCAGGTAGCAGCTGATGAAAAAGGCTGCTGTGTCTGAGATCCTGGAGAGTTGTTGCCTGCCAGAAGAGAGAGCAACTGATGGAGAGAAAAGTGATGTTGCTGCACTTGAGTACTGCTTGCCAACTTGCCACAAACATCTGGTTGCCTACTGTGAAAACAGGAAGCTAGACTAGATGTGCCACTGGCTTGATCCAGCAGGTTCTTCTTCGGTTCTTCGGTCCCTCTGTTCTTGGTATTCTCTCAGAGCACATTAAATACTTCCTGAAACATATGGAATCACTTTTGTACCAATGTACTCCCAGATGCATAGGGTTAAGAGGTTTACCAGAGTGGTCTTCTCAAAACAGAAAGATCTGGACGATCTGCCTCCGGAAATAGGACATGGGCTGTCGCTATTTTGTATGTAAGACTCAATCACATACTGGTTGTGCGCTTAAGGCAGACTTGGCTCTCATGTGCAACAAACCCACTTTGAAAAATAACACACTTTTCCAGTAAGGACAGTAATGGCAAAGTGCACTGGAAAGCATGGGATAACAATGAGGACATCATGATTTATTCAATTATTTACCTTCTCTGCAACCCACTTTTTTCTACAATCAAGCCATATATGAATTTTATGGAATGAAATATGAACTCCCCACAAACAAATCAGAACAAATGCTCAAAAAACAGGACGTCATTCCCGTAGTTCCCAGCTGACTTGCTTTTGGCCCAGAGAGAGCACCCCGGCAAAACTGTGTATGGCGTCAGCAGCACAATCCATTGCTTTCAAGGGATTTAGCTCTGCGACTCATCTCTTACTGGATTGTGCCCCATTTTTATCTCAATGGGAGCGAAAGAGTTCATCGCTGGGATGTAAGCAAAGCGATACCATTTTCATAAACAAAGCTTAACATCTTCCACTGCCTCTGCTGATTCATCCGAGCCAGCGATTATTTCTGGAGAAACGCAGGGAAGCGGATATCTGAAAATGGTTAAAGATATAGATAGTCATGGCCTTATAAAGTAGTTGTTGCTAAGCGGGAAGCAGATGAAATTTGTGTGTGTTGGGGGCGGGGCATTTTTGGGTTAATGCCTCCTATTTGTTTGCCTCAACTGTAAGTTGAACTCTGTTATTAAACAGCTGTACATCTTGCAAATTCTGAGTTAGCTTGGCTTACAAGGGAAATGAAGTGCTGAAACTCTGTTTACTTTAGAGAAACATTAATTTATTATGAGCCTAAGTAAAGGAAAGGAGATGAAAAGGAAGCATAGTTATGGTTCCCATTTATAGTTAATAGCATTGTATTGCAATTTTTGATGTTTCAAGTCCTTGTCATCTTACATAGGTAAAGGACCCCTGGATGGTTAAGTCCAGTCAAAGGCAACAATGGGGTTGCTCATCTCACTTTCAGGCCGAGGGAGCTGGTGTTTGTCCACAGACAGCTTTCTGGGTCATGTGGCCAGCATGACTAAACTATTTCTGGCACAATGGAACACCATGACAGAAACCAGAGCGCACAGAAATGCTGTTTACCTTCCCGCCATAGCGGTACCTATTTATCTACTTGCTCTGGCGTGCTTTTGAACTGCTAGGCTGGCAGGAGCTGGGACAGAGCAACGGAAGCTCACCCCATCACAGGGTTTGAACCACCAACCTTCTGATCGGCAAGCCCAAGAGGCTCAGTGGTTTAGACCACAGCGCCACCTGCATCTTACATAGCCCAGACCCCACCAAACACATCATCTTCTTAAAGTCAATGGACTACTAATTATAAGGGATATCAGCTAACTAGCCTCTAACTTCTGTAAGTTCACCTTTAAAAGACTGTGGTATCATGGAGTTGTGAGGTTTTCTAAGTGCTCAGGGCGAATGTGGCAAAAGCAGAATACAATCAGTGCAGTTTCTTGATGGAAGTATAAGATGTGTCAAGAATATCGCTGGATTTTGGGGGTAAGACCTTGCACACATATTTGCCATGTGGAACAATTTAAAACAATTGCTAGGTAACTGCTTATTTGTGTGCATTAGTCTTAAACTTATTGAATTCCACGACAGACTTCTGCTCATTTCAAGGCTGACATGACAAAACAGAAGAAGTAAAAATAGCATGTGTGTCTAAACACAAGCTGACAAATCATTTGCCCAGAAGGGATCTGACCACGACAGGAAATGAGTACACAAAGTTTACTCTGCACCAGTTCTTGGGTAACGCTTTCTTCTATGGGAGTGCGTTTTGAATGATTCCTGTGGGAATCCTATGTGGAAAATGTTATGTGTGAACTGAAAGTCAACAGGATTTTATGTCATACAAAAGAGTTTATGCCTCGCAGAATCAGTTATGTCTCATGAATGTGCTGGAAAAGTATTGTGTAGAGTTGTATAGAGTAAGGTTACCAGATTTTTTTTCAATGAACCCAGGGACACTTTAAATAAATAAATAAATAAATAAATAAATAAATCACGTTGATGCTGCAGCGATGGCGGCGGCAGAGGGGCGGCCACCACCTTGACCTCAACTACCATGTTTCCCCTTCCTCCCAGGCTTCTGTCTCCTTTCTCCATGAGCCTAGGCAGCCCTGAATTGTTGGTTCTTCGGTGGTGGTGGTGGTGAGGGGTGGGGAAGTGGTGCAGTGGGTCAGGCATGGAAGACGGAGAAGGAGGGCTGAGAGTGGTGGCGAGGCTCGGGCAGCGCAATGCCCCCTTCCCATCGGAGCAGCCCCAATCCCATTCCTACTTTCGTGCAAGCAGGAAGGGGCGGGGAATCCTCAGATGGGAAGGGAGGCTTCCCGTTGCCTAACTGAGAGATCCCTGCCCCCTCCTGACAAATTACAGGCAAGCTGGTCCAGGGGTTTTGTGCTTGGCACCTTAAAATTTTGTTGTTGTGTGTTGTATTTTACGCCTATACTTCACAAGTGTGGGAAATTGCATTCTAATATAGCATGTGTAGCGCTAGTCAATGCATGAAGGGGTTAAGACCATAGAATTGTATTCCTAGACTCAGCTAGGTCACACCCCTCACCTGGAAGGAAGTTAAGTCTCCTCCTTTGTGTCCTCTCTTTCTTCATGTGAACTCACCAAGATAGGACATGCCCAAGTTTGATCACTACAAGCCAAGGCCACACTCTTAGAACTATTTCGTTATATTTTGTACCCCAAGGTTTCTGCTTGTGTTTACTTGCTCCTGCATGGATAAATGTATGAATTTGATTTTTTAAAACTTACTAAGGCATGCCATCTGTTCGGAGAGGTAGAAAAGAGGATGCTCTGTTAGCAGACTAAATGGGATATTAAAAGGTTTAACAGTATCAATCCCCACACTAGACTCAAAAACCAGGCAAGATATCCTTTTCCAGTCAGGTCAGGAGATTTAGGTCAGGTCAGGGGATGTCGGCAGACCTGGGTGAGTTTATACCCAGCATGAGAGAGTTGCATCCAAGCACCTACCTCAGTGGGAGGAAGTCAAGCAAAGTAGTATTGTAGCCATTAGCTTCAAATGCAAACTGAATCAAATTGCTCTCCCATAGCTCCCCAGGAGCTACACTGCCAGTGCATCCGGACAGTTTCCAGCATCATCCCACTCAAGCACATTGTTTATGTAAAAATAATCCCTCAGGGACCTCACTCTGCTGTTTGTGAAGTCATAGACACCATGGAAAAAGGAACAAAGTCTGCCTACACCCCATTGCGAGTTGGGTCAAGCTGGTTGTCCACAAGATTATGAAAGAATAACCTGAGAAACTGTGAAAGAAGCATTGGCCGTAGTAGCAGGAAGAGAATATCTGTGGGCAGTGGCTAGCCAAAAGTAACTAGAAAGCCCCTGGATACAAAAAGGTGGGTGTGAGTTCTGCTTTTGTCTACCTTAAGAACTGAACTGTCAAATACCACTTTACTGCTGTCCAGTTGTATTTATTACTGGAACTCATTTTTAATGTATTTATTACTCCTCCTGTATATGGTCTTGTGATTGATTCAGTATGCTGGATGCAACTGCTATGTGAAACCATGACTGCACATTCCAACACTTGGATGCCTGGAGAGCTCAGTTGGTGCTGATAATGTCCTTTGGGGGGGTATTTTCTAATATGTATAGCCCACCCTGAGCATTTTTATTTTTTTTACAATGGAAAGGTGAGACAAAGGTGACAAATACTGTACTCTTAAATAAAATATATCAGGAATGGGGAACCTGTGGTCCTCCAAGCAGCCTCAGAAACAATGACCAATAGTCAGGGGTGGTGGAAATATTTGGAGAGCCTTTTAACATTAAGCATGCTTTGAAGAAGGGCAGGAAGTATGCACAATGATAGGCATCCTCTTTTTCAAGAAAAAGCAACCATGGCTGTGGTCCCAATTCAGATTTTAAAGATTAGGAGTGGGTGCATCAGGAAGAGGATTTCTTTGCTTTCTACAACAGCATCCAGCAGAATATCTACCTCCAGCTGCTTTTTGCCCTCGTAGGTGCTGTTAGCAGTAAACAGCATCTTTGGAAGGAAATAGCAGCTGGGGAGGGGCAATTTCTGCCTGGAAACTGGTGTAAGGAAAGGGTTAACTATCCACCCCCGTATTTACTGAGATCCTGGTTTGTGACATTTGGTTTAGTCCTTGGTTTCCTGAAAGAAGATGTGGTTATGTGCAGTATATAAACAAACTGATATTTAGAGGAAACTATTCCGTTTGTTTTAAAACACTTGGATTAATTTATGAATTATGACTTTGGGGCTTAGGGAATGCTTTTGAAGTCCAACAATAATCAGTGGGGGGGGAAGGTTCTGCAAGCTTCCTCTGGGTCATTGGGACTTTCCATAATTGAAGACGAAGGTTGGATTTTGCTTCATACAGAGGGGCTGAATGTTTTGGGGAGCCAGGATACTATCCATGAGTAGTATTTGATCCTGAGCTGCAAGGTGGCTTCTCATACCCCGGAGCTTAATTGCAGTACAATCCCAACCACATCTGCTCAGAGGTTCTATTAAATTCAATGGGCCTTACTCCCAGGTAAGTGTATTTAGAATGGATTGCCACCTTGATCAAATATTCTGGAGCAATATGCTCCATATGTAAGAAGCCTTGGTTTAATGCAGGGATGTAGTGTGGAAATGTTAAGGATAGTAGGAAAGGATATATTGAATAAGTACAGTGGTACCTCAGGTTAAGAGCTTAATTTGTTCCAGAGGTCCGTTCTTAACCTGAAACTGTTCTTAACCTGAAGCACCACTTTAGCTAATGGGGCCTCCTGCTGCCGCTGTGCCGCCAGAGCATGATTTATGTTCTCATCCTGAAGCAAAGTTCTTAACCCAAGGTACTATTTCTGGGTTAGCGGAGTCTGTAACCTGAAGCGTATGTAACCTGAAGCGTCTGTAACCTGAGGTACCACTGTATTACCCTTCTTCCACTCACACTAGTAAGTGATGTAGCAGAGCAGATCCCCTCAATATAGCTGGAATCTAGTTTGCAGATTCGTTTGAATCTCTTAGTTAAGATTATTTCCTGGAGTCCCCTTTTATCCCTCCTAAGAGAATAAAGACACAAGAGTCTTTCTGAGTAAAGTAACAACAAGTTTACTCACATTTCAGATCACAATATGATCCCAGAAAGGCAGACTTTACTTGGTAGTTACACAAAGAAACAGTGTGAGTTCATCTCATAGGGAGACTGAACTCATGTGCTGCTGGCTGAGAGCCAGCAGACAGCAAAATTACATTAATATAACAAAATGGCTGCAGGGGAGCAGCATGGCAGCAAAAGAACAGCAAGTGAGTGAAAGACAAAACAGACTGAGAAAATGGCTGCATGACTCAGCTCTTTTATGGAGTCAGCCAAAGCCACGCCCATCTCCCAGGTCACATGCAAGGGAAGGATGCTCCAGTCAGCAGAACAGGAAGTTACACTGACTGAGTGTCCCCCTTGCCTATGCCCACTCTAGGAAAATAAGGAATGTTGCATTTGACTGCACCAATGGATTACATCCCACATGTGGAACCTGAGAGGTTAGTGGACTCCTGCTCCTATCAACCACAGCAACATGGCCAATGGCCAAGGATGAGGGGAGTTGTTCAGCAACCTCTGGTGAGCCCACAGTTCCCTATACCTGCTGTTGGGATTCTGATATGCAGAAGGACTTGGTGATCTTTTGGTCCTTTGAGATCAGTGATAAAATTATCTTGACCCAGAAAGGTCTGAAAGCCTTGAGTCAATCTGGACCTGACCTGTACCTGGAGTGGAGACCACCTAGAAACCTCATGCTCCAAGTTTCTAAGAGCAAGGATGGGATTTTTTAAATACTAAATTACATAGTCTAGGCATTTCTGGACGTATCTTCAGTGTTTTCTCTGAAGAGATGTGAAAGGGCTTTCTGTTTATACAAATTTCCATCACATCTCATTTAACACCCAGTGTGAGCAGTTGGTTGATGCTCTCAATTTCCTTTATAGCAGCTTTATACTACTTTGAAATTTAAACAGTCAGGAGACTTCGGCAGCAGTTTCTGGAAGACATCAGCCTGATGAGTCAATGTTTGGCATTCTCCAAGCCTCGCCAGCATTTGTAGACCCTCAGAGAAAAGGGACGCGGAGGGCAGAACAGAGACAGAAGTCTTAAGGAAAAGAGACAGATTGCTGACCTTTACAAGGGCAAATAATGAGTAAAATATTGTGTGTTTTCTCCCAAAGCAAGTCAAAGTTGAGGGATTTTGCTCTTAGGAAAGAGGGTCACTGTGTCTTTGTAGTAAAGGGGTTCAGAAAGACAAGAAATTTAGGAGTAGAAGAAGGCAAAGCAAGATAGCTGTTGAGGGGTGAGTGAATAAGGTCAATCTGGACTTAGTCTACAATCATGTGAAGCCAACTTGCAACTGCTTTCTCCTGTTTTCTGGCAGCACTTCAGTGATCAAGTTTTTGTTCCTACTAAACCAGGTTTGGCAGGCTCCATTCCTGGATGTGCTTGAACGAGATGATTTCAAGCAAAGCAGTGGTTAGGAAAAAGAACCCTCTCAGCCTTCACATTCCTCTCCCTCCTCAGATCTCTCCCTCTCTCTCACTTCCCACCCATATGTCTGTTGTAATCTTGCAGCCTTGCTGGGGGCCAAGATGGAGATGGGGAAACAACAGGCATCTGGTCGTGACAAGTGGCCCCTTAGGTTAAACATCTTAGCTTATAGCAGTTCAGCCAAAGAACAAGCTGCTTTTTCAGAGAGCTTGGTTGCCAGCAAATGGAGAGAGGACAGGCCTCTGGGGTTTTCTTTCTTGCTGACGGCCAAGAAAGGAAGGGCGCATGGCCACGTCTGCCTACCCCAGGTTTTGGGACTGCAGGGCAGTCTAGAGCAATTGCATTTTTACACACACTCACAGACAAAAAAGCTGAGACACCCCATACGTTAAAAACATGTTTAAAGCACATGACTTTCCACCAAGCATCCGGAGTGCTGGGAAATGCATCTCTGTGAGTGGTAAACTACAGTTCCCATGATTCTTTGGGGGAAGGCAGGTGCTTCAAACATGCTATAGTATAAGCACCCTGAGAGAAAGTGGAGAGAGAACAGCAAGACTATTCCATTGTCATCCTTGTAAATTATGTGCAGAGTTTGGTCCCATATTTATTCATTTTATTATTATTATTATTATTATTATTATTATTATTATTATTTATACCCCGCCCTTCTGACTGGGGCTGGGCCTCCCCAGCCACTCTGGGCAGCTCGCAACAGAACAATAAAAACACGATAAAACATCAAACATTAAAAACTTCCCTAAGCAGGGCTGACTTCAGATGTGTTCCAAAAGTCAGATAGTTATTTATCTTCTTCACATCTGAAGGGAGGGAGTTCCACAGGGCAGGTGCCACCACTGAGAAGGCCCTCTGCTTGGTTCCCTGTAACCTCACAGTGAGGGAACCATCGGAAGGCCCTCGGCACTGGACTTCAGTGTCTGGGCTGAATGACGGGGGTGGAAACACTCCTATTACATTTATATCCTGCCTCTCCTCCAAGGAGTTCAAATTATCTAGCTTCACCCAGTGTTATCCTGTGCCAGATTAAAAGGAGATAGAGCGGAAATTCAGTGGTGTGCTAAGGCGATTTATTCTTGCAGAGCCAGCATTTTGGCTTGCCAGATGGAATGATTCCTCCCTCTCCTCCCCCTGTGAGCCATTCCAGGGCTTCTCCCAACCTCCCCAGAGCCAGTTTTGAGGGGCCTGGGGATGTGGTGGAAGAAGAGACCCATTGTGCAAGTGCAAGTCCTTGCTCAGGAATTCCACTGATGGGACTCATGAGTAAAATCCCACCCAATGACTGGACCAAGGGCACTTGGTCACCTTTATGTCAGAGAGTACTCACCCTAAGATACCTCAAAGCACATGCCTAGCAACAACTTGGAGACATGTAAGGTAAAAAAGGTAAAGGATCCCTGGATGGTTAAGTCCAGTCAAAGGCGACTCTGGGGTTGCGGTGCTCATCTCGCTCTCAGGCCGAGGGAGTCAGTGTTTGTCCACAGACAGCTTTCCAGGTCATGCAGCCAACATGACTAAACTGCTTCTGGTGCAACAGGACACTGTGACAGAAACCAGAGCTCACTGAAACACTGTTCACCTTCCCACCACTGTGGTACCTATTTATCTATTTGCACGGGCATGTTTTCGAACTGCTAGGTTGGCAGAAGCTGGGACAGAGCAAAGGGAATTCACACTGTCGCAGGGATTCAAACCTCCGACCTTCTGATCGGCAAGCCCAAGAGGCTCAGTGGTTTAGACCACAGCACCACCCGCGTCCCAAATAAACAAGCACACAATCCCTGATAGGTGCACCTGCCACTGTGAGGCTCAAAGCAATGAAGATGATGCCTCCCCAGCTGTTGCCATTGGCTGTGGGTTTCTTGTGATGTCACAAAAGCACTTGGCAACTGAGTGGATATACAGGCAGGCCAAGGGGAAAGCCCTTTTCTATTTCCAGCAGGACACACCTGGCAATGGATGTGACACTCAGCACTGCCCAGGTTTCTTCCACTTGGAGGAGGCAAAGTGGTGAATGGAAGGAGTCAATCCTCTGGCAGTGGGATGCTAGGGAGCGATAATAAGGCAAGTTTGCTTGCTTGAAGGCTGCTGGTATCTGTGGTTGGAAGCTGGCGGACGTCTCATGATGGAGCTAACAGTAGCTTCTGGCACAATGGGACACCGTGACAGAAACCAGAGTGCACGGAAAAGCCCTTTGCCTCCCCTCCACAGTGGTACCTATTTATCTACTTGCAGTGGCGTGCTTTAGAACTGCTAAGTTGGCAGGAGCTGGGACAGAGTGACAGGAGCTCAACCCCGTTGTGTGGATTCAAACCGCCAACCTAGAGGCAACTTTCTTATTTTGTCTTATATGGCACCTCTGCCTGAACACACTGCCTCTCCCCAATTACTTCCTCTATTTGAGAATGACATTTGGAGGGTGGAGGAAACAGTTTGCTTGGTGTGAAAAGCAGGAGAGTGCTGTGTTTGTGACCTGCTTGCGGGTTTTCCATGGGCATCTACTTGGCCACTGTGGGAACAGAATTCTGGGCTAGATGGTCCTTTGGTATGGTTCTACAGAGTTCTCCTTATGTTATCTGTCTAGAATATAAGGCAATATCTCATATCTTCGCCCATGCTCTTCAAAAGACTAGAAGTAAATTGCAGCCCTCCCAACCTACTAGGTTCTTCTGTCCCAGTCTCCAGTATTATCTTGCATTGCCAAGCAGGTTGTATGGCAGGTTTTGGAATCCCCCCTTGGCTAATTCCCTATGCTCCTCGCACATGGAAAAATAATAATCTTAAGTTTAACCTTTAATGAGAAGGATCTGGTGACATTATAAACCCAGAACAGAAAAAAACCAAGAATGGATTTCTTCATGTCACCACAACCTCAAAGATAAAATCAAAGCTTGCTTGGATGAAATAAAAAACGAGCAAACTGCTACGGCAGAATATGTGCTGCTCCTAGAACAGATTGTCACAGAGGACCATGGGAACATCAAAATATCCTGTATCCACTGATGTCATATTAAAAAAAGCTAGTATTCAGAAGATGCCTATGCAATGAATGGAGACGGACATCAAACCGCAAGTCTTTTGGCCCCCTTGAGCTGCCCTCTCATGCAGGGGCACACAAACGCAGCCACGTCCAATGGATAGCTCAGTTGGTTAGAGTGTGGTGCAGATAATCCCCAGGTTGCAGGTTTGATCCCTGTATGGGACAGCTGCATATTCCTGCAGGTGGCTGGACCAAATGATCTTCAGGGTCCCTTCCAACTCTACAATTCTATGATGATTCTACGTACCTGACATCTTCCAGATGTTGGACTACAGTTTCCATCATTCTTTATCATTGGCCATGCTGGCTGGGGCAGATGGGAGTTGGTGTCCAACAACATCTGGTGATCACTGGTTGGGGAAAGCCAGCACATGGCAAGGGCATCATACCTGATGTTACAGGATATATTAAAAGTCAAGTACCTAATATGATGTACAGGCTTGAAATTACCTCCATGTGAGGTTTTTGGTAATCAGATACATGCCAATGCCTCTAATGAAGGCCACTGGTACAGGCCCCACAAGTTCCTGTGGAGCATGACAACACCTTTCATTTTTATGTATATAGGAAGGTATTAAAACTGAATCTGTGCCTGAAATTCCCTACCCTATTCACTCTCTCTCTCTCTCTCTCTCTCTCTCTCTGTGTGTGTGTGTGTAAAAGAGAGAGAGAGACTGAGGAAGTGTTGTGTTGTTGTTGTTTAGTCGTTTAGTCATGTCCGACTCTTCGTGACTCCATGGACCAGAGCACGCCAGGCACTCCTGTCTTCCACTGCCTCCCGCAGTTTGGTCAAACTCATGCTGGTAGCTTCGAGAACACTGTCCAGCCATCTCGTCCTCTGTTGTCCCCTTCTCCTTGTGCCCTCCATCTTTCCCAACATCAGGGTCTTTTCCAGGGAGTCTACTCTTATCATGAGGTGACCAAAGTATTGGAGCCTCAGCTTCAGGATCTGTCCTTCCAGTGAGCACTCAGGGCTGATTTCCTTAAGAATGGATAGGTTTGATCTTCTTGCAGTCCATGGGACTCTCAAGAGTCTCCTCCAGCACCATAATTCAAAAGCATCAATTCTTCGGCGATAAGCCTTCTTTATGGTCCAGCTCTCACTTCCATACATCACTACTGGGAAAACCATAGCTTTAACTATACGGACCTTTGTTGGCAAGGTGATGTCTCTGCTTTTTAAGATGCTGTCTAAGTTTGTCAGTCTAAGTTTGTCATCGCTTTTCTCCCAAGAAGCAGGGGTCTTAATTTCGTGACTGCTGTCACCATCTGCAGTGATCATGGAGCCGAAGAAAGTAAAATCTCTCACTGCCTCCATTTCTTCCCCTTCTATTTGCCAGGAGGTGATGGGACCAGTAGCCATGATCTTCGGGGGTTTTTGATGTTGAGCTTCAGACCATATTTTGCACTCTCCTCTTTCACCCTCATTAAAAGGTTATTTAATTCCTCCTCACTTTTTGCCATCAAGGTTGTGTCACCTGCATATCTGAGATTGTTCCTATTTCTTCCGGCAATCTTAATTCCAGTTTGGGATTCATCCAGCCCAGCCTTTCACGTGATGAATTCTGCATATAAATTAAATATGTAGGGAGACAATATACATCCTTGTCATACTCCTTTCCCAATTTTGAACCAATCAGTTGTTCCATATCCAGTTCTAACTGTAGCTTCTTTGTCCCACATAGAGATTTCTCAGGAGACAGATGAGGTGATCAGGCACTCCCATTTCTTTAAGAACTTGCCATAGTTTGCTGTGGTTGACATAGTCAAAGGCTTTTGATAAGTCAATGAAGCAGAAGTAGATGTCTTTCTGGAACTCTCTAGCTTTCTCCATAATCCAGCGCATGTTTGCAATTTGGTCTCTGGTTCCTCTGCCCTGTGGGGATATTTCATTCATTCATTTTTTGTCCAATAGTGGCTCATTAATGTATCTTAGAATTAAAATATATGTATATGTGATATGATTATGGAGACTTTAATTTTTACATAATTTCACACTCTCATAGGTTATTTGTGTTCGGATACCCGTTGCTGGATATTGCAAGTGAGGAGTTGGCTGGCCACTGTGAGAACACTGCGAGTTGATGGGCCTAGAGTACTGATCTTAAGTCCTGATGTTTATTTTTGGTGGCCCAAGTAATGCAAGTTGCTTATTTATCTACTTGCAGAAACAAAATTTTACTCCTTCCTCAGTCTAAATTGTGAATAACTTGCTATGCAATAAACCTAAGTAAAGCAGTATCAGAGTTGCAGGCAAGTAAATAGGCTCAACAGAAATATGGCACACTTTGCTTTGCAAACTGTATTTAGTCAGTATGGGCAATGTTTAAATAGTATTTTGCCTGACACAGAATGACTTGGAACTCATTCAAGTTGGCCTGTTAGTCATGCAGGTTAAGAGGACCTATGCAGAGTTCACATATAAAAATAAATACATATACTCAAGTATTCATATGATTACTTCAGTATGTACCCAGCTCACAAATCCTCAACCTCTGTTTTCTGCTCCAGCACTCAACCATCTTGGCAGCTTTGCGGTGTCATATTAAATGTGGCCCGAGGTGCAAGTAGCATGCCTGGTGAAACATAAACTCAGAGCCAATACATTTAACACACATCCTCATTCTTTCACTGCTAATTTGCTTGCGCAAATTGGCGTTTAGCAGGACAAAAATGGAGCAGCTTTCTACTCACGGCTTTGTGGCATTGCTTTGTTAACCTTTAGCAATAAGCCCCTGTCTTAAAGATAAGCCACAGTGAAATTTGATCTTCATTGAATAAATAAATAAATCGTTACCCTTCTGCTACGGAATTCCTTGCAAAAACTAGTTTTCCTATCATGTCCTTTGGTTTTCTGAATGTATGTCAAATGTAGCGTGGAAATGGTTTTCTCTGGCATTCTCATTGTTCTGCTGAAAAACAGATGAAGTGTTTCAGAATGCCTTTTGCTGTGGGGCCCCAGCTATATAGTCTGACATGGTTTAGCGCTGAGCTTTATTCAATTTCATGTTATGCAGAAACTCAGATGCTAAGCAGATGTGCTCATAAAAGAGAGAAGGGGGGAGTTCAACGATTTCCTATGAGAGCGGCTCAGCTCGCACAGTAAATTTGGACATTTCCAAGAGTTAATTGAAAGAATCTTGCCATGCTAGGCTTTACTTCTTTGTTTAGAATATGTTAGCAATGAATTTATGTGTGTCGTCAGCAAAGGGTCTGGTAGAGAAAAATATGAATGTGTCATCTGAGCATTTTGCTAGGGGAGACGCAAACACTGATCACCTATGACAGCAAATCCGGGGCAGATTGTTTTGAATTATAACTGGATGTAAAATGTGCAATTTCTACACTTAAGAGAATCCGTGAGAACAAAGTCTGCTGGGCTGCTCTGTCCTTTAATGCCTCTGCAGTTCCCACCAGCTGCTTTAGGGGAGTGCTGAGAAATATGACCGCATCATCCTGCCTCCATCCCTCCTGCCTCCATCCTTTCCACCAGCCAGGAAGAAGAACACAAATACCTAATATGATGTTCTCTTCTCTTTAAACATAGGAATGCAGGGAGCTGCCTGATACTTGGGAAAGCCTGAAACATTGGAGAGTAGCTGCCAGTCAATCCATACTGATCTAAATGGACCAATCATCTTACTTGATATAAAGCTGATTCCTGCATGGAACCTGTTTTCACATGTGCCTCAATCTTGCTGTATTATTATTTTATTGTTAGTTATTGAATTTACATACCGCCCTATACCCAGAGGTCTCAGGGTGGTTCACAGAAAAGATCACAATACATAAAATCAAAATAAAAACAATAACCCAATAACACCCCCCACCAAAAAAGAACCACATTTTAAAAGGGTATAGGATGTCAATCAGGTCAACCAAAGGCCTGGTTAAAAAGGAATGTTTTTGCCTGGCACCTAAGGCACCAGGCGGGCTTCCCTGGGGAGAACATTCCACAGAAGGGGAGCCACTGCAGAGTAGGCCCCGTTATTGTGTCGCCACCCTCCGGACCTTTTGAGGAGCCGGCACATGAAAAAGAGCCTCAGATGATGATCTCAGGGTCTGGGTAGGTTCATATGGTAAGAGGCGGTCCTTGAAGTATTGCGGTCCTGTATCAGGATGAGTTGGTGTAATTTGTCTGGCCCGTAGGGGAATTTATGATAAAATATATTAATGGCCAAACTAGACAATAAACCAGCTTTTCTCAACCGTGGGTCCCCAGATGATGTTGGTCTACAACCGCCCCCCCATCATCCCAAGTGAGTATTATTAATATTTTGTTGGAAGCCGCTTAGAGTGGCTGGGCAGGGTATAAATAAATTATTATTATTATTATTATTATTATTATTATTATTATTATTACAGTGGTACCTCAGGTTAAGAACTTAATTCGTTCCAGAGGTCCGTTCTTAACCTGAAACTGTTCTTAACATGAAGCACCACTTTAGCTAATGGGGCTTCCCGCTGCCACCGTGCCGCCGGAGCACGATTTCTGTTCTCATCCTGAAGCAAAGTTCTTAACCCAAGGTACTATTTCTGGGTTAGCAGAGTCTGTAACCTGAAGCATATGTAACCTGAAGTGTATGTAACCTGAGGTACCACTATATTATTATTATTATTACAGTGAGGAATGATAGGAGTGGTAGTCCAACAACATTTGGGAACCCAAGGTTGAGAACATCTGTAATACACCAGTCGCACAATTAATGCATTTTCCAGAAGAAGAAGAAAAGAAGAAGAGGAGGAGGAGGAGTTTGGACTTGATATCCCACTTTATCACTACCCGAAAGAGTCTCAAAGCGGGTAACAATCTCCTTTCCCTTCCTCCCCCACAACAAACACTCTGTGAGGTGAGTGAGGCTGAGAGACTTCAAAGAAGTATGACTAGCCCAAGGTCACCCAGCAGCTGCGTGTGGAGGAGCGGAGACGCGAACCCGGTTCCCCAGATTACGCGTCTACCACTCTTAACCACTACACCATGCTAGCTCTCTGAAATCAATAGCGAGAGCATGGGGCCTGATCCAGATCAGTACCCTGGAGGAGGTTAGGGGGCTTTAACCCTTTGCTCCTTGCTGTGGCTCGAATCCAGGTCAGATGCCCCACGAGTGCTATTTCCATTGGAAGGAAGGTTTCCATTCATGCCAATAGAAAATTTCCTTACAATATAAAAAGCAGGCGCAGGGGACTCAATGTGGATTGGGACCATAGCAAGACGGCAGAGAGTTAAACTCCTATACCCACTGTCAGATCCTGACACACCTCTGACACACTTACACACGCATGCAAAAAAACCCAACATCCGCTCAATTGCTAATTGCATGAATTGCATAATGTCTGATTGGCTCTGTAGCATCAAATCAAGCCTATACAGATGGCTTGGGCTTCTTCCTTAATCGTTTGATATGTTCAGCAAAAAATATTTTTGTGCATCCCCACATGGCAGTAGATAAAAAGCAACTGACAAAGTGCAGATGTACACATGTTGTTTTAATCCAGACCACTTGAACCGCTCGCAGACAGCACCTAACTATTTAGAAGTGTATGATTTGTAAGCAGCTTTAAAGACAATGTACACCAGATTGCAATATATGCTTGGCCACTTTCCTGTCACTAAATTACACACTACTGAATTCATGCTCTGTACTTAAACTGAGAATTATAGTGCTGTCTTACTGACCGGTGCAGGCAGAGAAGGGAGCGAGACCAGATCTCTTCAATTGTTCCATTCATGTTTTTCGGCAACAAAGATCATGTCACCCTTAGCGATTCATTATTCAATTCTATTTTTGAACTGGCAGTTTCTTAGAGAGCAGAGCGGTACAGAACAGAACAGCCAGAGAAATATTAAACTGTCTCACTGTAAACCAGAAAACAGCAGGAACACCAGAATCAGCACCAGAATCATTCGGCATTTAGAAGGTTCTACTAAGGACGTGGGTGGCACTGTGGGTTAAACCACTGAGCCTAGGGTTTGCTGATCAGAAAGTCGGTGGTTCGAATCCCCTCGATGGGGTGAGCTCCCGTTGCTCAGTCCCTGCTCCTGCCAACCTAGCAGTTCAGAAGCACACCCAAAGTGCAAGTAGATAAATAGGTACCGCTCCGGCGGGAAGGTAAACAGCATTTCTGTGCACTGCATTGGTTTGCCAGAAGCGGCTTAGTCCTGCTGGCCACATGACCCGGAAGCTGTACACCGGCTCCCTTGGCCAGTAAAGCGAGATGAGCACCGCAACCCCAGAGTCGTCCACAACTGGACCTAACAGTCAGGGGTCCCTTTACCTTTACCTTTACTCAGTGCTTGGGGTACCACAAGCCATACAGGATTGCAACTGAGTAAAGCCCCAATCCTATTCAGACTTACCTGGGTGTCAGTCCCACTGAATTCAGTAGGAGTTACTTCTGAATAGACAGGGTTAAGACTGCACTGTGATGTATTGACTGTTTTCTCCATCTCTCTCTCTCTCTCTCTCTCTCTCTCTCTCTCTCTCTATATATATATATATATATTTATAAGATATTTATTAGGATTTTCAGAATATTACAAGACAAAAAAAAGAAAAAAGAAAAAATACAAAGTAAAAATGGTTAAAAACAATTCCTTCCTTCCATTACTTATCCTTCATTTGCTTATTTTCAGGACCTCCTCACACCTCCCTTTTTTGTATTCTAGTTCAGTTATTAGTTCAACAAATCCCTCCCCTCTTTATATATCCTAATCATTAATCATAAAGTATTGTAATTTTAGATTTTTACCTATTAATAAACCATTTTTTCATATTCCCTTATAATATTTCAGCTAAAGACCACTTAGTTTCTATCCAACATCATTCTAACATTCATTAATTTTGCAATATTTCTGTAGATAATCTTTAAACTTTTTTCCAATCTTCTTCCATCGACTCTTCTCCCTGGTCTCGGATTCTGCCGGTCATTTCCGCCAATTCCATATAGTCCATCACCTTCATCTGCCATTCTTCCAAGGTGGGTAGATCTTGTGTCTTCCAATACTTTGCAATGAGAATTCTTGCTGCTGTTGTGGCATACATAAAAAAAGTTCTGTCCTTCTTTGGCACCAATTGGCCGACTATGCCTAGGAGAAAGGCCTCTGGTTTCTTCAAGAAGGTATATTTAAATACCTTTTTCAATTCATTATATATCATCTCCCAGAAAGCCTTAATCCTTGGGCACGTCCACCAAAGGTGAAAGAATGTACCTTCGTTTTCTTTACATTTAAAACATTTATTATCGGGCAAATGGTAGATTTTTGCAAGCTTGACTGGTGTCATGTACCACCTGTATATCATTTTCATAATATTCTCTCTTAGGGCATTACATGCCGTAAATTTCATACCTGTGGTCCACAACTGTTCCCAGTCAGCAAACATAATATTATGTCCAAGATCTTGTGCCCATTTAATCATAGCAGATTTCACCGTTTCATCCTGAGTATTCCATTTCAACAGCAAGTTATACATTTTTGACAAAATCTTAGTTTTGGGTTCTAACAGTTCTATTTCCAATTTTGATTTTTCCACCTGGAAGCCAATTTTCTTATCCAAATTATATGCCTCCATTATCTGATAATAATGAAGCCAGTCTCGCACTTTGTCTTTTAATTTCTCAAAACTCTGCAATTTCAATTTGTCTCCTTCTTGTTCCAAAATTTCCCAATATTTCGGCCATTTGGCCTCCATATTGAGCCTTTTCTGAGCCTTTGCTTCCATCGGTGACAACCACCTTGGGGTTTTATTTTCAAGTAAGTCCTTATATCTTATCCAGACATTTAACAATGCTTTCCTGACAATGTGGTTTTTAAATGCTTTATGTGCTTTAACCTTGTCATACCACAAATATGCATGCCACCCAAAAACATTATTAAAACCTTCTAAATCCAAAATGTCTGTGTTCTCAAGAAGCAGCCATTCTTTCAACCAGCAGAATGCTGCTGATTCATAATAAAGTTTAAGGTCTGGCAGGGCAAATCCACCTCTATCCTTTGCATCAGTTAATATTTTAAATTTTATTCTGGGCTTCTTGCCCTGCCAGACAAATCTAGAAATGTCTCTCTGCCACTTCTTGAAACAGTCCATTTTGTCTAAGATTTGCAATGATTGAAACAGAAATAACATTTCTTGGCAATACATTCATCTTTATAACAGCAATTTGACCTAACAAGGAAAGCTTCAAGTTTGACCATATCTCTAGATCCTTTTTCACTTCTGACCAACATTTCTCATAATTGTCTTTAAATAGGTTTAGATTCTTAGCGGTCATATTAACCCCCAAGTATTTTACTTTCTTAACCAGTGTTAAACCTGTCTCCTTCTGAAACCTCTCTTTCTCAATCGGTGTTAAATTTTTCTCAAGCACCTTAGTTTTTAACTTGTTCAACTTAAATCCTGCCACATGACCAAATTCCTGAATCAATTCTAATACTCTTTTAGTACTAGATTCTGGCTCCTGTAACGTCAATACTAAATCATCTGCAAAAGCTTTCAATTTGTACTGTTTAGCTCCGACCTGTATACCTTTAATCATACGGTCCCTTCTGATCATATTTAGCAGAACTTCCAGGACCGAAATAAAAAGCAATGGGGAAATGGGGCAGCCTTGTCGTGTCCCTTTCTCTATCTTTTTTCTCCATCTATAAAGGAGACTTCTCTGTGCACCTGGTAAGGCTCATCTATGCATGGAAATCTGTTTTTAACTTATGGACACAATCCAAATGGACTGGATGAGAGCCAACAAACTGAAGCTCAATCCTGATAAGACTGTTAGTGCGTGGTTCCCTAAACTGGATGGATGTTAGGTCGTCTGCTTTTGAAGGGAATACACTCCCTCTGAAAGAGCTGGTATGTAGCTTAGGGTAGGGTTACCAGACGTCCCCGGATCCTGGGGACAGTCCCCAGATGTGCAAATCTGTCCCCAGACAAATTCCATCCCTGGAATGTCCCCAGATGTGCAAATCTGTCCCTGGGAAACGTGGCAGCGGCAGCCTCAGCAGCCCGGAGCCAGCCTGGTAGCACAGTTGGCTCTGGCTGTCTTCAGGAGCTGCTCGCTGCCATGGCACCCGCCATTTTTCCTGCGCCACAGCAGCGAGTAGCAAGCAGCTCCTGAAGCCAACTGCACTACCAGGCTGGCCCCTCCTGGGCAACGGCCACCCGCCCATGACTCCTGAGCCTCCCCTGATCTGTCAAAACAAAGGGGGAAGGGGGATGAAGATCAGGGAAGCCTCAGGAGTCTCAGGCGGGCTGCAAGCCATTGCCCAATTTTTTTAAAAAAAACTGCACATTTACGTTTCACAGGGTGTGAAAGAAGGGCTTTGCACCTTTATACAATATGCATGTATGCTTGGGCCCAGGGTCTTTTTTAATAATAATAATAATAATAATAATAATAATAATATTTTTTTATTTATATCCCGCCCTCCGCAGCCGAAGCCGGGCTCAGGGCGGCTAACAACAATAAAATAATACAACATTCTAAAATCATTTCATTATAAAATTAATTCAAATCAAATTGATGGCAACCATTGGGCTAGAGTTCTGTGAAGATTGCCAAAGGAGGGAGTCAGGCTGCGCCCTGACCAAAGGCCTGGTGGAGCAGCTCTGTCTTGCAGGCCCTGCGGAAAGATGTCAAGTCCCGCAGGGCCCTAGTCATAATGAGCAGCCTCCGTTTCTCATAAAACTGGTCCAGGAGCGCTGCTGTGGTCCTCACATCAGCATTAATGTTCATGGGTGTACAGGTTGGCTCCGTTCCTGACCAGCCTAAATTGTACTGACAAACTCGTTCTGGACTTCCCTGCAATTCGTATCCACCGATGCAGGAAAATTCACAGGTTGTGCCATAATTATCCCCATCACCAGAACATTTTATGTAGCCATTTTCTGGAGAAGAAGAAGAGTTTGGATTTGATATCCCGCCTTTCACTCCCTTTAAGGAGTCTCAAAGCGGCTAACATTCTCCTTTCCCTTCCTCCCCCACGACAAACACTCTGTGAGGTGAGTGAGGCTGAGAGACTTCAAAGAAGTGTGACTGGCCCAAGGTCACCCAGCAGCTGCATGGGGAGGAGCGGGGAATCGAACCGAGTTCACCAGATTACGAGACTACGACTCTTAACCACTACACCACACTGGAGCATTCAGTTTCCCGCAACGTCTGACTTTAACTTTTGCCTCACCATCCCCACTACTGACTCCCTGTTGCTACTCAGCTTCAAAAAAAAAAAAAAAGTGTCCCCGGATTCATTGAAAAAAATCTAGTAACCATAGCTTAGGGTACTCCTAGATTCTTTGCTGTTGCTTGAGACTCAGGTGGCCTCGGTAGCCAATATAATGTAAAGGGTTCTTTTAAAGAAGTCAGTGCCTGTTGCTGCTGGGAGTGCCAACTGCTGGCATCAAAAGCTGTTCACTATGGCATCTTTCTATGCAGCAAGCATTGTTCTACATTACATTACTGGCATGAAGACTGGCCATGTCAGAAATGTCCGGAATGGCGACAAAAACCGCAAGTGAACTGGGCTTTGGTGCGAGAATTAGGTCAATTGTTTCTGCCGAAAAGGCAGGTCAGCATTTCCCACGATGCCAGCAACCATGGGCGTTGCTCACTGTGGTCACCAGCAGATGAGTCAGACGTGAGGCAAATTCTCTCCCAGAAGCTGAACGGGACATTTCCAACTGATGCACATTTCCTGTGAAGCCCCCGCTGCTTCACAGGGATGCCTTACAAAGAACTCTGTGCACTTAGATGCAAACTTTCCATAATAATAATTATACTAAATATTTTTTTTTGCCACAACACACTTTATACACTGGGATAGGGAAAACATCTGCAGAGTATTTCTTGTTTGCCAGCATTGCAAAGTCTACAATTTTTCAATCACTGTTAAGTAACACACACAAATTCTCCAATTCTTTTGGGAGGTCTTTGGCCGGCCGTTTACATTAGCAATTTTGGGGGAAGTACAGAGACTTTCATTGACGAGGGCTGCATTCCCATAGACTGTTCCAACTTCTACGAAATCGGTTAATGAAAATACGTCTGGCGCTAGCTTTCCGAATGGAATGGCTCTATTGATTACCAGACAACTACCCGCTAAGACGAGGAGCCTTTTCTAAGGATTATATACCACAAACAGGCATAACAATGGTAACAGCAACCAGATGTCTATAGCTGCAGAATGGACTGCTTAGCTCAAGTTACCATATTTTTTGCTCTATAAGACTCACTTTTTCCCTCCTAAAAAGTAAGGGGAAATGTGTGTGCGTCTTATGGAGCGAATGCAGGCTGCGCAGCTATCCCAGAAGCCAGAACAGCAAGAGGGATTGCTGCTTTCACTGTGCAGCGATCCCTCTTGCTATTCTGGCTTCTGAGATTCAGACTTTTTTTTTTCTTGTTTTCCTCCTCCAAAAACTAGGTGCATCTTGTGGTCTGGTGCGTCTTATTGAGCGAAAAATATGGTGATATGGGATATTCTGCTCTGCTGTGTCTGGTCCTCACTGTCCCCAAAGGATTACCCGGTCCTTCCTGTGGTAACATCAGAAGCTCCACCAGGCAAAATTCTCATTCAGATTCTAGAATGTGTATCTAGCAATCTTTTGCTCCCTGACCCATAGTCCAGAACCCTTCAAATATCCCTAGTGTACCCACTTCCTTCCTGACACTAACAGACAGCTCCTCCTATATATAGGGCTGATCTACAGTATCCTTTTGCCTACTTACTTCTCGTATCCTTTTCTGAACTCTGTCACCCCATCAATCATTGTTAAGAGCTTTCTGTTTTGGACCACTGCCTATTTTGACCTACTTTGTTTAGTCCCATTCTTGGATTGGCTTCCTTACCAAACTTGTTTCTTTTCCTCTATCACACAGTCCCTCCATGCTCTTCAACCCACCCCACGTGGCCCTGTCCATCTCAAGGAGCGTCTCCACCCTCATCATTTAGCTTGGACACGGAGATCCAGCACCGAGGGCCTTCTGGTGGTTTCCTCTTTGCAAGAAGTAAGGTTACAGGGAACCAGGCAGAGGGCCTTCTCGGTGGTGGCACCGTCCCTGTGGAATGCCCTCCCATCAGATGTCAAGAAGATATAAAAAATGATGCAACTTTTGGAAAACTTCTGAAGGTAGCTGTATCAGGGAGTTTTAAATGTTTGATGTTTTATTATGTTTTTATATGAGTTGGAAGCCATCCAGAGTGGCAGGGGCAACACAGCCAGATGAGCAGGGTATAAATAATAAATTATTGTTATTATAACACACTTTCTTTCTTTTCTTTTTTAGATTTTTTAATTTATACTTTTCAAGTTTATACATTTCACCAATTTTATACATTTCACTAATTTTACAGTCATTTCCACATTTCCAAACTTGACTTCCTTCCCCCTCTTTCTGTGGTTCCTTAAATTTGTTTTTAACATCTTCTGCATATCCAAATTAACTTAATTTGCTCATTTATTCATCTTTAAATATATACTCTTGTAAAGCTGCAGGTTATTGCAATAATCTTGCCAATGTTTTTATCTGTTTATAATTTATCTGTAAATATTCAATAAACCATTTCCATTCTTTTATTTTTAAAAAGTTACCTTGATTTCTTATTCTTCTGGTAAGTTTTGCCATTTTTGCATGTTCCATAAGTTTTAGTGCCTATTCTTCCTTTGCTGGGACTTCTGCTTCTTTCCATATTATTAAGCAGTTTCTTGCCTCACTGAATTCTTCCCTTTTCCTCAAGTTTTATTCTCTACCTACCCTTCCTTCAGTTTTCTCTTTCTTACAGTGTATTAGCGACTTTGTGACAGTCTTCCTTCAGATTCATCGACTTTGGTCTCTGCAGTCAGTTCCTTACCTGCCCTTCCAGGTCCTCAGCCATCCCCTATGTGAACTGTTAATCCCAACCAAACTGTTGACTTTCATGTCTCTCACAGAAATTGGACCATAACAACCTTTGATATCACCTGAGTTAAGCCGGTCTTCAACAGCTGTACGATATAAATGAAAATTCTCAAACAATTTAACTGTAATTTATTACTTGGATTACATCACAGATGAAATGGGAAGTATTATCTTTTGCACATCAAGATATGGAAGCAACATGTGGAGATGGGATTTGCACATGATAACACTCTTTTGCCTTGGATTTCCCTTGAGATCTTAAGAAGTCTTGGTGATTTGCTGGGAAAAGTTCCATTCCTGTACAGTCGCATTGTACTAGTGACAAAGCTTTAGTAAACACAATATTATTAAAATTGTTGATCTATAAGAGTATTTCTGAACCACCAACTCATTAAAAAAAAAAAAGTACGGTTGTGTACAATAAAATCATTAAAACATCACAAAATTATACAATCATAAAACACAGAAGAAATGACCAAAACTATATGAAATCAATTCTCTAAAAGCTCATTTTCATCTGGTGGAGAAATATAAGAATTCCAGTTGTTTTAAGTTACTTCTATATAAAGCCTTATTCATACTATACAGCTATATTGATTTCATACCACTTTAAGAGTCAAGGCTTTTTTTTATAGCCGGAACTCACCAGAGCTCAGTTCCAGCAACTCTCAGGTGGGTGCCATTGCCATTATAAGAGAACAAGAGAGGTGTTCATGGTGAGATTTGTAGAAACCTACACTGGTTTCCCATGGACTGTAACAAATTGTAATCCCATCATTAAAATAATTCTATGGATAATTTATGGAACAGATGGCCCCTCATAATTTATGTTTATATAAATCAAACCATCTATTCCAAGATGCAGCTGAAAACCCGTGGCATTTGGGTAACTGAATGAATTTATTTTGCTTTGCTTGATGCAGTCCTTGAGAAATAGACTCTAAACAACTGCATCTGGAATCAGCACACCAGTCCTGCATGATATGAAGACGTTAGACACTGAGAAGGCATTATGGATGCGGATAGCACAAGTTGTTCCTTTTCGTCTTCAGAGGGCTTTGAACTGCCTTGGCAGCAGTAGATGTTCCTTTGAGTGCTTCACCATATATGCATCAGAGAGAATTATGCTTCCCAATAAAGATGACAGGAAAGGAACATAAACAGATGCTAAGTGAAGCAGGAAGCATCGTTGGAAGTGGGACAAGGGGACAGGGTGTCTACAGGAAGGCGAATTGCAAAATTGAGAAATTCAAGAAGTTCTCTTCCAGTGCTCTGCCACAGTGTGAACTATAATCACACAAGGGAGGAGGCTTAGGGGAGAAGCGAGTTCTGGCCCTCCAGTGTTATTCTCATTGGTCTCCATAAGTTAACCAGAAAGCCTCCTCTCCTCTGAATTTAGGCATCTTAACCAAGACATCACAGAACATTTAGCTAGTCTTTGCCATATGGGGGTAGACTTTTTGATTGTCAAACCCACACACCCCTGCCAATATTTACAGCAGAAAACCTATCAACAGATGTCTGGGGCAGGAGTCCTCTGAAGAACCCCATCACCAGAAGGCCTGTGCAAGGGATTCTGCTTGCACAACAGGGATTCCTCCCTCCCTCCCTCCCTCCCTCCCTCCCTGCCTCTTTCTTTCTTTCTTTCTTTCTTTCTTTCTTTCTTTCTTTCTTTCTTTCTTTCTCCACACCCCCTGCTCCCCCAAAAAAGAATTGATGGGAGGGTTAAGAGAATCCTCATGAACAGTATTCATGGGGAGAGGGGATCATTATACCCAAAACTTGTAACAGCACAATCTTGAATTCCATCCTGTGTCTTCTGAGAGCCAACAATGTGGAGGACCTGTGGTTCCTCCAGATGTTGCTGTTTTACCCCTCCAACCATCCCTGATCACTGGTCATGCTGGTGGGAGCTTGGAATCCAACATCTGCGGAGCCATGGGTTCCTCGCCCCTGTCATAGACAAGGCACATTGAGACCAGAAGGGACACTGCCAGAATCTACCCTGCAAAAGTTATACAATGCCACCAGGACAGGACAGGACAGGACAGGACAGGAAGCAGCCATTACTGAAGTGCGTTGAGCCATAGAAAAGAGGAGTTAGTGTCAATGAAACTGGCCATTGAAGTGAAATATATGGTGCCATTGTACCCCATGATTTAAGGTCTATCCTAAAATGTGTTATCAGACTGGCATTCTTTGAGTGAGCTATTAAGAGACAGGGTGTGTGCATGAACCATATAAACCCTTTCAATTTAATGACCGTATTTTTCGCTCTATAGGACGCACTTTTCCCCCTCCAAAAACGAAGGGGGAAAGTGTGTGCATCCTATGGAGCGAATGCAGGCTTTTGCTGAAGCCTGGAGAGTGAGAGGGGTCGGTGTGCACCAACCCCTCTCGCGTTCCAGGCTTCAGGAAGCTATCCGCAAGCCTGCGGAACCCAGCGGGAGTTCCCGCCAGGCTCTGCAGGCTTGCGCACAGCTGCCTGCAGCCCGAAGCCCGGGGAGCACAGCGCTGTGGTAAAACCATAATGTATCTATTATCACTTTTGGAGTATTTAATAATAGCATTTAATCACAAGTGAACTTTCTTGTGTTGCCAATTTTTTGCAAGGTTCACCCCAAGTTTGTCAGACTATTATTATATCATGTTTTCTCCCAGAATGAAAACCTAATAATCCCATGCCATTGCCCATGAACTGCCCAGAATCAATTTTTGTGAGGGCTTCCATAGCAGCTGGGTGACCAGAAGGTGGCTAGCTTTCAGTGAGTCACTTGCTTCTCTGGGAATGAATCATCCAAGTATTCCAGTGCGGGTCATTAGGTTCTCCAGATGTTGCTGGTGACAACTCCCATCATCCCTGACCACGGGGATGTTTGGGGCTGATGGGAGAAATAGTCCAATAACATCAGGAGGACCAAATATTTCCATCCCTGCTGTCAAGACAACAAATGATCACATCAACATCAAGAAGAGATTAGTGGTTCAGGTGTGTTATCTCTCCTCAGGTTACATTTGTTTGCCAGGTAAACAGCAATGATTGTGAAGCAATAATTTAATTACGGTGAAGTTTACAGAACTCCTGCGTTCCCTATTTGCAACAGAAAATAATGCATTTCCCATGGATGGTGTATGAATGATGCAGAACTGCTCTCTTCTGCTCTTTACTCCTACCAGTTTGGATGTCTTAATTTAATTCCTCTGACATTTCAGTATTTCTATTACCCATTATGTATGAGCCAAGGAACTCACTGGGGTGGCTAGTCAAAGAGCTGTTTCTCACAGTGATCTAATGCTTTGGTTGCAAATTCACCTCCCACTGATATGTAAATTTTGAACTAAATACAGCCAGTTAGATTTACAGCCAGGCTATTAATCCTGTTACTTCCCTAGACACACTTTTGTCAACAGCAAATATACTAACTCTCCTACTACTCAGATGAGAGACAAGACTTGCCTCATCTCAGAATTAAAGAAATCCCAGTGAATTCCTTCCAAAGAACTGGATTTACATGGGAATATTGTTTTATGGTTACATGGTGATTTCAAGAATTACACTCCAAAACGTGGGTACATGAACAAAAGGAATGAAACAATTCAGGTTTAAAAGCTTGGTTCATTTTTGAATTGATATTATTTCATTTTATTAACTCAGTGGTAGGAGATAGGGTCAAAGGTTAGACACAGAGCAGATACAGAAAGCCCCAAATTCAATCTCCAACATCTCCACCTAGAAAGATCTCTGCTGGAGATGTGCCCAATCAGTAGACAATAATGGCGCTCGGGCATATGTCACAGTGTCCCGTTGCGCCAGAAACAGTTTAGTCATTCTGGTCACATGACCCAGAAAGCTGTCTGTGGACAAATGGTGGCTCCCTCGGCCTGAAAATGAGATGAGCGCCGCAACCCCATAGTCGCCTTTGACTGGACTTAACTGCCCAGGGGTCTTTTACCTTTACCCTTCATCTACTTGCTGCAGTCTGAGATGAGCTCTCCAGATAATGTTTTCACCAACATCTGCCAGCTTCTCTTAGGTCCATCATGAGATGTCCGCCAGCTTCTAATTACGGATACCAGCAGCCTTCAAGCAAGCAAACTTGCTTTATTATCACTCCCTAGCATCCCACTGCCAGAGGATTGCCTCCTTCCATTCACCAGTTTGCCTCCTCCAAGTGGAAGAAACCTGGGCAGTGCTGAATATTACATTCATTGCCAGGTGTGTCCTGCTGGAAATAAAAAAGGGTTTTCCCCTTGGCTTGCCTTTATACCCACTCAGTTGCCAAGTGCTTTTGTGACATCACAATAAACCCACAGCCAATGGCAACAGCCAATGGCAACAGTTGGGGAGGCATCATCTTCATTGGTTTGAGCCTCACAATGCCTGGTGGACCTATCAGTGATTGTGTGCTTGTTTATTGAGGACACAGGTGGAGCTGTGGTCTAAACCACTGAGCCTCTTGGGCTTGCCGATCGGAAGGTCAGCGGTTTGAATCCCTGTGACTGGGTGAGCTCCCGTTGCTCTGTCCCAACTCCTGCCAACCTAGCAGTTTGAAAGCATGCCAGTGCAAGTAGATAAAGAGGTACTGCTGTGGTGGGAAGGTGAATGGCGTTTCTGTGCACTCTGGGTTCTGTCACGGTGTTCTCTTGTTCCAGAAGCGGTTTAATCATGCTGTCCACATGACCCGGAAAGCTGTCTGTGGACAAACGGCGGCTCCCTCGGCCTGAAAGTGAGATGAGCGCCACACCCCATAGTCGGCTTTGACTGGACTTAACCATCTAGGGATCCTTTACATTTACTGTTTTCCAATGGCCTAAAGGGACATGGGTGGCCTAGTTGAGGGACCAATGGCTAAAGCTGCTTTATATGATCATAAAATAAACCCATTGTAGCATATTAGAGTGCTGAGAATGAAACAGAGACAGACAGAAAAGCAATTAATCCTTCCTACTAAGCTAGCCTAAATAGTAAATGTTCCACCTAGCTGAACTTTTGCCTCCTTCTCCACAGGGTCCATTTTCAACCCTTCCTTCACTAAGGGTCACTATTTAATCCAAACTCTCATTTCCTCCCTAACCTTACTTATGATGCCTCAAGTACATTATTGGCAACTGATCTTAAAATGTGTCCTAAATTTTCTAGTTACCACCCATTACTTTTTTTTTTAAAAAAATATTTTTATTAAAGATTTCTTGGTTTACAAAAGTATGTGCAGTGTCTCTTTTTCAAGTTACATTTTCTACATATCAGTTTCACTTGTTGAGACAAGGAAGAAAAGGGGGAAAGAGGTGGAGGGGGCATGGTGAGTGGGGGTGGAGTCGGGTGGCGGTGTTTCTGTTTTACTTATTGTATGTGTGGGGTTTTGTGTCAGCGTCGCTTGTGCCGGTTCTCTTTACTATTCGCTTGTGTTCCTTTAGGGGTGAGAGACATTGGGGTTGGCCCTAGGGTATGGTTGATTGTCTTTGATTGGCTGTAGTGAACTTTGTTGTCGCGTGTGAGTGGGGTGGGTGGGTGCTTTTTGATCAGGTTAACCAGATTGATTTGAATGCTGTTGGCGGGTTCTTGTTGTCTAGTTGGGCTGCGTATGCAATAAAGGGTAATCATATCGAGGTGAAGGTGACATCTTCTATTCGTCCCCTTGTCAGTTTCAGTTTGTTGATTAGTTTTTCTAATAAGGCTGTTTCTCATACTATTTGATACCACTGGTCCATGCTTGCTCCTGACAGGTCTCTCCAGTGTATGGCTATGATGCTTCTGGCTGCTGAGAGTTAATTACCACCCATTACTGTGCTTTTCTTAGGCTACTTCATTGGAGCCTGATATTATTAAGCCAAGTAGAGATAGGGATGTATAAAGGCAGTGAGGCTTTTTGTATGTGTTTAAGTGAAAAGAAGGATACAGATTTACTCTCACAAAAACAACAAGACTCAAAGGTGGGATGGCCTGGGACTTGGGCTCGGACTCGGAACCAGAGAAGACTCTGCACCGGATCCTTTGCCTCAGGCATCATCTGAACCAAGTCTGGGGCCTGATCCTAAAGAGTCCCAGTCTGGACAGGTTCCCCTGCAACAAACACCAGCTGGGCTGAGTCAGGGGCCTGAGCCTGCCCTGGCTCCAGATGCAGGGATTACCTCGTTGCCTCCAGCTGGGCTCCACTACCGGTTTGGTCAGGGGAGGCTGAGGCGGCCCCTGGGTCTAGTAACCCACCGACGTCTCCCAAGCTGCAGAGACTAAGGTCTGAGAGGAAAGACCTGAGTACTTGCAGGAGGAGTGCTCACCTTCAGGCGAAACAGGGAGGTGAGTCGCCGGGTGATCAGGACCGGCCGCTACCCTGAAAAAGATAAAAGGCTGTTGGACCCTGCCCCAAGTTGGCGGGAGCAACATTGCTGTATGCTAGATCCTGCCTGATATCCTGTACCTGTCCTTCCTGGTTTCCTGCCCTGTGTCCTGCCTTGGCCTTGTCGGACTGACTCCCAGCGGAACCTTCAGATTCTGGACCGGACCTGGACCACGTTTCATAGGTTACATTCTGGCTGCTGAGAGTAGTTACCACCCATTACTGTGCTTTTCTTAGGATACTTCATTGGAGCCCGGTATTATTTAGCCAAGTAGAGACAGGGATGTATATAGGCATCAAGGCTTTTTGTATGTGTTTAAGTGAAAAGAAGAATGCAGATATACTCTCACAAAAACAACAAGACTCCAAGCCTCTTTTCAAGCTTTCTGATAGGTGGACCTGTATCAAAAAAAACCTATTGCATGCAGCCATTTTACACAGAGGATTTATTGAAATAGATGTTGACCCACTTTATCCTCAGGTCATAAGACAGATGACATGTCAATAGACACTAAAATATTCAAAAAAATGAACAGGAGCATGTGGTAACAAGAACCCCTTCATTAAAATTTTAACTGCAACCACCACAAGCCTACATAAATAAAAAAGGGCCTGCAACATTGATATAGGGCCCCTCCGGAAAGGATTTTTATTGTGCATTCATTATGATTTCTGATCATAATGATGCGGCAGTTTTGTGTGATCCTGCCCTCAATGCTGTTTGAATCTGCAAAAGTTTCAGGAAGGAAATACTGCTTCATTTCCAATCCGTGCATGTCTCATAACTTCCTGCTGAAATTTCCCAACCTTTCTTGCCACAAACATTGTGGGGCTGTTGTTAAACACCCCCCACCCCACCACACACACACACACACACACACACACACACACGTGCGCGCGCGTGCACACACACACACACAATCACATTCTTATTCACACCCTGGGCAGCACCTCTTTAATCTTCTACCCTCGGGCAGGAGATATAGAAGTATAATCAGTCATTGTTGTTGTTTAGTCATGTCCAACTCTTTGTGACCCCATGGACCAGAGCACGCCAGGCACTCCTGTCTTCCACTGCCTACCGCAGTTTGGTCAAACTCATGTTGGTAGCTTCAAGAACACTGTCCAACCATCTCGTCCTCTGTCGTCCCCTTCTCCTTGTGCCCTCCATCTATCCCAACATCAGGGTCTTTTCCAGGGAGTCTTCTCTTCTCATGAGGTGGCCAAAGTATTGGAGCCTCAGCTTCGGGATCTGTCCTTCCAGTGAGCACTCAGGGCTGATTTCCTTCAGAATGGATAGGTTTGATCTTCTTGCAGTCCATGGGACTCTCAAGAGTCTCCTCCAGCACCATAATTCAAAAGCATCAATTCTTCGGCGATCAGCCTTCTTGATGGTCCAGCTCTCACTTCCATACATCACTACTGGGAAAACCATAGCTTTAACTATACGGACCTTTGTCGGCAAGGTGATGTCTCTGCTTTTTAAGATGCTGTCTAGGCCAACTGGCTAAAAAACAGTTTCTATCCGTGGGCTGTTAGGCTGCTGAACGGAAAATAATATAGTGCAACTGACTTTCGGGGTTGGTGTGTTGTGTGACAAGCACACAGAGTTCAATGAGACTGAGTGTTATTATTATAGTAGTGTAAATGTGTCCCTTCAGACAGCAAAAATTCAATAACATTAGGAAAGCATTGCAGAACTAATAAAGTGGGGTGGTGCATTAAAGTTCCAATACAAATCCGCCACCAATGCACAATTTTTGTGTCACTGACACGTTGCAGAATGCACTTGCCCCACCCCACCCAGTCTAGAGGAGCCCATATATTCAGATTTAATAAGTCTCGGGGGAATAGTTTCACAGCTGTGGCTGGGTAGCCACTGAGAACCCCTCTGTGTGTGACCTGTTGGTTCAAATCCGATGCATAGTATGCTTATTCAAGAGGCTATGCTCTTGATAAGTCATCATGGGGCTCTAAGATATGTGAGAATTTGACAACGACTTAAATTTTGTAATGGATGGAGATCACTCCTGAGAGAATGATAAAAGCAAGAATCAAGGTGAGCTGCAAGTGAAATAGTTTCTTTTATCCTTTCTTTGGGAAAAAGAAAGAAAACAGAAATTTCAGAGGAGCGCAATTCATGCTTTGAGTACTGCCTGAGCTAACATAAATCAAAGATCAATTCTCAGTGCATGAATATTTTACGGACCGCTAAGTAGAGTCCTATTAGGAAATTAATGCAGCCTTCTCCCTTGTCCCGTAATTCCTTTCTGCCTCCAGGCAAGTGGGTGACACACCGGGGAAATGGCCAGCAACTGCCAACAGTGGATGTGTCAGCAGCATTTTATAGGCTGTAAAATTGGTTATTGTTCTTTTATGGAATTATAGCATTAAAGACTCCCCCAGTTCTTGAGAAGGGTCTTGTAAACTGAATAATAAATGTATCACATTGAGAAAAACAGCCTCATTGCTTTAAAAGCATAGAACGTTTCTCATACCTCCCTCTCACTCACTTATCCAAGTCCACATCCTTTAAAAAAGAACCATGTCATCATCTGCAATGTATACAGTAGTAAATGTGCAATGTATACAAGAGTATACACTGGTGATTGGTTACTCTGTCCTCAAATCTTTCACTGATTATAAGCAAACATAACAGTTTTTCAGAAGGCATAGGCAGGGGCCATGGGCATAGCCAGGATTTATGTTATGGGGGTCAAGATACCCGCCTGTCGTCATCCTCTGCCTGTCTCTGTCTCGCAGATTCGGAATGAAATGTCTCAACAACAGTTGTTTAAAATTATGTTCTTTTGACCCCAGGTGCTCAGAAAAATCTCTCCAAATCTTTGCTAGAATGCACCACAGCATCACCTAAGACTTCAGGGGTCAGCAAACTTTTTCAGCAGGGGGCTGGTCCACTGTCCCGCAGACCTTGTGGGGAGCTGGACTATTTTTTGGGGGGGAGGAATAAATTTCTATGCCCCACAAATAACCCAGAGATGCATTTTAAATAAAAGGACACATTCTACTCATGTTGTTGTTGTTTAGTCGTTTAGTCGTGTCCGACTCTTCGTGACCCCATGGATGCCAGGCACTCCTGTCTTCCACTGCCTCCCGCAGTTTGGTCAGACTCATGTTTGTAGCTTCGAGAACACTGTCCAACCATCATTCTACTCATAGCTGTCAACTTTTCCCTTTTATTGCGAGGAATCCTATTTGGAATAAGGGAATTTCCCTTTAAAAAAGGAAAACATTGACAGCTATGATTCTGCTCATGTAAAAACACGCTGATTCCTTGACCGTCTGTGGGCCGGATTTAGAAATCAATTGGGCCAGATCTGGCCCCCAGGCCTTAGTTTGCCTACCCATGATCTAAGTGACCTCAGCAAGCATTTTGATTCCAAATAGTCTGATTATTTCTACTTTCAGTTAAGTATTTTTATTTATTTACTTGATTTAGGGGGCAGCTGCCCCCTGGCTATGCCCCAGGTAGGGGCAGGTCCAGCCCCATTATTAGGCATTTTGGGGTGACTGCCTCAAACAGCTGGATTTGAGTGTTGCGAAAGAGTATGAAACTGTTATTTAATTTATTGGGACTGGGTTTTTGTTGCTGCAGAGAGGTAACAGTGGGATTTCCTGCCCCAGATCCCCAGATAATTTGAGCTGACTTGGGGACTATGTTCCTCAGCTATGGTTGAGGGACACAATCAGTGGATGCTGTTACATTAGGGAGAATGGGGACAAAACTGGAAATTGTGGGTTCTGTGTGTCATTGGTTCTGGTTTTATCTACTGTTGGCCTCCCTGCCTTCAACCCTAGGCTCCAGCTACTACTGGACAGCATTTGCCATTCTACTGTGGGTAGCAAGATGTGTTGGGCTAGCCCTGGTTGGGAGGTTTCAAATAAAAAGTTGAATGGCTACATGTCATGGGTGATTTCTTGGAGTGATGCATGTCTTAAAGCTTGTGGTTTTGAGTCCCTTCCCAACCATCATTTTTATCATCAAGGTTTTACCTTCTTTCACGCGGCTGAAATAATTCACACAGTAACGCTACATATGTAGAAAGCAGCTGCAACATTCAGCTGACTGATGTGGTTTCTATTATAGGTAGCTCTGGAGCAGATTGGGACCAGACCCTTGAGAAATCTGCTCCCACTCTGTGCTGGCAATTGTCAAGGAGAACTAAGATTCTCAGCAGTTCAACCAAAGGCCACGCAAATAATTAAGTTGGATAGTTGCAGTAATTCTTAGAAAGTAGCCTTTTATGAGCAAAAACGCGACCCGTTTTTGGAAACATAGTGTTTGAATGTCACCCTAATCTCTGAGCAATACAAAATTCCAAGGGTACCAGGAGCTCACCAAGGGTTCAGTTTCTTCGAAATGAGGGACAGCAGAGACTGTTGTGTCTTTATGATATATGGTTTAGTTACACATATAGACAAACTGAGTCTACGATGGAGGGGTTCACTGCATGAACACCCCAAAAGGGTATTTTTTCTCCAAACTGAATTTTTTCTTGGATTCAAACAGAGATCTGGCATGGCGCTCTCTCTCTCGCTCTCTCTCTCCTTCTGCTTGCTGCTTTGCTTCTAGGTCACATCATGACAAAACTCATCTCTAAACTCAGGCTTTTGCCCTTCTAGCTATCTAAGAATTGAAGGAGGGCTTCAACCCATTTTCCCTCTTACCTTATCTTATCACCCAGGCAATCGCATCAACAGGAAACTAACCTGGCTTGATTAGCTTTTAACCTTTGCTGGATCCAGGGATCAGAAGGCTTGATGAGATTTTAACACCCACAAACTCATAACAGAAAAAGCTTACATCATCTTCAGAATATGCTCTGATTTAGATTCGAGCAGCCTTTAAACAGGAAAAAATGTTTCAGAACTGGGATGCAAGGCCCTTTAAAGCTTTAAAGATAAAGCCCAATACATTGAATTATGTTCAGATATAAATTGGGAGACAAAACAGAAAAGCCCCATCTGCACTATCTATTTTAAGCATCCCAGCAGAAACCATTGTAAACCAATGCTCCATCTTCCACCATTCATTTGATATTGAACTACTACCAGTCAGGAAGAAGCCTCAAGCAGTAAGGGTCACAATAAACTAAGGTGCTCACTTGCCCATCACCCAAAAAGAGAACAAAATAGAGAACTTACTTGCATAAAATTATTATTTAAATTTGCATTTGGCCCTTCATCCGCAGATCTCAGAGTGGTTCACAACATAAAATGTGCATGTGCTAATTCATATGCAAAGCTGCAACTCTAGAAATTGTTGCTATAATTTGAATAGAAACACTATCCATCTCACCATAGTAGGAAAAACTGTGACCAGGTGACATGTGTTCAGTCTGCTGTCCAGCATTGTTGATGCGCAACTTCACAGCTCCACCCTTCCTACTTACAATTCATTATCTTTAAATCAGAGATTTACAGTGGACGCTCTATTTGCGAATGTGATCCATGCAGGATGCACGTTCGCAACCCGCAGATGCAGGTTGCGATCCAGCGCTTCTGCGCATGCACGACTGCCGAAACCCGGAAGTAACCCATTCCGGTACTTCCGAGTTTTGGCAGTCCACAACCCGAAAAAATGCAACCTGAAGTGGACACAACATGAGGTATGACTGTATTGGGCAGCCCTTCCAACAGAGGATACTTTCAGATAGGGGAAATATCCTTTGACAGCCCCTCAGATTAGAGGACTACCTCCTATAAAGTAGAACACTTGGGCCACTCTACAATCAACTATAAATCACCAGTAAGCACAAGTGATTGGAATCTAAAGGCCTGTTTATCTTCACTGTAGGGTGTTCTTATTTTCTAAACTCCATGAACTTTGAAGCTAACCAAATGACCACAGCTGTTTTTAGCAAGTACATTTCCTTCAGGCGTATTGGCACTGGAGACCAAAGCATTGAAACCAAACATGCGGTCATTCTGATTGTTTGGATAGAAGTCATCCTGCAAGACATTTATTCATTAAAAACTTCATCCTGCTGACCTATTCCTCAGAGAAAATTTTTCACAAGGACTTCACATATCCAAATTTCCTTCCTTTCCCTCTGTGCTCACCCCTGGGTTCTTGCTTTGGAGTTTCGTGTCCGTGGCAGAGAAGCGATACTGGCATTGGTGCCGATTTCGGGCGAAATGTTGGCTGATGTGGGTGTGATTTCACCAAAATCGCATGAGATCTTGTTTGCTCCACAATATCTAAGATTACCTCACTGTCCTGCTGATGGGAACTCTCACTACTCAGAGAAATGGGGTAATATTAAATACCGTAGGTGACTATTCTAATCCAAATGCCAGAATCTAAATTTAAAGTAACATTTTAACCCAGCATTAGAAATTTGCAGAGGTGTGGTAGGTAAATGTTGTTTTCAGTGCATACTTCTTCTTTGGCGATCACTTGTAGGCGAGTAAGATTGTCTTCCTGAACATGGTTTTAAAAGTGAGTCCGTAAGTGACTGTGGAGGCCAATTCTGGATCCAAACATCCTTCCACAGTGGGGACATAGGTTTCCAGGCGGGAGTTGATTCACTGTGAGGGTTTGCCAAGCGTGCCTTCCTCTTAGCGCGCTTCTCCCTTTCGTTCTGAGTTCAAGCGTCTTCAAAGCCCATGGCACCTTTGGTAAAGGCTGTTCTCCAACTGGAGCGCTCGAAGGCCAGTGTTTCCCAGTTGTCCGTGTTTATACTACATTTTTTTCAATTTGCCTTGAGAAAGTCTTTAAACCTCTTTTGTTGACCACCAGCATTACGCTTTCCATTTTTAAGTTCGGAGTAGAGTAGTTGCTTTGGAAGACGATAATCAGGCATCCGCACAACAAAGTTGATGTTGATGTTGAAGAATTATTGCTTTGGCACTGGTGATACTGCAAGGCTTAACAGGGGGTGGGGAGTGAATCCAGTAGAGGTGAAAGAGGCTACTTTATGGCAAGACATCCACTATATTGGCTGGGCTCCAAAGAGCCACTCCTGTATGCTGAGACTTCTCCTTTTATTTCCCAACTGCAGCTTCTCTGTACTGCATCACAGATTACTCCTTAAGGTTTCCCATACCCTCCAATGCATCTCCAATGAAAATAGGGACATCCTATTCCATAACAACAACAAGTTTATTATTTATACATCATCCATCTGATTGGGTTGTCCCAGCTGCTTTGGGCAGCTTCCAACATATATAAAAACATTAAAAAATAAACATAAAAAACCTTCCCAGATGTCTTCTAAAGGTTGCATAATTACTTATGCCTTTGGTTCAGGGGGGTCACATAACCCCATACCCTCCAATGAAAATAGGGATGTCCTAAGGGAAAGCAGGACTTTCCGGGATCAAAACAGAAACCAGGACAGCTTCTGTAAATCCGGAACTGTCCCTGAAAAATAGGGACACTTGTAGGGTCTGGTCTCCTGAATTTCTAGATTTGCTGTTAAATACAGCACAGGAGTCAAAGACAAGGCCAGAGTGGGGAGAGTTAGCTCATGGCCAAGGTGTCTTGACTACCAACAGAGTTCCTAAGCAGAAGTCTTGAAGAAAGTGTTGCTTAACATGCTTTCAGATAAAAAGAGACCAGTACAATAAAGAAATCTAAAAACAGAGGAACATTCAAGCCAAACGGCCGTTTGAGTGCTGGCATGGCAAGCAGCAGATGCAGCCATTAATTAGTGTTAATTGCTTCTGTCTAGACACCATGTGAAGGCCAAACCATTGCCTTTTGTTTACCATTTCGAAGTTACCTATATTTGCCAACAGCATTTTTAGGACACCCTTGTTTAGATCGTTTCATTCCACTGAAATTACTTAAACCAAGAATTTAGCACATATGAATCAAAACTGTAGCAGTTCAGCCCAACTTTGAATTAGTTTATCTGCAAACTCACTAATAAAGCAACTAGAAAAATCTGACAAAAAGTATCTAAGAGCATTAAGAATCCAAAGCAAAGCCTTAAGGGACCTGCTAATTTTATTGGGGTCAGACACTGCATTCTGGTAAGCTTCTTATTAGGATGTATTAAGGAAGTAATTAACAGTCTGATCTTGTGCATATTTACATAGGAGGTAACCCTCTTTGCTCAGTGGCACTTGTTTGCAAGCGAGTTACGGTACATAGGTTTGCATCCCTGACTATTTATTTAGTTAATAACCTACCCAATCCCAAAAGTCGAGATACCTTAAAAAAGCATGTTAAAACAAACTGATTATAAAATATATTAAGTGTAAAAAATACCCAAATGTCATGTAAATCAAGCTGAACCTATGTGTCTTAATACGAAATCTCAAATTAATAATAATAATAAAAAACCTGACTTTGTATGCTTCCAAAATATCAGGCATTGGTTTTTCCAGACTGCCCCCTGCAGTGAAATTGTCAGAGACAAATGTTCCATTTGTTTAATAGATAAGATGTTTCTAATGCTTGTTGCGAGACATCCCTGGGAAACCTTTGCATTGTTGTTCACTAGTTGAAACATACGTGGATCATCGGGAGAGCATGAGTTTTTAAGAGAAAATCAGAGAGACACCATACACAAACACTTCATACACATACGCAACACCTGTTTGCAACTGTATGTCTTCATAGCATCAGCCCTTGCTTAATTCTGCAGGCATCTCTCAACCCTTCTTGTCCATAGCTGTCAAGTGTCCCTTATTTGGCGGGACAATCCCTTATCCCAGCGCCATGTCCCGCTGCTGTCCCTTATTGGTGATGTCCCTTAAATAAGCTACTGAAGGTAATGGGGCCCTTTCTATGTCCAGCTGTCCTTTGTCAACAACAAATTGTTGCTGGTTTTTTTGTGTTGAATATATGCTATATGGTAATTTATGGACCTAATAGGTATCTAAAGCCATTTGCACGCAACAAAATATGTATTTTATCAAAGTAATTGTTGATCCCTTATTTTGGCTGCTGATCCCTTATTTTCGAGGCTGCTGGTCCCTTATTTTCAAATCTGTAAGTTGACAGCTATGCTCTTGTAACCCCCCAGGTCTGTAGCAACAAGCCATCATCCGTTTTGGACCAGGTCCTCTGGAAGCCCTCTTATTTCTCTTTTCTCTCTAAAACACCTTCTAACTTCAGAATCCAAGCTCTTAGGGAAGGGGTAGAGAGCCTGTGGCCCACCAGATGGAGCCTGGAGATGGAGCCCAGACAGTGGCATGGCATGGCGTGGGGCAAAGGGATGGTTGCTAGCGCAAGTTAGGAAGGATATTAATAAACAATATATCCTCTCCTGCCACCCTGAACATTCCCACAACTATCACACACAGGTAATACTAGTGGGCTTCCCATAGGCTCGTAGGTTGGACACTGTGAGTACAGGAAGCTAAACCAGATGAGCCCTTGAGCTGATCTAGCAGGGCTCTTAACAAAGAATGTCCCCAAGCCATAGCATTTGAAGATCTGAAGTGTGTCAAGACTGGCAGCTGTATGTTAAGAAATGTTTGACTATCATGTATGCATTCAGCTGGAAAGTTTTTCCAAGATGATGACAATCTCTTTTATAACAACAACAATTTATTTATACCCCGCCCATCTGGCTGGGTTTCCCCAGCCACTCTGGGCAGCTTCCAACAAAATATTAAAATACAGTAGTCAATTAAACATTAAAAGCTTCCCTAAACAGGGCTGTCTTCAGATGTCTTCTAAAAGTCTGGTAGTTGTTTTTCTCTTTGACATCTGGTGGGAGGGCGTTCCACAGGGCGGGTGCCACCACCGCCAGAAGGCCCTCGGAGCTGGACCTCAGTGTCCAGGCAGAATGATGGGGGTGGAGACACTCCTTCAGGTATACTGGACCTAGGCCGTTTAGGGCTTTAAAGGTCAGCACCAACACTTTGAATTGTGCCCAGAAACGTACTGGGAGCCAATGTAGGCCTTTCAAGACCGGTGTTATGTGGTCTCGGCGGCCGCTCCCAGTCACCAGTCTAGCTGCCTCATTCTGGATTTAGCTGTAGTTTTAGCAGTGAAGAAAAAAACCTGGTATGGATTTGTCCAAGGTCGCACAGGGTTGAACTATCTCTTCTGGGATTGGGATACAAATGTTTTTAGACCATAAAGCTGTAACGTTACTTGACAGCATGCTATGACAAATCTTCTGGGCATTTTGATGTATAACCTATGTCGTTTGACCTGCAATATGAGTTACAGCTTCTAGAGCTACACTGAATCATGTTGACTTGTGCTCTCCCCCCTCCTTTGCATTCTGCTTAATTCTAAGCACAGTGGTTTGTATGTCATTTCTGAGATGATCTGCATTTGAAAGTACAGCTACTAATGGCCCTTTCAAGTTAGAAAACAAACAAAAACGCTTATCTGAGTACTGAACTTGTCGTTGTCCATCTTGGAACTGAGAGTAAACAACAGAACGAAGTTCTGCCAATGCTACTGACATGAGAGAGTTGTATTTGATGTAGATGTACAGAAACAAAAGTCAAGAACTAAAGCCTAATCTAGCATTTTATCTTGGGTATATTAAAATGGGGCCAGGACGTCACATGCTTCTTGATAGAGAAGCGAGGGAGGGGGGAGTTTGAGAATATATATCTTAATATAAACTTCCATGAGGGTGTAAGTTTCAGAGAAACCCATAGAACCAGATGTATTGGCCTTCGTCATGTCAGAAACCCTCTTGCTGAAATAGTTTCTTATTTTGCTTTCTATTTAAAGCTATTTTGAATCCTGCTTTATTTTTAAAAAAAAAAACAGTAGGTTGGGTCCAAATTTAAAACAATTCTTGCACAAATCCCCCTGTACCCATTTGTCTGAAATTTGGCAGGATCCATCCCCTCAAAAGGGACGGCTTTGTCTGCCAATAAATATAAGAGGTTCGGATTTATTTATTTATTAAAAAACCCCACTTTATTAGGTTTTAAAAACTCCTTGCACAAACCCCACCCCCCAACAACTAAGTGCCTGAAATTTGCCAGGCATCAAACTCTCCGATGAGGTTGCTGTGCCTGAAAAGATATTTAAAAATAAGTAAATAAAAATGTGATAGCCGTTTGTTGACTTTTCCTGTTGGGAAAGACATCTGCATTGACTCTTGGCTGAGAATTCTTTCGTAGCATTACATATAGGAATGTTTGTAGCAAAGCTATGGTTACATCAGCGGCGGAGCATATGAATGCGCTGCCCAGGGCAGGCATGCTCCCGAGAGGGGCGGGACGCTGACGGTGCCCTTCCAGGTGCGGGATAGCCGCTCGGGTGCACGGAGCGGCACGTGCGCTGTAGCCAGGAGCGGAGCGAGCCATCCATGGGGGCAGAGCAAGCTGCTGATGGCGGACATTCGGCGTGCCACCCACCTGCAACTCAAGCCTCCACCAGCTGTCAAAATGAAGGTGGAAGGGTGGAATGCAGCTGGCAAAGTGGCGCAGCTCCTCCCCCTTCAAATGTCACTCCCCTCAGCGAAGACACCCGGGTTGGTCCACCCCCACTGCGCCCCCTTCCTGTGCCCCTGGGTTAAAAGGTAAAGGGACCCCTGACCGTTAGGTCCAGTTGTGACTGACTCTGGGGTTGCAGTGCTCATCTCGCCAAAGGAGCCGGCGTACAGCTTCCGGGTCATGTGTCCGGCATGACCAAGCCGCTTCTGGCGAACCAGAGCAGCGGATGGAAATGCCGTTTACCTTCCCGCCAGAGCAGTACCTATTTATCTACTTGCAGTCTGATGTGCTTTCGAACTGCTAGGTTGGCAGGAGCAGGGACCGAGCAACGGGAGCTCACCCTGTCGCGGGGATTTGAACCGCCAGCCTTTTGATCAGCAAGTCCTAGGCTCTGTGGTTTAACCCACAGCGCCACCCGCGTCCCAATGCCCCTGGGTTACATACATGCAAAAATAACCTTGTTTCGTAAAGTCCTTCCACAGAAGGTGCAATGAGTAACATTTGCCACCAGGGGTTGATTCTTCTCCCGTGTCTTGCTAGTTTTCAAAAAGCTGTGTCAAAAAGCTAGATTTCCCATATCTTCTAGTGAAAACCCACTTCCATCTTTGCTATCTGATATAGCCAGTCAAAGTAAGCTGGGAAAGTCCTTGCTGGGATTCTAGCACCCGATCATATAAACTGCCATCCAGGAAGAAACTGGAATGGATAATAAGTTGTTGAGCTTTTTTGCCTGTTTATTTTTCAGGAAAATTGCCAAAAACAACACTGCCGACATGGGTTGATATGCGTCCGGATTTTCCCGGACATTTTTAGCAGTTTCCGCCCAGCCACTGCTTCTGGCTGCAGTATTCCAGGTATGTCCGGGAAATTCCGGATGTATGGCAACCCTATTAAATCTCAAAATTACCCTCAAATTTTAAGAGATGATATAGGTTTTGGGGGTTAGTTTGGATGATGCCTATGGATCCCAACCATGCCTGTGGTTTTGCATGCATGCAACTATGTATTCAACATCCAATGTATATATAAATTTGGTTCAAAGCCTTCTATGAGCCAGAAGTACACTTAATCCATTTGCGGGGTGATGAGACTGACTGATACCCTTGCATTCTCCTTGATGATGATCTCTGTGTACTACTGCAAGATAAAAACATATTATCCTAGACTCGATGAATATCCAAGCTTTGGAACTGAGCCTCAGTCAGGAGTTCTGAAACTTTACCATAGCAAATCACCCCTGGGGGAGGTGGGAATATCAAGAAATAGTGTCTCTCCCAAAGGTATGGACATTTCCCATTTCCAACAGACTCAAGCAGGAAATAGTTTGTATCTGCTGTGTGGGCAGCCGAAGCCGCCTCACTTCCTTGTTTTCGAGAACAAGACCATCTCATGGGACAGGCCTGTGTCAGAAAGAGCCAAGGGCAATGTCATGTTTCCCAGGCCAGGCGCTCAAACCTACCTTCTCAGGGAAGGCTAAGTTGTTTCCAACATCCATTGCATAATAGCAGAATTAACCTATCTTTTGGTAGCAGCTGAACTGGGGAAAGCAGGATGGTAACATTTGCATGTTGAGGTCCCCAAGCCACCCCCCAAAGAAATCACAATTCACACAGAATTTTTGTTTAACGTTTTTGGCATAATTTTGGCCACAACTTTATTAAAATGCATAATGTGAGTGGTTGCTTAGGCACTGGTTACAACTATCTGTTCCTGCCCAGGGACAGAACTGACTTCCGCCACCCTGCGAAAGTCAGTAAGGGAAAACATTATGGGGAGAGAATGGAGCTGGGCGACAGGCTCTCCCCTCTCCCCGAATGCTCCCAGGGGCTTGCGTGGCCCAAGCCCCTTGCCAGGGATTCGGACAAAAGCATGGCAAACCCCTGGATTCCTTTAATGGAATTCCCTTGCAGCAGCAGCATTGGAGGGGCAGGCACAGACAACCCAGACCCCTCCACCAACCAATTTTTTAACCAATGCCTAACCGCAACCTTACAAGCTGTGACGATTTGCTACGTAGTAGGCAAAAACCAAATGGCACCAGCCAATCTGCCAGATGGACAAAATTCCTACCGGGCCCCTGCCCCAAAGCAGACGACCCCATGACAGGCATAGCAAGGTCAAACGCAACAGCCCTAAATTAGGGAAGGTAGGCGGGCGATCCAATGTGCGGAGTGAAAAGAGGAAGCTCAACGTTGTGTGTGAGGAATATATAACGTTCGGGTTATCCAGCAATTTGGTAACATCAAAATCTCCCTTACAACCCAGAATAGCCCAGTCACAGTCATGGCCATCTAGACAATCCCGCCCAGCAACCAAAAGGGGGTGTTCTGCTAGATCCCCACCGCAACACGTGCTCTCCATGAAGGAGGACACACTGTTCAAAGAATGTTAAGAAACTTCAGGCTGTGTGTGTGAGAGAGTGCGCACATGCACACACACACACACAGAGGGTTGGATTAACACGGGTGGCGCTGTGGGTTAAACCACATAGCCTAGGGCTTGCCGATCAGAAGGTTGGCGGTTCGAATCCCCGCGACGGGGTGAGCTCCCATTGCTCTGTCCCTGCTCCTGCCCACCTAGCAGTTTGAAAGCACGTCAAAGTGCAACTAGATAAATAGGTACCGCTCCAGCGGGAAGGTAAACAGCGTTTCCGTGCGCTGCTCTGGTTCGCCAGAAGCGGCTTAGGCATGCTGGCCACATGACCCGGAAGCTGGCTCCCTCGGCCAATAAAGCAAGATGAGCACAGCAACCCCAGAGTCGGTCACGACTGGACCTAATGGTCAGGGGTCCCTTTACCTTTACCTTTTATATATATCTACCTTACTTTCCCGTCTATAAGACACCCCCATGTATAAGATGCCCCCAATTTTTGGAGACTGGAATTTAAGAAAAGGGGGGGAGATGGCACAAAGTTGTTGAAATTTTTGGGGAGAGAATTCAGCAGAGTTGTTGAGCTTTTGGGGGGAGGGGGATTACCAAGGGTTATTGAGCTTTCTTTAGAGGGGAACAATGAAAACCGCGCACACGCACGCGTTGCAAAATCCACCTCCCGTCTGTCCCCTCGCTGACAGAAGCTGCCAATTGCCTGCCCAATTACTGCAGCATCACCCAGTCAACACCACCCATTGACACAGCAACCAATAACATGCACAATAGCCTCTGACAGCCACGACAGCAACCAATCAAACGTCCACCCTATGCACTACCCAGGTATAAGATGACCCCAACTTTTAGCATGATTTCTAAGGGAAAAAAACATAGTCTTATACACGGAAAAGTATGGTAATTCAAAATATAAACAACAATAATAATAAACAAAATATTATTTTTCTGAAATGAAACAAAACATACAAGAAGATGGAAAATGATGTTTATTTTTCTATATTTGTATAAATAATATATATAATATAATATTTTGTTTTATATGTCCTCCTTCCCAATATGCTTATTTTGCTGAATGGTTTATCAACACACACACACACACACACACACACACACACACACAGACACTGTATTTCCCAAAAATATATTGTGCTCAAAGCAATTCACAGAAAAGAGAGATCTGTTATTATTTCTATTTATTAAGCATCATCTGCTTGTTATCCAAAGGTCTCCAAGTGACTTGCACGGGGGGGGGGGGTATGCAAATGCGTTATACCATAGAAAAAACACCTAGATTTTTATACTCGTTTGAGGCAATACTATCCACTCTGAGAGCTAATGAAAGCAATGTTTTCATGCTGTGAAGAAAGTTAGTTTAGTTTATTACGGCCATAGGCCCACATTCAATACATCATACAAGAGAACAGGTATAACAAGATAAAATTAATAAATTAAATTACGTTTAAGTCAAGTACATCTCAATTCGTAAGTTTCTAAATTCCATTAAAATAAGAACAATATAGCGCTTAAAGTATCAAATTATCAGTATAAATCAATATTATTTAGGCAAAATCAATAATCATAGAGTAATCCATTTTTCCTTTTATAGGCTAATACTGTTATCAGAAATCTGGCAACAGAAAGGGACCTACTCGGATCAGAATCTTGCAATAAATGTATTAGCTGTGTTTCCAAGGAATCACCTGAGATTTCCAATAACAAAGGAGACAAAAATCTGCTCCGAGAAACTGAATGTAGTGAACAGCAGAATAGTATATGTTGTAAAGATTCTATAGATCTATTATCACATACACACACCGCTGAGATCCGACCATTGGAAAATCTATTATTCAAGACATTGGAAGGAAAGGCGTTAAATCTTGCCTTAATAAAGGCATATCTGTGGGCCGCTACAGACAAAGAGGTCAAATAAGATGGTATCTGCTGTGAGGGCACTATGCCAAGATTTAATGGTGAGCAAGTGCCACTACCCAAAATGGTGTTTTGTTGTAGGTCAATCTCCTCAAGTTTTTGAGTGAGGGTTTTTTTGCTGTGGCTAGGTCCAATTCCAATAATTCTGATGGAGACAATCCATAGGTCACTACTTTGGAATGGATCTCTTTTGCCCCTAGGACGGGAAAATTATCTCTCCAGAGGCATTGGATCAAATACAGATTCGGGAGCCTATGCCTTAAGGACAACCAGTAACAAAGGCTGCGCCTCCAAAGAGTATTTTCTAAAGATGTAGTTTTTAATTCTATGCTGTGAAGAAAGTATTTTTAGCACATAATTTCAATAAACCTTTAAATAGCAATGGACATGCTCTCAGGAAGTGCCCATGACTTGTTTTTTTAAAAAAATATTATAATGATCTTGGGACACAATAGATATTTAACAGCTTTTCGGGTAGGTGCGGGGGAGAGGAAAAAAAATATCTGTAGATAGAGAACATTCTGTGTCCTTTCTATTGTTCAGTCCAAACAAAAAAGCAGACTAAAGGGTAAAGCTGTCTTTTTTACTCAAATTGGTTCTGTGCAGCAGTTGAGCTTGTCTTTCCCAGACGTTTAGACGAGGGGTTACATCCAGCTCTCTGTTTTCTGGAGCTCTGTGGGTGCAATAAGACTTCCATTTCCCCTCCTCCTTTCTGCCTATCCCGAAGTGAACTTTAGGGTTTTTTGTACATGTTTATTTTTCTATCCAAAGGCCAGGACAAACTTCTAGCAATGGTATTAATACAGTGGTACCTCGGGTTATGTACTTAATTCATTCTGGAGGTCCGTTCTTAAACCTGAAACTGTTCTTAACTTGAAGCACCACTTTAGCTAATGGGGCCTCCTGCTGCTGCCGTGCCGCCGGAGCACGATTTCGGTTCTCATCCTGAAGCAAAATTCTTAACCCGAGGTAATATTTCTGGGTTAGCGGAGTCTGTAACCTGAAGCATATGTAACCTGGAGCGTATGTAACCCGAGGTACCACTGTACAGTGGTACCTCGGGATGCGAATGGGATCCGTTTCGGAGACCCGTTCGCATCCTGAACAGAACGCAAGACGCAACGGCGTGTTTGCGTGTGCACGGGTCGCGTTTCGCCGCTTCCGCGCATGCGCGTGACATCATTTTGAGCGTCTGCGCGAGCAGCGAAACCCGGAAGTAATGCATTCCATTACTTCCGGGTTGCCGTGGAGCACAACTCGAATGCGCTCAACCCGAAGCGCATTCAACTCGAGGTATGACTGTACAGTCATACCTTGGAAGTCGAACGGAATCCGTTCTGGAAATCAGTTCAACTTCCAAAACGTTTGGAAACCAAAGCACGGCTTCCGAATGGCTGCAGGAAACTCCTGCAGCCAATCAGAAGCCCCACCAGATGTTAGGCTTCCAAAAGCAGTTCGCAAACTGGAACAGTCACTTCCGGGTTTGCAGCATTCAGGAACCAAAACGTCCGGGAACTAAACTGTTCGAAAACCAAGATATGACTGTAATGTAATTTTAAAGCTTCCATTTCTCTTCCATAAAGTGCTGAAATCTGGAAGTGAGCAACTTTTGAATGAGCTGTTGTGGTCCAGCATATCTGAAGGTTACCGGGTTGGGAGAAACTGCTTTATACGGGGAGGGGGAACCTGAATTTTTTCCAAAGGGCATATGGTCCCAGAACCCAGGTTTCTAAGAACCCAGGTCCTAAAGACTTGATCCAACAAGTGGCAAGCGGAATCAAACTAATCTTTCTGGTCCTCTGTTCCTGATTTCCCAGTACAGTCGTACCTTGGTTTTCGAACAGCCTAGTTCTCGAACATTTTGGCTCCTGAACACCGCAAACCCAGAAGTGATTTTTCTGGTTTGCAAACTATTTTTGGAAGCTGAACATCCGATGGGGCTTCCGTGGCTTCTGATTGGCTGGAGGAACTTCCTCCAGCCGATCGGAAGCTGTGCTTTGGTTTTCAAACATTTTCAAAAACCTGTTCTACTTCCAAGGTACGGCTGCACACTACATTCAGCAATGAATGTGGTCAAAATATTCTTCTCGAATTCCAAGGGTGTGGGTATTCCACATCTCTCAATTTCTGCACACTGTCACATCTGATTGCAAGGAAGGAAGAAATGATTACAGCTGTCTTCTGCAGTAACCTGAAGGCTTTGTCAATCCCACAGAGGATACCGTGAACCAGGTAGAAAAGAACGCATCTGGGAAAGCAAACAAACTATACTTAACATTCTCCACACATACATTCCCATAATCATTTCACATGCTCAAGTTCCATATTGTTTGAAAGATGGAGAACTGGATCAGAGAAGGGGTTTTTTCCCCCCATTTAAAAATGCATTAAAGTCCCTGAACACATGAGATTGATTAGGTGAAGTCCATTTGCCTGATTTTGTTTCCAAGGGAAATGTGAAGCGATTATGGTGAATTCCTGCAGAGCAGCATTCATCTAAAATTCTTCTCAGGCTCATTTATCTCCAAACAGCTGCTAAATGGATATACCTGGAATGAAGCCACATTAAACAGCAGCTCTTAAGAAACAGCATCATTTCCTTTTCTTCAGGGCTAGCAATTTTTATTTTTTATTTTTATTTTTAAAAATACACTCGAACGCTGCAAAGAAATTGGTTGAAACATATTCTATTTTAAGACACACCACATCACCCTCATGTTGTTGTAGGGTTCTAACTGATATGGCAGGTTCAAAAGTTTGACTAAACGTTCGTGAAATAAGCTTACTTTATTTATATTGCTCATAAAGGAATTTAAGACTCTCTGGCTAAGGTCTTGTGAGCATATTACATTTTTGCAGTGATTGACTATGTGATAAATAGCATTTTCCCTGGGGGTCATTGCCATCCTTTCCCTAAATAAAGATGGGTTGCGGTTTCTTCCGGGAGGGGGGATTTTTGCTTGGTTTCAGTGAATTGCTTCCAGATTCTAATTAGGACCAAACCAAACCAAATAACTTTATCGTACTAGCCATTGGCCTTGACAAATCTGAATCAAAAATAAATGCACGTAAAGAGATGCAGCACCACAAATAATAGTCTCTGTTTAGATCTCTGCGTCTCCCTTACAGTTTAATTAGGACAAAAGGTATGTTTCCTTGAAGAAGAAAAACAGTTACTTCTTGGTAGAGCTACAAGATGCAAACTCTGAATCAGAGGTTTGTAATTGCACCAAAGGGACGTGGGTGGCGCTGTGGGTTAAACCACAGAGCCGAGGACTTGCTGATCAGAAGGTCGGCGGTTCAAATCCCCACGACGGGGTGAGCTCCTGTTGCTCGGTCCCTGCTCCTGCCAACCTATCAGTTCGAAAGCATGTAAAGTGCAAGTAGATAAATAGGTACCACTCCGGCGGGAAGGTAAACGGTGTTTCCGTGCACTGCTCTGGTTCGCCAGAAGCGGCTTAGTCATGCTGGCCACATGACCCGGAAGCTGTACACCGGCTCCCTCAGCCAATAAAGTGAGATGAGCGCCACAACCCCAGAGTCGGCTACGACTGGATCTAATGGTCAGGGGTCCCTTTACCCTTTACCTTTTAATTGCACCAAAATACATAGGGACTTAAGGTGAAATTCAACTAAATTTTCTCACTACCACAAGGATTAGTGCTGGAACAAGAGGATTTTCCCACCCTCTCCTCCCACCATGGGTGCCTTCCAAATCTGCCCCAAAGAGTCCGGTGAACCCCCAGAACAGATATAGGGGTACAAAGGGAGAGGAGAGAGGTAGAACATTACATTGTGCAAGAAACAAATCCTTGTGCTGACGGAACGTTCACCTTAGCACTATATTGAATTATAGCCCTTAATTTAATCCAGTTCCACTAAAGGCTTGCATTATTAGATCAGATCAGTACATCAGGCAAGCTGCAGGTTGAAGGAATCAGCAAATACATGAGAAGTTAAATGCATGGCTAAGCATGAGCTAAGAGGTTGAGCCAACAAGTGGCATGTCCCTGCAGCTTCCTTTTGAAGAGTGGGGCAGAAACAGCTCCTTGCATGGCAAGCAGCTGGTGTCCTAAGACTGGGTAAGCAGACATGCCCTCCTTTCTCTGTGGGGCATACCAGGAGAGGCGGTCCCGTAGGTACAAGGGTCCTAGGCCGTATAGGGCTTTAAAGGTTAAAACCAGCACCTTAAACCTGCTCCTGTACTCCACCGGGAGCCAGTGCAGCTGGTATAGCACCGGGTGAATGTGATCTCGCAGCGAAGACCTCGTAAGGAGTCTCGCTGCAGCATTCTGCACCCGCTGGAGTTTCTAGGTCAGTCTCAAGGGCAGCCCCACGTAGAGCGAGTTACAATAATCCAGTCTGGAGGTGACCGTCACGTGGATCACAGTGGCCTTTCCACAGTCAATATCCTATCCAAAATATAGCTGGAAGTGAGTTGGAACATGGTGGTGCTATGGGCACAACACTGCAAACGTGAGATGATGGGTGCTGCAAACAGCTCTTACTTCCCTTTGACAGCCCTTAAGATATTTGAAGATGGGGTTCCAATTAACATTTGCAAAAAAGCCTGAAGCATTTTTGTTAGGGATTGTAGGGAAAGACCTGCCAAGGAAATTGAAAAACATCTTTATGTATGCAACAACAACGGCGGCAAGAGTCTTAATAGCACAAGGATGGAAGAATGAAGAAATCCCGACCAAAGAACTGTGGCAAGAGAAACTGATGGACTATGTGGAATTGGCGAAGTTGACACATAAACTATGTGATAAGGACAACTGTGACTTTAAAGAAGAATGGGAACCTTTTACAAAGTACTTAAAGAAACAACAAAATGAATTGGACTCCTTGGCAGGTTTTGAATAAACACTCACAAACTTTTTATTGGTAACATATAGATAAATAAATTAAGGATCTTTACAATTTTATAACATGCAGAGAATAACATGTGCTGAAAAACCAGAGAGAGGAGCTGAGGGAAGTCCGGGGGGGCGCGAGAGGGTGGGTTTTTCTTTTTGGGGGATGGGGGAGGGAAAAGGGGGAGAAAAAATGAGGAAGATGTGTTTTTGATGAACTGTTATGTTGAAATTCCTAATAAAAATATTCCCCCAAAAAAGATATTTGAAGATGGCTATCAAATCATATCATATCGAAGGCTGATCGCCGAAGAATGGATGCTTTTGAATTATAGTGCTGGAGGAGACTCTTGAGAGTCCCATGGACTGCAAGAAGAACAAACCTATCCATTCTTAAGGCAATCAGCCCTGAGTGCTCACTGGAAGGACAGATCTTGAAGCTGAGACTCCAATACTTTGGCCACCTCATGAGAAGAGAAGACTCCCTGGAAAAGACCCTGATGTTGGGCAAGATGGAGGGCACAAAGAGAAGGGGACGACAGAGGATGAGATGGTTGGATGGTGTCCTCAAAGCTACCAGCATGAGTTTGACCAAACTGCGGGAGGCAGTGGAGGACAGGAGTGCCTGGCGTGCTCTGGTCCATGGGGTCGCGAAGAGTCAGACATGAGTAAACGACTAAACAACAATCATATCTCCTCTCAGTCTCCTCTTTTCCAGGCTAAACACACTCAGCTCCTTCGAGTGTTCCTCCTAAGGCTTAGTTTCCAGACCCTTGATCATTTGGTTGCCTTCCTCTGCACACGTTCTGGAAACATTTGCAATTTTTGAAACTAAATTATCTGCCTGTCTTTTCTTGCTGCTGTATAGAAAAGCACGTGAAGCTGACCTTTGAAGAGATGGTTGAGTAAGCCATTTAAAACTTACTAAACGTGTGGTGTCTTTCTAGGCTAACAGAAGTGGGTAACTTTGGAAGAAACACAGAAGGGGATATTTTAAAGGTCTAGCGCTCTATATTTCCAGGCTTGGCTTTGCTGCATGTTTTCTGATTTAAAAATCTCTGCTGGGGTTCTCAAGAGTACTTGCTCCAAACCTGGATCTAGGCATCCTTTTATTCTTTAACCAAACTATCAAAACCCAACCAGGCAGACAACTGACTTAAGATAAAAGGCAAAGTTAAGCACTAGCAAATTGGGCATTGGAGAAACCTCAGTGTGTCCTGCTTTCTGGAACCCACAATGGTAGCTTAATTCAAGGAGCTAGAAAATGCGTACCACAAACCACTTCATTTAGGACAGGCAATGTTCCAACAGTATCCCAGCTCTCTCGATTCCAGTGCCAATTCTCTATTCTTATTCCTGTTGTCTCCATTGCATTCTCCTATCCCATCCAAATACTTGTCATTTGATTTTATTTCCTCTATCCTTTGACTATACTTCCTCAACAAGTCCCATTTCCAACAATCGTCCGCTTCCAATGTAACATTTTGTACTCACTCACTCACTGATCGATTGGCTTTTGTATCTCCCTTCCCATCAAAATGGTCCTGAAGAGCTTTTAGGAGGCTTTTAAAAGGAATGACACAGGCACCAAATACACGGAGATGTCACAAGGGAACATTTCCCCATTGGATTCATACCTGTGACCTTAGATTTCAGTCAGGCTCTGCCCTTTGATACACACCAAAGCAGCTCAAAATGTAAGTGGTCGATGGATGTGGTGGTATGATCAGAACAAATAGTGAACTTACAAAACCAAGGCTGAAGAGGATTTGTGTATGTGTTTAATAATAATAATAATAATAATAATAATAATAATAATAATTTATTATTTATACCCCGCCCATCTGGCTGGGTTTCCCCAGCCACCCTGGGTGGCTTCCAACAGAATATTAAAATACAATAACCTATTAAACATTAAAAGCTTCCCTAAACAGGGCTGCCTTTAGATGTCTTCTAAAAGTTTGGTAGTTATTTTTCTCTTTGACATCTGGTGGGAGGGCGTTCCACAGGGCGGGTGCCACTACCGAGAAGGCCTTCTGCCTGGTTCCCTTTAACTTGGCTTCTCGCAGCGAGGGAACCACCAGAAGGCCCTTGGTGCTGGACCTCAGTGACCGGGCTGAACAATGGGGGTGGAGACGCTCCTTCAGATATACTGGACCGAGGCCATTTAGGGCTTTAAAGGTCAGCATCAACACTTTGAATTGTGCTCGGAAACGTACTGGGAGCCAATGTATGTCTTTCAAGACTGGTGTTATGGTCTCGGTGGTAACTTTGGAAGAAGTTTAGGACTCCCCCTTCCCTGATCTGATTTGGGGCCTAATCTGGGATTTCCTGCTGGGAACAGATGTGTGCAGCCAAAGCACAGTGTGCAGCTATTTGAAAGTCCTTTTGTAAACTGCCTCTCCTTCTCCCCCACCCACCATCCCACCGCACCCGACGGTGAGCCTGGGCTGTCTCAATCCAACTCAACTGAAGCCTGATTCCACCTGAATCAGCTCAATTCTGTTCAGAGCCAGTGTATAGTGGTTAAGAGCAGTGGACTCATAATCTGGTGAACCAGGTTCGCGCCTCCGCTCCTCCACATGCAGCTGCTGGGTGACCTTGGGCTAGTCATACATCTCTGAAGTCTCTCAGCCCCACTCACCTCACAGAGTGTTTGTTGTGGGGGAGGAAGGGAAAGGAGAATGTTAGCCGCTTTGAGACTCCTTCAGGTAATGATAAAGCGGGATATCAAATCCAAACTCCTCCTCTTCTTCTTCTTCTTCTTCTTCTTCTTCTTCTTCTTCTTCTTCTGGTGCACAACCAGTGCTATTTTTCTAGAAAAAGAGGTGCCTGCACTCACCATGAACTTCTCCCTTGCTCTCTTATAATAGCAATGGCTGAGAGGTGCCAGAATTGATTTCCGGTGAGTTCCAGCTGGAAAAAAACCCCTGTGCACAACCCTAGATTTATTTGCCCAATGCTCTGAACCCTGCTTTCGTTAAAGTTGCAATCATGTTAAGTATCCTGGTGGAGAAAGAGGAAGAAAAGAGAATGGAGAATAATTTGGGGGCTTGAAACACTCCTCTCTTTTGAGGTGGGTTTTTGTGAGCCCCCAAGGCTCTTATCTGAACTAACAGAATTTCTCTGGGACCCTACAATTAGCTAGGTTACTTAATATAACACCATGCTGCTAGATGGAGCCATGCGGTATTCCGAAACACCCTAAAGAAAAAGCAAGCTTTTTAAAAGGTGAGTTGCCGGAGCTCTTCTGCAGCTTCCCATTAATCTGCTGCTTGGGTGGGCTTCTGGAGAGGACATTACGAAATGGCAAATATATGCGGAAGGACATATTGAGGAATAACCTTGCAGAAGGAAGGGACCTTGCAGTTCTGTGGGAATTAGCTGCTTGACCATCTAGTCAAGTCCAATGCAATTAAACTGAAGCGATTTTAGAGATTTAACTAGTTTTTACTATAGGGCACTGTATCTTGAAAGCCGCTTACAGAATATTGTAGTTAAGCAGTATATAAATTGCTCAGCCAAACAAACAAACAAGCAAACAAACAAACAAACAGCTAGCTAGCTAGCACAGTTCCTCCTCTATGCATGCTGGCTGAACTTGTATAGCAACCATAGTGGAGATGGTCAGGACCACAGTTTCCTGCTCACCTCTATGCTTCTTTACATTACGTGCGTAGAAAGGTGCTCTGTACTCACGAATACCATTACGTCTTGCAGTTCCACCCCCTCTTCTGTTACTTCCTGTGGAGACGAGGAGACAACCAGAACAAAATTCCTTTTTGAAAGGTGATGGGAAAAAGAGCATTTTATTTGAGATGGGAGATCCCAAAGTGGTGACTTAGCAGGAAAATGAATGGGCGTGATTAATGAGTTGAAACATCATTTGTGCTGTACAATGGCCCAGCGTGTCCACGCAGTAACACTCCCCCCAAAGGAGCCCTTTAGACAAATTCACACACTTTGCAGCCTCTGATGCAGTGATGCATTCTGCTGGAACTGGTCACACAGTGGATTTTTTCAGCCGTGCTGTCAGTGTGCCCGAAATCTGCGCAGCCTTCCCAGAATTCAGCGTCCCTAACACGGTCAGCTTGGCCTCTGGCAAGGGTCTACTGTGGAGTAAAAGTCAGAGACTAGCAGTGCATTGGCTTTGCTCTGAGGCTACTGTTTCAACAACAACAACAGGCTAAAATAGCAGCTTTGCACATGGTGTTTGTGCTGCCCCTATTGGCCCCTTGAGATATTTCAGTAAATGCAAGGAGCGATGCTAAACTCAATGGAGGCAGCAGAAAAGTGCCAAGAATTGGAGAAACTTTTTGTTCTGGTGTGTGTGTGTGTGTATGTTTTGAAAAATCTATTGTAGCTATTTCTGATTTTTAAAAAAGCAAAAACATTTAAATGGGTTCCTTTAGTTCAGGGATGACTAAACCGCGGCCCTTCAGATGCGACTGAACTCCAGCTTCCATTAGCCCCATTCAGCATAGCTGATGGTCAGAGGAGATGTGGTCCATGCTTTTTAACCACCAGCTTAAAACAATATAAAGATGATCAACGCTGGCTGAATCAAACCAGATTCACACCGTTTTAACAGCAGCAGCTGGACCGATTTGAGGCAAAGGTTTACAGGGACCCAAAAGGCAAGAGGTGGGAGGAATGGAAGAGGAGAAGAAGCATGGTGCTGATAATGCCCGGGTTGCAGGATCAATGCATATTCTGCATTGCAGGGGGTTGGATTGGACCAGGCTTCTTCAACCTCGGCCCTCCAGATGTTTCTGGCCTACAACTCCCATGATGCCTAGCTAGCAGGACCAGTGGTCAGGGATGATGAGAATTGTAGACTCAAAACATCTGGAGGGACGAGGTTGAGGAAGCCTGGATTGGACTCTACAAAATGAGGATGCGGGAATAATGAGAGGAGAAGTTGGAAGAGGAAGTTCCAGGTTCAATTTCTGGCACTTTCAGTTTAAAAAGGAAGCAGGTATCAGGGGCTGGGAGAGACCCTCTCGGCCTGAGACTCTATTATCTAGCAGTCAAGATAAGCAATACTGAGCTATATGAACAAATCGCCAGACCTGCTATGAGGCCAGTTTGCATGTTTCTGTGACATATTAAGCCAATGTTGCTTTTCCATTAGATGGAGGTGCCACACAATCCTAATACTTTTCTCATGTTCAATGCAGTTTATGAGCATCAGAAGATTCCTGCTTCTTCAGGCCAAATGTCCAGCATCAGGATCTCACCATGGTCAGCCAAATACCCATGGGAAGGCCAAAAGCAGAACAGAACTTTCCCTGGTTGTGCCGTCCCAGAAGCTGGTACTCAAGAAGGCTACTTGCAACCTTCTTCCCTGAATTTGTCTAATCTTCTTTTAAAGCCAGCCAAGTTGGTGGACATCACTGTCTCCTGTGGGAGCAGATTTCATCATGTCACACTATCTGCTGTGTGAAGAAGCAATTCCACCATGCATAATTTTACACATCCCTATCCGGTCTCCTTTTACTTTACTTTCCTCTAAACTAAAAAGCCTCCGATTGTGGCTACTTTTCCTTATAGAAGAGATCTTTATAGAAGAGATCCTTATAGAAGAGATCTTGATCTTTCCGATTGCTCCCTTTTCGAACCTTTCTCAGCTCTACAATATGCTTTTCGGGGAGGGGTGAGCAGATCTCTACACAGTACTCCAGATGTGGTGGCACCATAGAATTTCATAGTGACGTTATGATACCAACAGTTTTATTTTCAATTCCTTTTCTGTGCCCCTGAAGGACCAGGTGTGCAGCCTGGGAATCATTTTGGACTCACAGCTGTCCATGAAGGCGCAGGTCAATTCTGTGTCCAGGACAGCTGTTTACCAGCTCCACCTGGTACACAGGCTGAGACCCTACCTGCCCGCAGACTGTGTCACCAAAGTGGTCTACTTAGAAACTAGAAACTAATCCAGAATGTGGCTGCCAGACTGGTGACTGGCAGTAGCCACTGGGACGATATAACACCAGTCCTGAAAGACCTACATTGGCTCCCAGTACATTTCTGAGCACAATTCAAAGTGTTGGTGCCGACCTTTAAAGCCCTAAACGACCTCGGCCCAGTATACCTGAAGGAGCGTCTCCACCCCCATCGTTCAGCCCAGACACTGAGGTCCAGCTCCGAGGGCCTTCTGGCAGTTCCCTCACCACGAGAAGCGAGGTTACGGGGAACCAGGCAGAGGGCCTTCTTGGTAGTGGCACCAGTCCTGTGGAACGCCCTCCCATCATATGTCAAGGAGATAAACAACTATCTGACTTTTAGAAGACATCTGAAGGAAGCCCTGTTTAGGGAAGTTTTTAATGTTTGATGTTTTGTCACTTGATGATGATGATGGGAGCCACCCAGAGTGGCTGGGGAAACTCAGCCAGATGGGGGTATCAATAAGTTGTTGTTGTTGTTATTCCTAATGGTCCATGCCTTTATCAAGTTAGCCCCTGTGACCTGTTCCTGGTCTCATTCCTGGGTAGTTCAGAGGAGCATATCTGTGAAATTACGGGCACATTTGTTTGACCCATATTTTGATCGTGCTGCGTACCAGTTACCATTCCCCCACCCGCTGTCCGAGAGCTTCTCTGAGAGAGCTTCTCTTTTGCCTTGCGAAAACCTGACACTACCTGTCGAATCAGATCCTATCAGATGCATGGGATTTTGCCTTGCTGCACTTCAGTTCAAGGGCGCAAGATTGGACTTTTGCAAGGCACAGCCAGAGAGCAAAATAGAAAGCCCTTGGGCCTGGGGGAATTTGCTGGTACAGAATGTCATCAAAATGCAGCTCAAGCGAAAGTGTGGATGAACCCCAAGATTCTTTGCTCTGCCATGCGTCTTGCCTTGACCATTTTACCTGTTCACATCTTCTTCGTGCAACTATCTACTATCTTCCACAAACTATGAATTTGACAAATTCATGGAGGAAAGGGCTACCGAAAGCTACTAACCGCAATGGCTAAGATCTGCATCCACAGATGGAGGCAGCAATGTTTTTGAATCTTCTTCTTTGGAGATCACTCATAGCCAGGTAAGATGGTCTTCCATAAACACAGTCCTAACAGTGAATCCGTGACTGTGGAGGCTAATTCTGGATCCACACGTCCTTCCGCAGTGGGGACATTGGTTTCCGGGTGGGAGTTGATCCTGGATGCTTAACTACAGGTAGATGGGCTATGGACTTGATCCAAAGTGTACGTCTACTTAAGGATTAACAGCAACCAATAGTCTCTAATAATAATAGACTCCATCTTTCCAAGAATGGACATAGAAGAAACCACAACATCCTCTGGCATTTGTAGCCCCAGCAGGATGTGGTAGAACAGTGCCTTGCCAACAGAACCTGCTCAAAATAGTTAATGTTGCCAACCCTAGGAGAAACTAGATCAACATATGCACAATTCATGATATGCATACACTTAAAGCTACTTCAAAAGGAGCATCTGCACCGCCATCATTCTGTCCAGACACTGAGGTCCAGCGCCGAGGGCCTTCTGGTGGTTCCCTTGCTGCGAGAAGCCAAGTTACAGGGAACCAGGCAGAGGGCCTTCTCAGTAATGGGACCTGCCCTGTGGAACGCCCTCCCACTGGATGTCAAAGAGAAAAACTACCAGACCTTTAGAAGACATCTGAAGGCAGCCCTGTTTAGGGAAGCTTTTAATGTTTAATAGGTTATTGTATTTTAATGTTCTGTTGGAAGCCGCCCAGAGTGGCTGGGGAAACCCAGCCAGGGTATAAAATTATTATTATTATTATTATTATTATTATTATTATTATCTGAAGTTCTTAAATATTAAATATGCTAGCCTATATGCTAACAACTATCTTTTTCCATTAAAAAAAAAAAAGGCAATTGAAATCCCCTCTCCTGGTTAGTGCTTGCCAGCTCCAACCCCAAAAGGGACTTGGACAAGTGAATTAACCAGCCAGGATTGCTCAGTCGGCAGAGCATGAGACTCTTAATCTGAAGGTCGTGGGTTCAAGCCCCACTTGGGATGAAAGATTCCTGCATTGCAGGGGGATGGACTAGATGACTCTCTGGTGCCTACAGTTCTATAATTCCCTGGTTAAGTGTGCATGGATTGCTGCCTGAGCTGGGAGAGCCTCGCAGGTAGAAACTTTTCCTTTTTTCACCCAGCCCCGCTGACATGCAAGGGGGGCTCCCTTCCCAGTCCATGCGCCTCGGGTCCGACAGCCTTCTGGAATTGCCACGGATGGGAAACAAGAGAGTCGAGCGGGAGCGACGGCGGTGAGACAGGCGAGCAGAGGGTGGGCGAGATGCGATCCTGGGAGGCGCGTTGGAGGAGGGGAGGCTGGCCGGAGAAGGAATGTAGACGGAGCGCAGCAGGGAGCAGAAAGGGCTGGGATGGGGTGTGTGAAACAGGACATGGAGCGGGGGCGACCTCGCGAGGGAGGAGCCCGAGGAGGGGGCGGGCGGCGGCAGCAGCAGCTTCAGCATCTCCTCGCAGGCTGCCGGGGAAGTTGGCCGCGCTTGCACGGGACGGCGGGCTCTCCAACAGCGCAGCGCCCGTGGGATCAATTGGATCCACGCTCTGCCCAACAGCCGGGAAGGGGGAAAGGGGACGATCGGCCGGAAAGAGCGCCGGACTCCGGGTATATAAGGCGCTCCGAACGTCCCAGGATGTGGCGCGCCGGGCAGGGAGCCGCGTCGGAGCGAGGTGAGCGGAGGCGCGCGGGATGGAACGCCGGGAGACTCCGCGAAGTTTGGGGTGCCGTTTACACGGCAGCGGTCTGTAATCCGAATTAGTGTGACCCGCTTGGGGATGGAACGCCAGGGGACTCTCGGCTGACGCTTGGGGTGCCGTTTACACGTCAGTGTTCTGTCATCCGAATTAGTGCGAACCGGTTGGGGATCGGGATTTTTTTTGGGGGGGGGAATCGTGAGTACTAGGGATCTAGAGGGGGGGAATGGTTAGCTCAGCATTGCGCTCCTGCGATGTGGCAAGGACTGGCCATCCTTTTCCCGCAGCGCGGTTTGTATTACCATTTTGCCTCAGGAGTCTGTAAAAGTTTGCAGCGCTTCCCGGAGGAGAGGAGATGCCTCTGGATTCCCACCATCGTCAACTGCTGGGAGACTTAACTGGCGGTGGTGGTGCGTTGATGATACTGTAGTTATAATAATAAACTGCAAAGGGAGAGAAAGCAGGGGCCTCATCTAAAACTTTTCCTCACCTGCTTTCTGCTGCTTCTGCTCAGTTTGTTCATTTGACTCGTAAATGTTGAGTTGCATATGCGCGCGCGTGTGTCTCTTTGGCCGCAGAGCTGTTTGTCTTGGAAGACTTCGCCGCTGAAAGCAAAGGGGATGGTGACTGATGGATCTCCAAATTACTTGGGATGCTGAAGAATCGCGCTGTTAAAAAGGGTGGGGAAAGAACTGGCTTCCTGCAAAGTTCTTGCCCGACGAGGTTTGCCCAGAGCTTTTGTGTGTTGGGATGTCGAACCACAACGAGAAGCAAAAGTAGCACCCAGTTTGGTAGAGCACGAGACTCTAAATCTCAGGGTTGTGGATTTGAGCCCCATGTTGGGCAAAATATTCCTGCATTGAAGGAGCGTTGACTAGATGACCCGTGTCTCTTTCAACTCTATGATTCTATGATTATTACTCACTCCTAAAGGGTATATGAGTGCCACTTGGTGGCTGTGGCCACCCCTAGCTATTCTTGATGGTCTTTTTTTGTACATGTTGCTGGCTCAACATGCATTTGTGTACACAACCCTGGTCTCCATCCTGAGGTTTGGGTTGGCAGAGATCAGTGCCCTCACCATATGGCTTGGGGATTAGACATGTAGGTGAACTGATCATGGGGCTGGCTTTTGGGGAAACATAGCAGCAAGGAAGACAGAACATGAGATGAAAAGGCTCTCATCGATTATTTACACTGTGGGATCATTTAAACCAGAGCTTTCCAAACTGTGTGTCGGCTGCAGTGTGTAGGTGTGTCGTAAGAAAGCTCCCTGTGCTCCTCCCGGGGCTGGAAAGGGGTTAGTTTAACCTCAGGTTTGCTAGTAAAACTGAATTACTGTGTTGCAAAATTATGCATGTCTAGGAAAAGTGTGTCACCGACATGAAAAGTTTGGAAAGCTCTGATTTAAACTGTGATTGGCTGTGATTCCTGCATCATAGGTGACCCATTGAGTCCCTTCCAACTCTACAATTCTTATTATTATTACAATTCTGTGATTCTATAATTCTACGAAACAGCCACACCCCACTTGTCCAGAGGACCATTGTGTATGTTACAGGAAGTGCCCCAAAGCCTGACTCTCTTTTGCACTTCCAGGTTAATGTCAACCAGTAAATCAACCAGGAAAAGGTCAGTTCACGATTACTTCCGTGTGTTAACAAAATAGTAATAAGAAATGGCCCTGATAATAAGAGACAGTTGGGAGTGAGGAATCTGAACCAGAGGAGAAGAATAAAGCAATTTCTAGAGGTTCAGACTAGCCAAGATTTCCAAAGTAAGAGCTCGTGGTAGAACTGTGGCATCTGAAATTGAGAACACCCATTATGGTCTCTGGGAGTGTAAAGTATGGAAATAAAGGCTGCCCATTACATGTTATGGGATTGTGGTGTTTTAGAGTATGAGACGGTCTCCTTAAATAAGGGGTGTCCTTTCAAATTAGTGTTCTATCTTATTTTAGCTATGGCTCGGGAACTAGAGCTAGATGAAAGGATCTGAGCTCTCTGTTGCCAATGTCCACAAATGTGCCAAACACCACCCCAAAGTACTTAGGCTACAGACATGATGGGCCCTTCTGTTTGTTATGCAGCCTCCTGCGTTTTAAATTTCTCCGCAGTTCACATGATTGTTGTAGAGGAAAGGGAGCACTGCACTCAACCATCTCCCTCCCCCAGTTGCATTTTGGTAGGGGTTCCCTTTGGCTGGGCCCTAAAACCTGCAAAGTATAGTGGTTCACCAAGTCTTGCTAATCACTCAATATTGATTCAAATTACCAGTGCGTGCAAGACACATTCACAGTCACAAAACCCAGCTGTGATGTGAAAGCTGAATGTATCAAGCTACGTTTCCATGTTCCCAACTGCCCACCCATTCATCCTAGTATTATCCCAGTACAGGAATTGATTGGTGTGGTTTAACTCTCAAACCTTCTGTAATTTTATGGCTTTCTGGAGATCCTCTGAAAAGTAATGTTGGGTTCTTGGAGATGCAAAAAGATTGAGGGAACGTTCTTTCATATGTGGTGTAAAGAGTACTGGGAAATGATATATAATGAATCAAAAAAAATGTTTAAAAGTACCTTTCCAAAAAAAGAGTCCTTTTTGTTGGGGATAATTCAGAGGGAAATTCCCAGGCGTCAAAAAAGACTATTTATGTATGCTACTACTGCGGCCCAAAAATGGAAAACGAGCGAGGTCCCAACCAAAGAAGAGTGGCAGCTTAAGTTGACAGAATATGCACAACTTGCAGACCTAACATATAGAATAAGAGAACAAGAAAAACATATGTTTAGAGTAGATTGGAAAACGTTTATTGAATATATGGGAAATAATTGTGTACAGCTAAAAACACTGGCAGCATTAAGATAAATTCAGCAATGTAAATAAGTTATGATGTATGTAATAATGGGATACTGAATGGTATAGGGATTTATAATATGTAAAATGAACCATGGAAAGAGAAGAAGGGAAGTCATTGATAGCTTAAGGATGTATAAATTAGTGCTTTAAATTGTAAAACAGAAAATTGAATAAAAATTATATATATAAAAACTAATGTTGGGTTCCCTGAGAATGTTGTGTTCAGTAAGGGGTGGGGAGACTGTGGCACTCCAAATTGTTGCCTACACCTCCCATCATCCCTGACCACTGGCCATGCTAGCCATACTGGTTGGGGCTTATGGGGCTGCAGTGTAACAACATCTGCAGGACCACAGCTTCCTGTTATGTTCATAACCCACACATGTTCCTTCTCCATCATGCCTACTCATGGGAACTAATTAAATAAAACAAAGGGGGACTTCAGGGTCCCCCAGTACTCGTGGGATCAGAGGTGTAAGCCACCTCCAAGAATACAATGGCTAGCCTCACCCATTAGATGCCAACCAAAGGGTATTTAAGGAGATAACAGAAATCACTGGGTTAAAGCTGACCGAAAGTCCAGAGGTAGCATTATTATCAATTTACGATGGGGTGGAAGGTTCGCAGGCTATGAAGGACTTGCTCACAAATTTATTGACAGCTGCACAAATTATTATAGCCAGGAAGTGGAAGGGGCAAGCAGAATATAAAATGGAAGAATGGTATAAAGAGGTGTGGGATATAGCTATTAATGATAAATTAGCATGTGCCATTAAGGCAAGACGGGGAATACGCAGGAGAAATGATTTTGAGGAGATATGGAGGGTGTTTGTAGAATTTGTACTGTTAAAAAGGAAAGGGGTCAAACTATTGCAAGAGGTGGTGTAATTTTGGGAGGTTGGATAGTTACAATGGAATGGTCTCGGTGGTGGGGTGCACATTTTTATTCTTATTTATTTATGATTATTACTTTGTCGAAAAAGGGAAGCGGGTGGCACTGTGGGTTAAACCACAGAGCCTATGACTTGCCAATCAGAAGGTTGGCGGTTCAAATTCCCACGACGGGGTGAGCTCCCATTGCTCGGTCCCTGCTCCTGCCCACCTAGCACTTCAAAAGCACATCTAAGTGCAAGTAGATAAATAGGTACCACTCTGGAGGGAAGGTAAAGGGCGTTTCCGTGCACTGCTCAGGTTCACCAGAAGCGGCTTAGTCATGCTGGCCACATGACCTGGAAGCTGTACGCCAGCTCCCTCGGCCAATAAAGCGAGATGAGCGCCTCAACCCCAGAGTCGTCCAGATAAATAAAGAAAAAGATGCCAACCAAACATTGACCAGTGGGTGATCAGTTCTCAGCTTGAGAGCAGTGGGAGGGCTATTGTGTGTCCTCTTTTTCATGGGTAGAGTCGTCATAGTGATCCATAGTTAAAAGCAGAAGTTGGCAAATGTGTCCTCTTGTTTTGCTCTTCAAAATATGGCAACCTTAGATGTGCATGCCTGGGGTTCCTCCATGGGGAAGGATCCTTGGATAGATGAGGGTTCACATCCCTAGGAAAGGAGCCTTACTTGCATACATAAGAGCCAACGCTTAGGGACCAAGGTCCCTTTGCTGACCCCCTCCAATAAAATATTTGTGGGGGCAGGGACCCCAAAGTTGATGGACATTGCCATTTTAATGGTGGGCAGGCCCGGGCCCAGTCGCTGCAGTGGCACTGGAGAGCCAGAGGTAAGGTGGGCAGTGGCAGGGTGCGGCATGTGGTGGCAGTGGCAGGGGGTGGAGGATGAGCGGCCACAGCAAAATTTTTGAGGTTCCCTGGAGTTGGTGCCACTGCTTCAAATGGACACCAGTTATGCATTGGCCTGTCAGAGTCATCATATCTATCATCGTCTAAGGCACAGCTTCCCAAACTTTGCATGTTGGTGACACACTTCTTAGACATGCTGTCAGGCGTCAGAGGATCCCCACACCCCTGGCAGGTTGCCAGGAACGAATAAGACAAGGGAAGTTCTTACCAATGCTTTTTTATTCAACATTCACAGAGAGAGGCTTGGAAATGCAGCCGCTTGGAGTAATGACGTCTCCACCCCCTCCCTCTCTCCCTTCATGCGTCATCACTATGGATGCTGAGGTGTGTCCTCTGCCTTTGAGCTCTTTGCTCTCCTACTTTCAAGGCTTGCCGTGTTCTGGGAGAGGGGGGTCTGGAATGCTTTCTAAAGACACTGAAGAGTTTGGATTTGATATCCCGCTTTATCACTACCCTAAGGAGTCTCAAAGTGGCTAACAATCTTCTTTCCCTTCCTCCCCCACAACAAACACTCTGTGAAGTGAGTGAGGTTGAGAGACTTCAGAGAAGTGTGACTAGCCCAAGGTCACCCAGCAGCTGCATGTGGAGGAGTGGGGAAGCGAACCCAGTTCACCAGATTAAGAGTCCACCGCTCTTAACCACTACACCACGCTGGCACTGAGTCCATCAGCTGTCTCTCCTCCTCCTCCTCCTCTTCTTCTTCTTCTTCTTCTTCTTCTTCTTCTTCTTCTTCTTCTTCTTCTTCTTCTTCTTCTTCTTCTTCCCTGGTGCTTCTTCTTCTTCTTCCTCCCCCCTCCCCCTCCCCCCATTATTTCCCAGCTTTCCCCCTCATCTGCCTCTGAGCTGTGACCTCCCTCAAACCCCTGTTGTAATTCTGAACTGTCTCCTTCTTCTCTAGAAGAGTCAGGCTGGGGAGGCAGTCTTCCCCATCCCTCCTCTGCCCAGTCCCTGACACATGCATAATTTTGCAACACAGTAATTCAGTTTTACCAGCAAACCAGAGGTTAAACTAACCCCTTTGCAGTCCTGGAAGGAGTGGGGGGAGGGCTCGCACGACACACCTACACACTGCAACCGACACACTAATGTGTCATGACACACAGTTTGGAAAGCTCAGACTGTCTGAATTTTGTGGCAGGGATTCAAGTGCATACTGGAACTTTCAGTTTGCGTATTTTAAAGTGGATTAAAGGGCTCTGTCACCCTAGCGCAAACAACCCTCCCCCCACCCCCACAAAAAAAGCCCCAGACTTTCTGAGGTTTGGAAAGTGATGGAGATACGCATTGAAAAGTGTAGGGCGAACAAGTAAGGAAGCAGGAAGACATGCAAGGAGCCTGCAAGCAAAGCACAGTGGATGCAGGATGGATGTCCGTTGTCATATAACCGTTCCGCAAACAGATCAGAACGGATGCTCCACAGGAACTGGGTATAATCTAGCATCCATGTAAGCTTAATGCAACAAATCTGGAAGGGGCCTGAGTCTTCAATGGAAATGCATTACTTTTATGGGTATTGCAGTGGATTCCTGCCGGCTAGAGGAGTTGCCCTGGCAACAGCAGCAAACCACTTCCTCACCACAAACTCTGTTCATTATTTTGGTTTACCACACAGTTCTATCTAGACTCACCAGCAGGTGTCCGACAGCTAACAAATAAGCATACTCTACTGAGACTGCCCAAAATTCAGTTCTGGAATACCACAGATGGTGCTGTGTGCTGCTGCTGATGTTTGTCCTCTTTCTAGCTTCACTGGAAATACTTAAGACATCGAATGATGTTGTGTTTTGGCCTAACTGAACCATAGCCATTATACTTTTGAAATTATGTGAGGAATTAAAGTCTTCCAAACATCGGTAGCCATTTTATTTTAGCTATGGCTCAGCTTTATTCACCACCAATTCTCTTTCTTCCTCTTGCTAAGGGGCTAGTTCCTGGGACATTTCTTTTCAACATAAGCTCAGGTTTTTCTTTTCAATGTAATTTTTATCATCAGTCTGTTATCTTATGTGCCATGGTAAAAATTCCCAGGCTCCTATAAATCAGATAACTTGAAAGGTAGGGTTGTTGGTATCACTTCCTGGGATTTTAGATTTATCTCTCGACATAACAAGAGCTAGAGGGCAATTCAAGAAATAAGAATGACTTCAGGCTGTAAGATAAAGGATTGCCTGCACATTGATCGACTTCTAAGGAGGTCTGGCTAAACAGTTGTGGACCTCAGAACTGTTCTAGATTAATCCACTGAGAGCTTTATGAATATAAGGTATAGCTGTCATGCTTTGTTCTGAAAAGACCTTTGGACGTCTAGGTCACTTTGGACGTCTAGGTCACTGCAACCATCAGAGTGAGACCTACCATTAGGTAAAATGAAGCCATCACCTCTAGGAGCTGATTCTGAGGACACATCTGCTTTGTTTGTTTGTTTGTTTGTTTTCCCCCATAAAAGATATACACCACTTGATTGTTTTTTTAAAAAACACACACCTCCAAAATAGCTTACATTTAAAGTACAGTGGTACCTCGGGTTAAGTACTTAATTTGTTCCGGAGGTCTGTTCTTAACCTGAAACTGTTCTTAACCTGAAGCACCACTTTAGCTAATGGGGCCTCCCTCTGCTGCTGCAGTGCCGCCATCACACGATTTCTGTTCTCATCCTGAAGCAAAGTTCTTAACCCAAGGTACTATTTCTGGGTTAGAGGAGTCTGTAACCTGAAGCGTATGTAACCTGAAGCGTATGTAACCTGAGGTACCACTGTACTCTTTTATCACTTTAATCAGTCATAACTTTCCCCCAAAGAATCCTGGGATCTGTAGTTTGTAAATGGCACTGAAAGTTGTTAGAGAGACCCCTGTTCCCCTCACAGAACTACAACCCCCAGAGTCCCCCAGGAAGAGAGATTTATTGCTAAGCCACTCTGAACTGTAGATTTGTGAGGGGAACAGGGGTCTTTAAACAAATCTAAGCACCTTTTTAAAAACTACAATTTGCATAATTCTTTGTGGGGAGCCAATACTGAGTGTCATGAAAGGGCAACTAATTGTTGGCTACTTAATTTATTCCCATGTTATTTTTTTTACTGCAAGGGACAGTGATTTTTCTGTCTCAGGTGATAAAGTAGCTTTGGATAATATCTGACTTGACTTTTGGACCTGGATTTGCAGCTCCCTCTCAGGGCTGGTCCCAGCAGCCAGGCACACCTTGGGAACTGGCCAGCGATTAGAAAGAAGCCTGAAGAGAATGAAAAGGAAGGACTTATGACTTACGTTAGCTTGGCTAAAACCACAATTGAAATCAGCTGATAACATTATATTCTAAAAGAATGACAAAATCACATTTCATAGAAGCCAAGACAAATAGCGGTCGGCTTAAAAGATGCATGCATTTTCTAAGAAACGGCATTTTGTGAGCTACAGTACTCCAGATTGCATTTGCAGTCACAAAGCTATGCAGAGCGGACACACAGAGAGCATAAATTTATAGCCAAAGCCCAAGTCCTGTCCTAGACATTGATGCCACTGATGGGAACTTGACAGATTATACACAATAACTCACCACTGAAGAACTCTTACATAAAATATATACGATGTTTGCTTTTTCACTTTAGATGTGCTTGCTTTTCTCTGGTCTGAAGATTTCTGCTTATGGCCACCCACACACAAAAAGAGGAAAGCTGAAATAACGTTCCGTGTGTCTTTTATTTGTTTAAGTTTCTGTGTTGCTGTGTGGAGTATTATAGCATCGGAGAGATGTGAGACTTGCTCCTCTTGGGTTCAGCTGACAAAGAACCAGCTTATCAATGGGACTGTATAATTTAGCATGACTCTGGCGAATGGTCATTCTGTCATGGGACTGCACAGTTAATATTTTGTACATGAGTAACTTTTATTATTTATTCCATTTTTTATCTCACTTTTCCTTCTAAATGCTCTTGGTTTGCATCAGCTGTGTGTGGGGAGGGCAAATAACGGGGTAGATCAAGGTGATTCAGGGATCTTTCCCTCATTCTGAGTCAAAGTGTGATGTTAATAACCCCCTCCCCAAGTTGGACAAGGGTCCTGCAATGCTTTGTGTCACTGCATTTTGTACCTTATAGCTTTATATTTTCCTACATCTATGTGTTTCTATAGGGCAATGACCTCTGCAAAATATTGCCTGATTTACAGTGGTAAAGTAAAGGTAAAGGGACCCCTGACCAATAGGTCCACTTGTGGTCGACTCTGGGGTTGCGGCGCTAATCTCGCTTTATTGGCCGAGGGAGTCGGCATACAGCTTCCGGATCATGTGGCCAGCATGACTAAGCCGCTTCTGGCAAACCAGAGCAGCACACGGAAACACCATTTACCTTCCCGTCGGAGTGGTACCTATTTATCTACTTGCACTTTGACGTGCTTTCGAACTGCTAGTTTGGCAGGGGCAGGGACCGAGCAGCGGGAGCTCACCCCATCGCTGGGATTCGAACCGCCAACCTTCTGATCGGCAAGTCCTAGGCTCTGTGGTTTAACCCACAGCGCCACCTGCATTATAGGAGTGCTTCAGATGTACATTGTGGGTGTGATTCAAGAGACAATCCCAAGAGACAATCCCTTGCTCTCCCCCCCCCACAAGGGATTTTCCTTCTTCCACAAAAAGCCCTTGGACCTATTTGTCTACAATTTGTCAGTCTCTGGAGGAGCACCTGTGCCTTAAAATTTCACCCGCTTTGGCCAAATAAGGAAAATGACTTCATAGGGTGGCTGTGGAGAGAAAATGAGGATTGGAGAAATTATGTATACACAGATCTCAAGATTCAACCTGTATCCGTACATAAGTAGGTTAGGCTGAGAGACACAGTCTCACAGTCATCCAGTGAGCTTTAGAAATCTCCTTATCTGACCCCAACCCGCTGTTCACTACATCACACTAAATCTCCATTGCTTATTCATTCTTGAGCCCCTGCATCATTTTTTTTTGACAGAACAACAAGGTGGCCAAAATTCTTCTCAACAAAATAATAGACCAGCTGACAGAAGCATTATTTTTGGTGGTATATGTAGCAATTCTTATATTACTGTGACTTTATAAAAGAATCCTCTACATCTAATATTTCTGCAGTGTGTTCCCAATGGATGTTGATTATTTCCTTTTCTATGGTGAAAAGGTTTTATCAATGATCACAGAGCATTCCCTTGTTGCAGGACTCCAACTCCCATCAGCCCCTGCCAGCATGGCCAATGGTCAGGAATTATGGGAGCTGTAGCCCAGTAACATATGGAGGGCCACAGGTTCCCCACTCTGGTTTAAAGGCTAAACATGCAAAGCTGGTCAGTGTGAGATCGGTACCCACTGAATTGAAGCCATGAGAACAGATGCTAATTCCATGGATAAAAATGCCTGGGATTTGCCCTGCCTGTCCGGTTGCCAGTCTTTAAACATTACAGGAATGCCATGAGAAATATGCCTTCCTTTTGGGTTCCAGGAAAGTTTAAATGTGACAAACAGAGTTCGGAAGAATGAGAAGTTTGGTTCTTGATAGCTTGGCCACAAGGGGACAGATTTAACTTCTATATAAGTAAGTGGCTTTCTTCCCCACCCCCTATAAGGGAAGGACAGAGCTCTGTTGTGGGGACAACTACAGTTGAAATAAGACATGCCTCTGGCACTGTTACTATGGCAGAAACTCCATGGAAGAGGGAGGAGTGCCATACTCCCATCTCTGAAGCCAACTTCAAGGCTGCAGCAATACCAAGGATGAGCAATACAGTGATACCTCGGGTTAAGTACTTAATTCGTTCTGAAGGTCCGTTCTTAACCTGAAACTGTTCTTAACCTGAGGTACCACTTTAGCTAATGGGGCCTCCCGCCGCTGCTGCTGCGCGATTTGTGTTCTCATCCTGAAGCAAAGTTCTTAACCTGAGGTACTATTTCTGGGTTAGCGGAGTCTGTAACCTGAAGCGTATGTAACCCGAGGTACCACTGTACATTTCTGAGGCATACCTTATCCCAGACAGAATACCAAATTCAGTGCAGGAGGCGGGAAGGATGAACGGATGCAATGCACACCACTAACTCTTTCCCTGCTCTCATTCTGAATGCAGCTTCCGAATTGGAATAGACAAGCATTCCTCACATACCCTTCATGGCCCAGAGGCCATGTTTGGTTTTAGGGAACAGACTGAATGGACGGATTTGAGAAATAGTTCATGAAGATATTTATAGGCAATGCTGGTTTGAATTTATATGGTTTTTAATCTGCTGGGAGCCGCCCAGAGTGGCTGGGGAAACCTAGCCGGATGTGCAGGGTATGCATATTAAATCATCATCATCATCATCATTATCATCGTTATCATTGTTGTTATTATATCACAGACACACCAAGTGATTATAAACTGTGTCAAAATAAGGTTTCCTTTAGATGTTATAACATATTATTGAATACAAATCTTTTTACTTGCAATTTAACCGCTTTGCTCCCATTTTTTCCGCTAGAGAGAAAGGACAGGGCTTTTGTGAAAGGCAGAGGAAATCATTCCACATTGCATTCATTAGCTTAGGTTTTACCAAAGAGGATTGAGTTTGAATCCAGTTGTGCATGTTGGAAAATAGCCCTCCCTGTTGTTGTTTTATTGATGCAGGATTGTATCCAACAAAGTTGTCCCATTAGTGCAAAGTCTTCTGCCGGTGCAACAAGACTTCCTCTACTTCTCTGTCTCTGAGGGACCATCCCCGCTGCCTGATCTGTTCTGGAAGTTAGGGGAAACTCCAGAACAGATTTGGGGGGGGGAGGGGCGCCAGGAGGAGAGAAGAGGAAATCTCACTGTACAGACAGAAGTCCTTGCACTAATGAGATGACTTCATTGGATACAACCCATGACTTTTCTTGCACCATTTTCTTTTGCGCTGTTGACATTTTATCGTTTGCTAACCCACCACCTTAGGGACGTGGGTGGCGCTGTGGGTAAAACCTCAGCGCCTAGGACTTGCCGATCGCATGGTCGGCGGTTCGAATCCCCGCGGCGGGGTGAGCTCCTGTCGTTCGGTCCCAGCTCCTGCCCACCTAGCAGTTCGAAAGCACCCTTAAGTGCAAGTAGATAAATAGGTACCGCTTTATAGCGGGAATGTAAACGGTGTTCCGTGTGCTGCTCTGGTGCCGGTTCACCAGAGCAGCTTCGTCACGCTGGCCACGTGACCCGGAAGTGTCTGCGGACAGCGCTGGCTCCCGGCCTCTAGAGTGAGATGAGCGCACAACCCTAGAGTCTGTCAAGACTGGCCCGTACGGGCAGGGGTACCTTTACCTTTACCTTAACCCACCACCTTGGCAATTTTTTGAAAGAGGCGGCGTACAAATAATATAAATAAATAGGCATTCTCCCTCGTTTTGTTTAAATGTGATTTTGAAGAGATTTGGAAAGTGAAGTTATTGGTCTATTTAACGTAAGACTTTGATGGAAGAAATTCAAAGATTATTTAGTTAAATATGTTAAGATAATTTACCGTATTTTTCACTCTATAAGACGCATCAGACCACAAGACGCACCTATTTTTTGGAGGAGGAAAACAAGAAAAAAAATATTCTGAATCTCAGAAGCCAGAACAGCAAGAGGGATCACTGCGCAGTGAAAGCAGCAATCCCTCTTGCTGTTCTAGCTTCTGGGATAGCTGTGCAGCCTGCATTCGCTCCATAAGATGCACACACATTTCCCCTTACTTTTTAGGAGGGAAAAAGTGAGTCTTATAGAGCAAAAAATACAGTAAATAGAATTACTTGCGAGTATCAGATTGGCCTAGGATTTAAATATGTGATGTTGTAGAATACTATGGATAAAAGTTAAAATGAAAAGAAAGAAAGATGTTAATGGACCAAGTAAATTTTATGTGAAATCAGTTTTGGAAAACTGCTACAATGATTTATATGGAAACTCAGCCAGGGGGATTCGAGGAAGTCACCCAACAATGATAACAAAAGTGGAATTTCTACAGTCAGGATATATGTTTGTTTGTTTGTTGATGTTTTCTTTTTATGTTTGTGGATATGTTTGTTATAAATTTGGAAAACTAATAAAAAAAAATTGGGGGGGAAAAGACTTTGTTGTTGCTTGTGACGAAGCTAGGGATAAAAGTTGTGCGGCTGCCACCAGAATAGGAGCCCATTCTCTTCCATAAAGAGAGACATTTGTCCAGATCATCATACTGTGTATCTCTCCCCTACCCTGTTGCACATTATTTGCTGATGACGATGGTTTGAAAAAATGGTGAAATTGGGGGAGCAGCTCAGTGGTCTTACTTGTTATTAAATTTGGAGGGTGGAGATAGAGAAAAACTTGGCAGAAGATGGTAGCCCCAAGCATCTGGGAGCTTCTAGATCTGCCCTGCCGATCTCATTAGCTAAACATCTGCAAGAGCCCACATATCTGTTCTCTACTGCATTTTGTCAGAAAGTATGAGCTTGCTGTTTTTAATATGAAGTCAGGTGATTTAATATGTTGTCATTTGTTGCTGTTTTAAAGGTTTCGGTGGAAGCACGGCAGGCTGCTGACATGCGACCAGTACGGAAGCTGACCTTTTCGAAGACGTCTTCTAAGAGGTGTGATGCGGGCTCCCCCTTGTGGGAATTAATTGGATCAAAACTTCCCTGATTTCAAAAGCGAATCAGTCCAAAGCTGAGCCATGGATATGGTGAGCACACAACCGTCTGTCCAAGAATTTGAAGGGATGGACCCTCTGATCCGCCGCCATTACAACTTCACGGGGAAGCTCATCCGAGGAAAAGAAAAAAGCCTGACGACCATTATCCTTCTAATCGTCTGCAGCTTCATCATCCTGGAGAACCTGATGGTGCTGATCGCCATCTGGAAAAACAACAAGTTTCACAACCGCATGTATTTTTTCATTGGCAACCTGGCCCTCTGTGATCTGCTGGCTGGGATAGTTTACAAAGTAAACATCTTGATGTCAGGAAACAAGACCCTGTCCTTGTCTGCCCAGATTTGGTTTATTCGAGAAGGCAGCATGTTTGTGGCTCTGGGAGCTTCCACATTCAGCTTATTAGCGATCGCCATCGAGAGGCATTTGACAATGATCAAAATGAGGCCATACGATGCCAATAAGAAGTACAGGGTCTTTTTGCTCATCGGAACGTGCTGGCTTATCTCAGTTTCCCTGGGCGCCTTGCCAATCCTTGGCTGGAATTGTGTTGCGGACTTAGCTGACTGTTCCACCATTTTGCCGCTCTATTCCAAAAGGTACGTGGCCTTTTGCATCACCATCTTTATAGCAATCTTGGTGGCCATTGTCCTCCTCTACGCCCGGATCTACATCTTGGTGAAGTCCAGCAGCCGCAACGTCACCAACCACAACAACTCGGAGAGGTCCATGGCATTGCTTCGGACAGTTGTGATTGTGGTCGGGGTCTTCATCGCTTGCTGGTTGCCGCTGTTTATCTTGTTGCTGGTCGACGTGGCCTGCAAAGTGAAAGAATGCCCCATTTTGTACGAGGTGCACGGGTTCATTGCCTTGGCGGTCCTCAATTCAGCCATGAACCCCGTCATCTACACCCTGGCAAGCAAAGAAATGCGCCGGGCTTTCTTCCGCCTCGTCTGTGGCTGCTTGGTGAAGACCAGCGCCACCACGTCGCTGCCGATCCAGCCCACCCCAGATCAGAGTCGCAGCAAGTCCAGCAGCAGCAATGCACAGAAACCGAAGGACGAGCACCCACAGACTAACAGCTCGCCAGGTTTAGCGGAAAAGAACGAATCGTCATTTCACAATGGGAATTGCTGCAAATGAAGTCTGTCAACTCTGCAGGCTAAGGATTCTTTAACTGGCTTTTTTAAAGAGCCAAATGGAAGGAAGCCTTTTGGTGGGGTTTCATGCACTTAAATCACAGGGAGAAACACTCGTCAACGGCATAATATCGTGCCTTTTTTTTAGCCCAGGCAGTTTTGGAATGGGTTTTAGTTCTGTGAGGGATGGACCCAGGAAGGCACTTCACTGCCTCCCGAAATCCTGTCAGTATCAAGAAAAATGGCACATTTGACATGGTACAAAATTTATACGCATTAGGGAATCAATGCAGAAACCATGGTGGGTTATTTAAAACCAATAAATGAAACCCAGTCTGCACCTCCCAATAATCTGCAAGTCTAAAAAAGCTGGAGGTGCTGTGTAAGTTTTTTTATTGCCATCTGTTCCGTGCCTTTTGGGCCCAGCTGCTGCCTCCCTTCCTTCGTCCCTTCCTTCAAGCAGCCTACCTTCTTGACCTCTATACAGAACACAATGCCTGGGATTTGTGGGAGATTTCCTTCCCACCCAAACCCATCTTTTGCTTTCTCCACCCAAGTGGGACGGTTTGGCAACATTATACAACTGACCTCCTCCCCAGGAGTTAACAGTATTTATAGATATTCTTTGATATCACATTTGCTCAGCCAGTAGTGCTGGGGAAGGGGGGAGAATCACATGGGCAGATGGCAGCCAATGCTAGCCTATTATGTGTATATAGAAATGTGTGTGTGTATCAGTCGATTCACAGGAAACGTTTCCATTCACCAAGCACTGCACACCCTCTGCAGGAATGTGTATCCCCTATATGCTGACATTTAAAGTTACGAGAGAGATTGTTTACCTCCACAGTGCTGCATTATTTTCCAACTTTTGCGTCTTGTTGTTATGTTAATGGATTCACACTACAAGTATTATTTGACGTGGCATCCCAAGAAATGAATGCTTAGGACCGATCGCTGTGCCACAAGGCATAAACTACCATATTATGAAGGCAAGGAACTCACGCTGACATGAACAGACAGATGGATACCCCAGAACAAATATTTCGGGTTGAGCTGCAAGCCTAATTATCTCTTTATTTATGCCAGTTGTTTGGCAAAAGTTTACATTATCTGATGTTGTCACCATGATTTCCTGTGTAATATACCAGATCTTACAAGTGCTGTGGGCAGGTATGTTCCAATAGTGGTGTTTTGTTTTGGTTTTGGTTTTTTTAAACTTCACCAACAAAATTTTGGAGGAGAGAAGTTGGATGCTACACGAACCCAGTATTCTGTCTTGCAATTATCAATGCAAACATCCTGCGAGAATAGCTAAATGTGAAGGCTGGGACTAGAAGGCATTTTGGTTTTGTTCTAGGACTTTAAGAAATATAATATTGGCTCATTCTCCTTGAATTTCTTCTTTATTTAATGTAGTTTAGTGCCCAACTGAAATATGTGTCTTGGCATTTTATGCATAGCATGTATATAGATGTATATTTAATCAATGCATATATTATTTTTTTGCTCTTTGAAAGATATTTTTTTAAAAAATTGAAGGCCCAGCCTGTGTTATGGAAAGCCCAAACACAGAAGATTAGAAAGATACAATGGAAGTGGCATGGTCTTCTCAATGTTATTTCATACAAAACTACACGTTTCCAGAAAACTATCCCAACAGAGCTTTACAAAAATCACAAATTGCAGTTTAATGTTCCTTAACAACTATCCCTAGCTCAAACTTGAGTCAATTGCATGGCTGGTGGATGTTTTTTCTTCATCTAGCTCTAGAATTAATATTCTGTCATCTGGACTCCCTGCCCACCAATATATTTTTTCCCTGATGGCTTATGTTGGAAGAAAGCGAGCAGAGAATAAATGGGATTCACCATGCACTTAACATGGACTAATGGGTGAAATTGGGGGATGCATGTACCACAGGAAATAAAGTTAGCATAAGTGGAAGAAACAGTCAAAAGTGGTCCATGAGAACGTCATACATGGTCCCAGGTACTCTGAGATTTTCAGCCAGCTTCTGCTTCCTTCACAGCAACGGGACTAATTTTCAACTGAACCATCCCCCTCAGCATCTGAAAAATTCATAAATCTCTTTTGACATCACATCAGTTCAGCCAGGGGCTGGGAACTGCTGATAGGGGACAGTCACTTTATAAATGCCTACTAAATGGGATTTTATTCTAGATTTTAAAATATGCATAGAGGCATGATTTTTAAAACATCCTGCTATCATTATTTGAGGGGATTTTTTTAAACTTAAGAATGACAAGCTGTGAAAATTCTGTTTACAAGAGGCATTTAAAAGGGGAAGGGCATGCTATTTCGACCAGAGGTAGCCAATGGGGGTACCATCCTAAAATTTTGGGATACAGCTCACATCAGTCCCAGACAGCATAACCAGTAGACAGAAATCATGGTTGTAGTACAAAGCGTGTGAAAGGCACCGCATTGACAAAGCCAAGAATTAAACATGAAATTATGATAGACATAAAAGAAAGAGGAGGCTTTGCCCTGCCACATTTGCAAATGTATTATGAGGCAGCCTGCTTGTGCTGGTTAAAAGAATGGATTACACTGGATAATGTGGACCTCCTGGACTTAGAAGGCCATGATTTAAAATTCAGCTGGCATGCATGTCTTTGGTATGGGAAGGCAAAAATCCATAAAAGTTTTATGAACCATATTCTAAGGAAGAATTTGTGTAGAGTTTAGGAGAAATATAAAAATCTGCTGGAAAGGAAAACACCTTTATGGCTATCTCCTATTGAGGCTGTTACAATCAAGAAAGTTAATATGGATAGACAATGGCCAGTTTTTACAGGGAACTGCTGCATTTCACAGAGGGGGCACTTAAACTGAAATCAATGGAAAGTGTAAGAAGCCATGTTACAGACTGGCTACAATATCATCAGTTACATGAAATGTTTAAAATAGATAGGAAAAATGGTTTTTCGGACCAAAGCTCACAATTTGAAAAAGAACTTATACAAAACAAAGAAATTTTTTTATCTAAAATGTATAATTTGTTATTAGATTGGGAAACAAAAGACGAGCTTGTGAAAGGCACCACATTGGCTATTCCTGTTTTAAACATTTCCTACAGCAGATTCATTGAAAACCTGTGTCTAAGGGCAAAATCCTAAGCACATTTAAGCAGAAATAATAGATGGGAATGACTTGCACAGAATGCCACCAAATCTTTTTGTCCCTCTGATAATGTAATGCCCATAGCAGAAACGCTCCTAGTTGGTATGAATATTTGTTATTTCAAGTGTAAAGTCTTGTAAACATGTATATTACCTTTTTGATCTCTGTGCAAAATACAAAAGAGTATGCTGAAACTGTGAATGCCAAACAGTATAAAGTAACATATCAAATAATAAAAACTGCTGAAAGCAGCGAAGAGACTTTGTCTTTGAGATGATCCTGGTTAAACAGCAAGGCTACGGACAAGGATGCTTAACCTGTGAATACAGATCAAGTCACAGATATATCCCCAGGTGCTCTGAAGAGTTCCCTAAAGTTTTTATATATTAAATGTATTGTGTTGTATTGTATGGCATAATAATAAAGTAAAAGAAGAGGTCCCTCGTTGAAGCATGCGGAATAACAGAATCACAAACCAGTGAATGATAACTTAGTGATTTAAGGCGTATATCAGGTACAATAGGAAAATGCAAAATAATACAGAGGTATGTCTTGATGAAATAAGCAACAAAAATTTTGTTGTTCTCTATTCTCTTATTGTGTGGCATGACACTTAAAATTTAAGAGTGATTTAAGAGTGATTTAAAATTTAAGAGCCTCTTATTGTGTGGCATGCCACTTTAAATTTAAATGTTCTCGAACACTTAACATGAGTTTGACCAAACTGCGGGAGGCAGTGGAAGACAGGAGTGCCTGGCGTGCTCTGGTCCATGGGGTCACGAAGAGTCGGACACGACTAAACGACTAAACAACAACAAATTCTTAAAGCTGCTATTGTGCTACCAACTCAGTTCAAGGTTTTCAGGACTGGACATCTGCCTTCCCTTCTTTCTGAAAAAAAGAGGTGCAAAGAGTTTCTGTGGCAAAGCATGCCACTGGCTGATGTAGTTGCCTTTTCCGCCATCGATGGAGGCATGCTTGCACCATTTTGTGATCCTGTCTCTCTTTCTGGTGCGGAAGTCATTTTGTGTTATGCCTCGCCCCACTGAAGCCATCTTGAATCTACTGCTCAAGGGCCCTTTCTCAAAATTCCAGATGTGCTCACTGCCCCCAAAGTCTGGCAATCCCTAACTTTAGCTCCTACATAGGAGAGAAATGCCTCTGAGAAAATATGCAACTCAATAAATTTTCCTTGGAGTCTCTGGTCATTGTGTTTAAAGTTTGGAAGGCATCCCTTCCCACCTCCCGTCTCAAGCTTATACAGCGGTACCTCTAGTTACGAACTTAATTCATTCCTGAGGTCCATTCTTAACCTGAAACTGTTCTTAACTAGAGGTGTGCTTTCGCTAATGGGGCCTCTTGCTGCCGCTGCGCTGCCAGCACACAATTTCCGTTCTCATCCTGGGGCAAAGTTCTCAACTTGAGTTAACTCTTCCAAGTTAGCGGAGTTTGTAACCTGAAGCGTTTGTAACCTGAGGCATTTGTAACTCGAGGTACCACTGTATAGCCAGTTGACCCAGAGGCTTTCTCACAATTCTCGTCCATTCTTGCAGCATATGGAGGAGAAGATTACATAATGCTCTAGAACCGTAGAAATGTTCTATGTAAAACATTTTTGGATACTGTGCATGCTGAGCTGTGATTCTGCTTGGGTTCCCCTGCCCGTCTGCACCACAGAAAAATCAGCATGTGAATCACAGCAGGAACAGTTCATATCACACACCACCAAGCTGAGACCCTTCAGCAACCCCCACCAAAAGGGCTCTGCTGGCTGGGGCTGATATGATTTTTAGTCCAACACACTGTAACTAGAGGGCAACAAATTGGCAAAAGTTGAACTATTTCACACCTATTTTTTTTTTGCTGCCCATGAAATGTTTGCTGAATGTGCAATCCAAGAGCTTAAGTGCCAGAAAAGTGCAGAAGAAATTCCAGTATCCCTTATACCTTTTAAATCAAGGTGTACCTTTATAATTGATCTCACTTCCTAGTGGCACAAAGCCTTCTTGAGCAGGAGTGCAGTGGTACCTCGGGTTAAGTACTTAATTCGTTCCGGAGGTCCATGCTTAACCTGAAACTGTTCTTAACCTGAAGCACCACTTTAGCTAATGGGGCCTCCTGCTGCCGCCGTGCCACCGGAGCATGATTTCTGTTCTCATCCTGAAGCAAAGTTCTTAACCTGAGGTAATATTTCTGGGTTAGCGGAGTCTGAACCTGAAGTGTATGTAACCTGAAGCGTATGTAACCCAAGGTACCACTGTATAAAATTTAGGGAACAATATACCTCACCCAGCCCTTTTGAAAATCCTGCTGAGAAAGCAATGGAAAGGAAAGGAAAAGATCAGCATTGTTTGGAAGACTTTTGAGTACCATTTGATCCCTATTTTATCTCCATTTAGGGGAAACAATTATAGTTTAATGCATATATTACGGATCTTGGATCTGCTGTGCCAAACCTCATTTGCATTTTACTTTCCTTTTTAGGAGGATATTTGATTCCAGCAAAATATTGTGTGACTGACAGTAACTATTTACATATTCAGTGGCAATGGCTATTTTGATCCCCACTTCAGTGCCACTGATCTCGATTGGACGACAGCAATGAAACTGAGCTGTCTGTTTATGTGTACATTCTTGGAATGGAATCTGCTCCCACCAAAATGTGTAAGTTTTGCCACTTGCGTTAAAACAAAATGTGAGAATTGAAACCTCCCTATGTATGGAAAACACCACTTACACATAATTACACCCACGAAACATTTTCCTCTCTTTAAATTCCCTTATGAATATATGGAATTTTGCTTGTTAGAAATTGCTGTACGATGCAATAAGCATTTACGAATTCTCATGACTTAACAACACAGCATGCAGATGAGAGCAAGGCAGAGAATATAATTCCATGGAGATGAGAAAGGGAAACTGGAGCCAGACTGCTAGCGTATATTCCTCTATTTCTTTATGGGACATTTTCCATTCATACCATGCTTTCATATTGTGATCTTCAAATTTCTATTGCAGCTAAACTTCAGAAAACGTATGACAGTCCAACGATCCTGGAAGTTTTGAGCTCCATTGTGACTAGGAAGTAATAATCCGCTTTTTCTTTTCAAAGTGAAGTCTGGTTATTTTTTTCAGGATCAAAAGTAGATTCCCCCATTATTATTATTATTTTACTTTGCATTTAAGCATTAAGGGGCCGTGTCCAGAAAGTGGTGTTGGGGGATGAGTGTTCTGACCCCTGGGCTCTCACTTGTGGGGTGCCTCAGGGTTCCGTCCTCTTCCCCATCTATATGAAGCCACTGGGAGAGATCATCAGGGGGTTTGGGCTGGGTGTTCATCAGTATGCAGATGACACCCAGCTCTACCTCTCTTTCAAATCGGAACCAGTGAAGGCGGTGAAGGTCCTGTGTGAGTGCCTGGAAGCAGTTGGAGGATGGATGGCGGCTAACAGATTGGGGTTGAATCCTGACAAGACAGAAGTACTGTTTTTTGGGAACAGGAGACGGGCGGGTGTGGGGGACTCCTTGGTCCTGAATGGGGTAACTGTGCCCCTGAAGGACCAGGTGCGCAGCCTGGGAGTCATTTTGGACTCACAGCTGTCCATGGAGGCATAGGTTAATTCTGTGGCCAGGGCAGCTGTCTACCAGCTCCACCTGGTACGCAGGCTGAGATCCTACCTGCCTGTGGACTGTCTTGCCAGAGTGGTGCATGCTCTAGTTATCTCCCGCTTGGACTACTGCAATGCGCTCTACGTGGGGCTACCTTTGAAGGTGACCCAGAAACTGCAATTAATCCAGAATGCGGCAGCTAGACTGGTCACTGGGAGCGGCCGCCGAGACCACATAACACCGGTTCTGAGAGATCTGCATTGGCTCCCAGTATGTTTCCGAGCACAATTCAAAGTGTTGGTGCTGACCTTGAAAGCCCTAAATGGCCTCGGTCCTGTATACCTGAAGGAGCGTCTCCACCCCCATCGTTCAGCCCGGACACTGAGATCCAGCGCCGAGGGCCTTCTGGCAGTTCCCTCATTGCGAGAAGTGAGGTTACAGGGAACCAGACAGAGGGCCTTCTCAGTAGTGGCGCCCACCCTGTGGAACACCCTCCCTTCAGATGTGAAGGAAATAAGCAACTATCTTCTCTTTAAAAGACATCTGAAGGCAGCCCTGTTTAGAGAAGGTTTTAATATTTAATGCTGTATTGTTTTTAACACTTTTTTAATTTTTTTATTTATAAAATTTTCAAATATAACAATAAAAGAAAAACATTCCATTTGAATTATACATCCAATTCTAATCTTTCCACTTTCAGACTTCCTTCAGTCTATCTGGAAATTTTCATGTTTTCACAGTTATTCACATTTCTTGCATCTGTATTGTTTTGTTTTTAACCAAATTAATCTTAGCAATTATTATAAAACAATATTTCTTTCCATTATTATCACAGAGCTTCTTGAAAACCTACAAACGTTAATTGACCTTCACATATATTTTTAATATACTCTGTAAATTTATTCCAGTCCTCGGTAAATCTCTGGTCTCGCCGGTTCCGAATTCTCCCCGTTAGCTTGTCTAATTCTGCGTATTCCATCAATTTCATTCTCCATTCTTCTTTCGTCGGGAGTTCTTCCTGTTTCCATTTTTGTGCCACCAAAATTCTTGCCGCTGTTACTGCATATAAAAACAACTTCTCATCCTTCTTTTTTATGTCTTTTCTTAATATTCCTAACAGAAAAGTTTCTGGTTTTTTAACAAAGGTATATTTCAACATTTTTTTCCAATTCATTATAAATCATTTCCCAGAAACCTTTCATTTTTTTACATTCCCACCACATATGATAGAATGTTCCTTCTTTCTCCTGACATTTCCAACATTTATTACTCACTTTATACATCTTTCCAAGTTTTACTGGTGTAACATACCATCTATATAACATTTTCATAACGTTTTCTTTTATTGTAGTACATGCAGTAAATTTCATTCCTTCTTTCCACAATCTTATCCAATCATCAAATTGAATATTATAACCAAAGTCTTTGGCCCACTGAATCATTGCAACTTTAACCTCTTCATCCTTAGTATGCCACTCAAGTAATAATTTATACATTTTTGATAAAATTTTAACATCATTATTCACAATTGCTTTTTAAAATCTAGATTTTTCATCTTGAAAACCTCTTTCCAGCATCTATTTTTTAAACATCGCATTCACTTGGAAGTAGTGTAACCAATCAAACACATATTCTTTAACTTCATCGTATGTCTTCAATTTCCATTTATTTCCTTCTTTTATAATTAAATTCTCATATGTAATCCAACTCCCCATCATATTGATCTTTTTAACACTCATTACCTCCAATGGCGACAGCCAGAATGGAGTTTTAAACTCTAATAAATTTTTGTACCTATTCCATACTTCAATCAGCGGACCTCAGAAAATGTGATTTTCAAAACCTTTATGCACTCTTTTTTTCTCATACCATAAATATGCGTGCCAACCAAATCTATTATCATATCCTTCTAAATCCAAAAGTTCTGAATTTTCCAACTTTATCCATTCTTTCACCCAGCAAAGACATGCAGCCTCGAAATATAACTTTAGGTCTGGCAGGGCAAAGCCTCCTCTATCTTTTGCATCCGTTAAAATCTTAAATTTTATTCTAGGCTTCTTGCCCTGCCAGACGTATCTTGAGCATGCTCTTTGCCATTCTTTAAATATTGTAACACCTTTAATTATTGGTATTGATTGAAATAAAAACAACATTTTTGGTAGCACATTCATTTTTACCGTTGCAATTCTTCCCCAAAATGACAACTTCATTCTTCCCCACACTTCCAGGTCCTTCCTAATCTTGTTCCAGACTGGTACATAATTATTTTGAAAAAGATCAATACACTTGGGAGTTAATATAATCCCAAGATATTTAACTTTCTTAACCACTTCCATATCTGTTTGTTGCTGAATTCTTTCTATTATCTCTTGGTCCATATTTTTAACCATTATTTTCGTTTTACTCTTATTTAATTTGAATCCGGCAACTTGTCCGAATTGCTCTATCTCTTCTAACACTTCCTTAACACTTTTAATAGGGTCTTCTATTGTTATAACCAAATCATCAGCGAAGGCTTTTACCTTATATTCCTTACAACCAACTGTCACACCTTTTATCAAATCATTACTTCTTAACGCTCTCAACAAGACTTCCAGGACTGATATGAATAACAATGGTGATAAGGGACACCCTTGTCTTGTACCCTTGGTTATAGCAATATCATCTGTCAGTACATTATTAACAATTAATTTTGCTCTTTGTTCAGAATATATTGCCTTTACACCATTCACAAATGAATGACCCATCTCCAGAAATTCCAGATTCTTTAACATAAATTCCCAAGAAATATTATCAAATGCCTTTTCCGCATCAACAAATATCAACATCGCTTGCTTATCTTTCTTATTAGTCAGATATTCTATTATATTTATTATGTTTCTTATATTGTCTTTCATCTGCCTCCCTGGCAGGAATCCTGTTTGGTCCTTATGGATCAATTCCTTTAATGTCTTTTTCATTCTATTTGCCAAGATGTTAGCAAATATTTTATAATCATTGTTCAATAGCGAAATTGGCCTATAGTTTTTAACTTGAGTTAAATCTGAGTCCTGCTTGGGAATTAATGTTATATATGCTTCTTTCCATGTCTCTGGTATTTGTCCTTCTTTCAGAATGTTGTTCATAACTTCTACCAATGGTACAAGTAAGATGTCTTTCATTTCTTTATAATATCTTGCACCAAATCCATCCAGTCCCGGAGTCTTCCCACTTTTTAATTCTTTTATAGCCGTTTTAACTTCTTCTATTCCAATTGGTTCATTCAATTTATTTTTATTTGTCACTGGAATTTTTTGCACCCCTTTCTTCTTTAAATAGTCTTCTATCGTCTTTATCTTAGATTTCTCTTTTCTTTTATATAGATCTCTATAAAAGTCCACAAATCCTTTCCTTATTCCTTTCGGGTTCTCAATGTCTTGGTCTTCTACTTTATTGTTTTTAACACTTGATTGGAAGCCGCCCAGAGTGGCTGGGGAAACTCAGCCAGATGGGCAGGGTATAATCAATAAATTATTATTATTATTATTATTTAACAACAATAGCTGTAACTTGTGCAAAGACGCACAAAGGAACATGGGACGCTGCCTCTGGCTGAGTCAGACCATTAGCCCATCTTCCTCAGTATTGTCTACACTGACTGCCAGTGTTCCAGACTGGGGACAATACCCAGCCCATTCTGGAGATGCTAGACATTGAACCTGGAACCTTACGCATGCAAAACAGATCATAGTTCACAGAATTGCAGAGTTGGAAGGGACTGTGTGGGGTCACGGGGTCCAATGCTCTGTTACTTAACTACAGCCCTTTCCTGTACGCAACCACTGAAAAAGGATGGAAGAAGATAGTATCTTGAACTGACTGACTGTCACCATCACAGTGACCAGGGTAGGGAATGTGGTGTGCTCACTTTGCACACAGTGGACACAGGTGGCACTGTGGTCTAAACCACTGAGCCTCTTGGGCTTGCCGATCGGAAGGTCGGCGGTTTGAATCCCCAGGATGGAGTGAGCTCCCGTGGCTCTGTCCCAGCTCCTGCCAACCTAGCAGTTTGAAAGCACACCAGTGTAAGTAGATAAACAGGTACCGTGGCGGCAGGAAGGTAAATGGTGTTTCTGTGTGCTCTCATTTCTGTCATGGTGTCCCATTGTGCCAGAAGCTATTGTTAGGCCCATCATGAGACGTCCGCCAGCTTCTAATCACAGATACCAGCAGCCCCCAAGCAAGCAAACTTGCCTTATTATCGCTCCTTAGCATTCCACTGCCAGAGGATTGCCTCCTTCCATTCACCAGTTTGCCTCCTCCAAGTGGAAGAAACCTGGGCAGTGCTGAATGTCGCATCCATTGCCAGGTGTGTCCTGCTGGAAACAGAAAAGGGCTTTTCCCTTGGCCTGCCTTTATATCCACTCAGTTGCCAAAGGCTTTGTGACATCACAAGAAACCCACAGCCAATGGCAACAGCTGGGGAGGCATCATCTTCATTGCTTTGAGCCTCACAATGGTGGGTGGGCCTATCAGTGATTGTGTGCTTGTTTATTCAGGACACGGGTGGTGCTGTGATCTAAACCACTGAGCCTCTTGGGCTTGCTGATCAAAGGTCAGTGGTTCAAATCCCCACGACCAAGTGAGCTCCCGTTGCTCTGTCCCAGCTCCTGACAACCTAGCAGTTCGAAAGCACGCCAGTGCAAGGAGATAAATAGGTACTGCTGCTGTGGGAAGGTAAACGCCGTTTCTGTGCACTCTGGCTTCTGTCACAGTCCTCTGTGTGCCAGAAGCAGTTTAGTCATGCTGGCCACATGACCAGGAAAGCTGTCTGTGGACAAACAATGGCTCCCTCAGCCTGAAAGCGAGATGAGCGCTGCAACCCCATAGTTGCCGCCTTTCTGTTGCAACAAATGCTTACAAGTCTACAAGCAGGACATAACAGGGATGTTCATTTACTATTGTTTATCCCAACACCTGCCATTCTAGTGTAGATGCTGCCTCTGTACATGGATAGTTCATTGAGTTAACATAACTTATAGCCATCAATAGCTCCTATCTTCCATGAGCATGTCTTCTATTGTGTTTATTTGCTTAAGCCATCATATCTGGACGCTGCTCCCCTCCCCCCCCCCAAAAAAAAACTTGTGCAAATGAATCTCAGCATTTATGAATTAAATGATACAGCACTTATTATTTTTTTGTCTGGAATGTACAGCAAATCAGCAGGCAGTTGCGCTTCTGCTCATCAGAAGTGCCTGTTCAATGTTTGATTCAGATGGGGACACATTTGGGGGCTGTTCTGAATCATGGTGCTGGAGGAGACTCTTGAGAGTCCCATGGACTGCAAGAAGATCAAACCTCTCCATTCTGAAGGAAATCGGCCCTGAGTGCTCACTGGAAGGACAGATCCTGAAGCTGAGGCTCCAATACTTTGGCCACCTCATGAGAAGAGAAGACTCCCTGGAAAAGACCCTGATGTTGGGAAAGATGGAGGGCACAAGGAGAAGGGGATGACAGAGGACGAGATGGTTGGACAGTGTTTTCGAAGCTACCAGCATGAGTTTGACCAAACTGCAGGAGGCAGTGGAAGACAGGAGTGCCTGGCGTGCTCTGGTCCATGGGGTCACCAAGAGTCGGACACAACTAAACGACTAAACAACAACACACCTCTGATCGGTTACCAGTGACGACTGTGGGACTGTGGCAAGTATGTTTAAAAATCACACACATGTAAATGTTCCTGGCATCCTCTTAGCCTTATATTCTCTGCTACAAGAGCAAGTTACATGTAGAAGAGTCTTAATACCGAACAATGTATTTAATAAATCAAAGTTGTATCTTAAGGTATATTATTAGAAAAATCAATGCATATACCTCATACACAGAGAGATCACACCAAGTCAAAGCCAAAACAAGTTACAAACAATTTGGAGTAGCATTTATATAAGAATTTAAGTGGGACATCAGAAAGAGAGAAAAAAAAATGCTTTTGTACTTAAGAGACAATGAATTATGCTTTGAAAAGTTGCTTCAAGCTAACTTTTCCTGTTGAAATATTAGCTCATTGATTCGTGTTACATCACTCACTATTTAATCATTGGATCTTGTCTGTTTTCTCTCCGTTATTGTGCTTATTTTATCATAAAACTACCCTTGAGATTTCCAGTATCAATTTTCTCAGGGAAACAAGACCGGATGTAAGTATTGTTTAATCTAGACAATCACTCATTTCTTGTATCTTCAGTTAAAAATGCTTTTCTTTTCTTTTTTGGCCCATTATCTTCAGCAGACTGACTTCAAAAATATAAATATCTACCGTATTTCTATAGAATGTGTGTGTATGTACACGGTCAATATTCATATTAAGGAATCAGGAACACTTTGATTACATGTTTTGAAGAAAACCCATCCACCTGCTACTTTTGCCATTCTTTACCGACTCTGAAAAGCCACAAGAATGTTCTTCGTCTTGGCACCACACAGAATGGCATTTCTTTAACCTACAGAAAACGTAAACTGGTGATATTCTTTTTCTACAGACAAAGGTTTGCAGTTCCTTTCTGACTGTGGCTTGTGAGCAACACAGCTACATATTTTGCCATGAGGTGGAGGTGAAGTCACTGTTTTTTCTCTGCCGGCTGATGGAGACAAAGTTCACTCCCGGAAGAAACAATCGGCAAATTGTTCTCCAGGTGGTGGTTGATGAGGTGGCTGATGCTGTCAAATATGCGGTCCTTTGTACGAACCTGAAAAATAGAGGGTGCAAGGGGAAAGTTTGTATATGTTCCACGGAAATGGTGCAACAAAAAACCCCGGCCATCAACATATATAAATCTTTGTTATTAGAAAACCAATTTGATGTACAGGTACTGAGGGAAGATTTGAATAAAGAATTAGAGCGCTCCATTTCGACCACACAGTGGGAAACTTGTTTCAATTGCTCTAACAAGGGTGTCTCTGGATCTTAAATTGAGGCTCATACAACAAAAGAATAATATTTAGATATACTAGACCCCATTATGTTTGTTTTAAAAAGGGCTGTCTAGGGCATGGGTGGGCAAACGAAGGCCCGGGGGCCGGATACGGCCCAATCGCCTTCTAAATCTGGCCCGCGGACGGTCCGGGAATCAGTGTGTTTTTACATGAGAAGAATGTGTCCTTTTATTTAAAATGCATCTCTGGGTTATTTGTGGGGTATAGGAATTCATTCATATATTTTTTTCAAAATATAGTCTGGCCCCCCACAAGGTCTGAGGGACAGTGGACCGGCCCCCTGCTGAAAAAGTTTGCTGACCCCTGGTCTAGGGTATCTAATGTGGAGATGCAATAGGGATAATGCTTCTCTAAACATATGTTTTTTCATTGTCCTATATTGAAAGATTTTTGGCAGAAGGTAACTGAAACCATCAACAGAACTGTACAGAACAACCTTACATTAGCAAAATATCCTCTTGAATTATATACCCAACACATGGAACCTTACAAAAGGACAGTATGAGTGGACTCTCCGTGCCCTGACCACGGCAAAAAGACTGATTCTGATGAATTGGAAAAATAAAAATGTGACTCCCTTCTACGATTGGATTGAAGACTTATACAAACTCGCAGCATACGAACAACTTGCATATAAATGCAGACTTGCCATGGACAAATTCAATGATATTTGGAATCCATTCTTACAAATACTGTAATAGGTTAAGATTATATTGAAGTACAATAACAACCTTGTAAAATATACAGTTTTGGGTTCCCACCTCTCCCCTTTGTTTTCCCTTCTGCATGGGTTCTGTTTATCTTTTGTTGGCATCTAACCATGTCTGGTGCACATATAGCTATGTACTTTTTGAACTTTCAATAAAGATCTTTTAAAAAAAAAAAAAAAAGTTCCACAGAAATGGCAATTCTAAATAATGTGGGTTTGTAAAAAACGCTTTCCCTTTTTATTGTATTGTACTGATCTTGTTCCTTTGTTGTTTGCTGCCCTGAGCTCCTTCAGGAAGAAGGGTGGGATAGAAATACAATTATTGATAATCATGTTGACCTTTAAGCTAAGGACCAAACTAGCCAAATGAATTTTATCCGTTATCCTCAGTCCAATACACATACAAACCCAGTGAGCCACAAGGCCTGGCAGGAATTTCCTTGGTCTAAGCCCAATACTCTCTCCATTTCATTACAGTGGGTCAGCTGATATAAAACGCTATGTAAACAAAACAGTGTGCATTTTTACAAATCATTGGGTAGTGTGCCACTAAGTTTCAATCAGAACAGAAATTAGTGGACCAAACTTCGCCATGTTCATTAACTTCAATGAGCCTAATCTGATTAAAATTAATTGACCATCTATTATTATTATTATTATTATTATTATTATTATTAGGCAAATGATACTATTGGGAAATTTGTTGGGGGTGCATGCATTCTCTTTCTCTCGTCCCCTATTTAGTTTTCTCCCTACCCACAGAAGAGGCAGATTTCTCTTGCAGAGGTCTGCTCTAATCACTTACAGAGGGCTTTTGAAATTAGTCCAAATCACTTATAAACAAATGAATAAACAAGCAAGGGGGATAGGAAGTGGAATTTCCAGCATCAGCGCAGGGATGTGTTTTGAGAACGTCAGAGATTTTGGAAAGTAGCTGCATCTCTCCCAACACTAAAGTGGCAAAAGACTCACCACCTTTTTGACCCGCGAGGCACAGACAGAAGCACACTTTTGAAATGAAATATATTTTCTTGTTCGCATGAAGCGTTTGGCTTGCTACAAACACCTAAGCAACCTCAGGCAAATTCTCCTCTGTTGGAAATAGTTCCAAAACTAATCTCCGACTGACCTCTAGCGTTAACAGTGTGAGTTGCATTCATTGCTTTAGGGGAGGCTGTGAGCCAGCCAGCAAAATGTCTCTTGCATCTTATGAAAGTGTTGGCTGCACTGCAGTGGCTATTCCGTTTAACTGTTACATACACCTTCCAGAAGATGTGACTAGGGAAAACGCTGACAGGGGAGTTTCTGAATTTTGACAGAAAGAGATTACATGTTGCTGAGCTCTGATGGAAATTGCAGGCTGGGATCCCAGGTGTTGAGGAACTGCAGGTGGAGCTCTCCTCACACCCCTCTCATGCCATTCATAGATAAGCAGGTGATACTAAGAGACTATATGCATCCAGCGTTCAACCCTCAAAAGGAAATTGGTTCTGCACGCAGAAAGTTGGCTGTGTTAGCCTGTTGCAGCAGCAACAACAAAGCACAGCAAAGAATCTTGAAGCATCTTAAAGGCGTGCAAGAAATAATTGTTAGAGAATTACAGGGGGCAGTGGGAGTCCGAATGTTGTCTTTAGAGTCCATTCCAAGTCTCTGGTCTTATATCTGTAAAGTGGGCTTCTGCTGAATTGAAATTTAAATACTTTATTGTCACTTGTACAACTTGTATACAGTGAGATTACACAAGCACTCCCCACTCAGCTCTCTTAGTCTTAATTCCCCTCGTTTACTGACGCACACCCACCAAACCTGAAAGTCAGTTGCCCTGTTGTTATCTTTTCATTCAGCAGCCTAACAGCCCACGGATAGAAGCTGTTCTTTACTCTGTTGGTGCGACTAATCATGCATCTATATATTCTGCCTGAGGGCAGGAGATCAAGAAAGTGCAGGCCAGGGTGTGAATCATCCCTGAGAATTTTCCTCACTCTCCTGAGGCAACATTCTTCCGCTATTTCACCCAGCGGATTCATGGGACAGCCCATAATATCTTGTGCTGTATTCACCACCCTCTGTAGGCACTTCCTATCAGTTGATGTCAAACCAGCATACCACACCATGATGCAGTATGAAAGGACACTTTCTATTGTTGACCGGTAGAAGGAGATCATCAAATGTTGATTGACATCGTTCTTCCTCAATACTCTGAGGAGATGGAGTCTCTGTTGGGCTTTCTTAACCACCTGGGTTGTATTTATTTTCCAAGTAAGGTCTTCACTGAGATAAACTCCTAGGAATTTAAAGGAAGAGACTCTCTCCACACAGCCCTCCCCGATGTACAGTGAGGCTAGTTCTCCTCTCTTCCTCCAAAAGTCCAACCCCATCTCCTTTGTCTTGCTGATATTAAGGTGCAAGTTGTTCTTTGTCTTGCTGATATTAAGGTGCAAGTTGTTCCCTAGGCACCATGTAGATATTTTTTGGAAGTGGTCAAATGGAACTTTTTGTTGTGTTAATGGCTCCAGCCAGGTCTGTTGTCTCTTTGCAGAGCACAGGTAACTTGTTGCCCCTGATACTGCTAAGCTGGAGACGCCTCCAGAAAGTGGGCAAACAGGAACAGGATTCTGTCCCACTCCCCTGGCTGGAGGCGATGGTGTCTACGATAGGGCGATTAAAAAAAACCCCATTTTTTTTTTTTTAAATGCCTGCTCCAAAGGTCTTATCTTACTACACTTGGAATTATATAGCTATATCTGAAATTTCATGCATATCAGTCAATATCTTGACCCTCCTCCACGAAAATAGCTGTTTACTTGGCCGTTTTCTTATGTTGTGAAGGCTGAAATTTCAATTCAGTGGAGCAGGGTCCAGATATTAACTGATATGCATGAAATTTCAGATGTAGCTAAATAATCCCTAGTGTAGTAAGATAAGACCTTTGGAGCAAGCATTTAAAAAAAAAAAATTATGAACGGCCCTAGTCTACGAGTGAAAAAGAACATCAGACTCCAGTCTCATCTTGGACAGGACTGGCTTGGCTTCCTCTCTGTGCTGAATCCAAAGCTTTGGCCTTGATGGCTCCACCACACCCAGTAACCTAATGAACGGGAAATGGGACTTGTCGGAGTGTTGATGCTGTGAGCCCTCCCAACTTATACCTGTGTATATGTGTAAAACCAAAACAAAAAAACCACCACTTATTACAAAGACAACTCCAGTTACCTTCATTTCAAAGAAACCCAAAGTATGCTCTGACAACCTCCAAGAGCTCTTACCACCTGGGGATTGGAGAGCACATTACATTATTACAATACAGTGGTACCTTGGTTTTTGTACGTCTCCGTTGATGAATGTTTCAGAACTCGAACACTGTAGACCTCAGAAGTAAATGCTTCAGTTTCCGAACACACCTCAGAAGTCAAACATGCCACGCGGCTTCCGTATTGAGTTTTCCATTTTGAGGTTTCCATTTTGAGTTTTCGGTTTTTCAACATTTCAGAATTTGAACGGTCTTCCGGATTACATTAGAAAGCCGAGGTACCACTGTATAAGGCAGGCGTTCCCAACCTGCGGCCCATGGGCCGGAAGCGCTGCACGGAGGCCGTTTAACCGGCTACGAGCCACCCCTGAACTGAGCTGCCCATTTAGCGAGTCCCCGTGTGCTGCACTAAACCATCAAACCTTGGAAATACACTTTTCCCAAAAGGTTTCCACAATTTTGGCCACTAGCATATTCTAGGGCTGACAGTATATCCAAAACCAGTTTGAAGCCCATATTGTGATATCTGTTTCATAGGGGTTTTTTACCTGGCAATATAGCACAAATCATGATGTGTGTTAGGGCTGAGCAATATATCGCCCAAAACCAGTTTCAGTCTATATCATGAAATTGGTTTCATAATTTTTGGCCTGGCAATATATTGCGAATTGTGGTGTGTGTGTGTGTGTGCTATGCAAACATCACAACGTGGGGGAAACTGTGAAGCCTGCCAATGCCTCTACATAACTGCATCCTTATTTCAGACATTGTGATACACTGGTATATTGCGATTTTTAGCTGGGGATATATCATCAAATATTTGAAAACCAAATATCGCCCAGCCCCAACCTGTTCCCCTTAATTGGGGTCAAATGCTTACAGTTCCTTCAGGATCCACCAAGAGAAGGTGCTTGGCTTGTCCATTGTGTAACCCAGTCAGCACGTACGAGCCTGGATTGGAGGTGCTTTTCCTAACCAGGAAGTCTCCACATTTCTTTAAGAGCTGTTCGGCTTCTTTCCTGCTCATCTCTCCTTGATACCAGGGTTCTGTGCTCAGTTCTGCTGCCGCACCTTCTGCTCTGGAGAGGAGTGGGCTGGTACATTCAACTGAGGTAGCCTTGTTCAAAATGGGCCCAGGGGTTTGGTTCTTGAGAGCATCTTCAAAAGGGCCTGTTAGTAAAGGTGGGTAACAAATACAAATTAGTGGCATAAGTAGTAGGGCAGCAATTCAGCGTAGTTCAGTGACTCGTTGCATTTCCCTACAATAAAAGCGCTGTCTTGACGAAAGACGTCTGGGTATCTTGCAGCCACCTGAAGGCTGGGAGGCTGAGGTCTCTTCTGTTGGATCTTAAATCCCCTTAACTTCCTCTGGATTATATACCTGAAGGAGCGTCTCCACCTCCATCATTCAACCTGGACACTGAGGTCCAGTGCCGAGGGCCTTCTGGCGGTTCCCTCACTGCGAGAAGCAAAGCTACAGGGAACCAGGCAGAGGGCCTTCTCGGCGGTGGCACCCGCCCTGTGGAATGCCCTCCCATCAGATGTCAAGGAAATAAACAACTATCTGCCTTTTAGAAGACATCTGAAGACAGCCCTGTTTAGGGAAGTTTTTAATGTTTTATGTTTTATCCTGTTTTTAATATTCTGTTGGGAGCCACCCAGAGTGGCTGGGGAGGCCAGGCCAGATGGGTGGGGTATAAGTAACAAATCATCATCATATATAGAAATTGTGCTCCCACTGATCAGTAAATTCAACTGAATAAATTAACAGAGCAAATGACAACTGTGCTAAACTAAGAATAGGGATCTCTCCTAAGTCCCTAGATTTTAGCGCAGCAAATACATACCTCAGTAGGCACCCCAGCAGGTATAGGATCAAAAGTTGCTGCTGTGGCAATTACAGTTTTCAAGAAAATTTCTGCCCATTCTGCTCAACAGCAACAGAAACTGAGAATGATCTCCATTTGGCTAATAGAGTTATGACAACAGGTTCAAAGGCTTCAATTTTTTTTGTCCTCCTGCCTGTTTTATAGCTTTGCTTTCTCCTGTCAGGCTTTTAAAGTGAGAAAGTTGCCATCTTTCAGATACGTGAAATGTAGCATTTCAGTTCTTTCAACTATCATTACTCTCTGGTTTTTCTGGATCAATGTGCTGTCATTTTGTAGGGCACACAATTCTGTCTTTGTCACAGCAGGCAAAAAAGAAGACCTCAGCCCTTATTTGCATGGGTGGTGAGGGAGACCTTGAGGAACTCTCCTTCCTCACCATCATCTCCAGGGACCCTGAGAAAGTGGGCTGGCAGGAAGCAGCAAGGCAAGGAACTGTGTCTGGGACAGGTGGTAAAAGCGTAAAAGGAATTAAAGGAGAGACCATGGATGGCACATAGTCTGATACATATGTCTGGGATCTTGTATAGGGTTGAATAGGACGCAGGTGGTGCTGCAGTCTAAACCACTGAACCTCTTGGGCTTGCCGATCGGAAGGTCGGCGGTTCGAATCCCTGTGACAGAGTGAGCTCCCATTGCTCTATCCCAGTTCCTGCTAACCTAGCAGTTCAAAAGCACACCAGGGCAAGTAGTTAAACAGGTACCGCGGTGGCAGGAAGGTAAATAGCGTTTCTGTGTGCTCTGGTTTCCATCACGGTGTCCCATTGTGCCAGAAGCTAGTGTTAGGTCCATCATGAGACGTCCACCAGCTTCTAATCACAGATACCAGCAGCCTTCAAGCAAGCAAACTTGCCTTATTCTCACTCCCTAGCATCCCACTGCCAGAGGATTGCCTCCTTCCATTCACCAGTTTGCCTCCTCCAAGTGGAAGAAACCTGGGCAGTGCTGAATGTCACATCCATTCTGTTGTGCCAGAAGTGGTTTAGTCCTCCTGGCCACATGACCCAGAAAGCTGTCTGTGAGCAAACACTGGCTCCCTCGGCCTGAAAGCAAGATCAGAGCCGCAACCCCATAGTTGCCTTTGACTGGACTTAACCATCTAGGGGTCCTTTACCTTTTTTACCTTTCTATATAGGGTTGCCACATGTCCTGCCTAATACAACAGCTAAAGAAACACCCCTCCCTTACAGCTATTAACTGAATGATTGTTGGCAAAATACTGAGTTCTGAGATGCAAGGAAAATTCAAAGAGAGGCTTTTAGAGAATTTTCAGGAGGAACTTACTCATGTCAAAAAGATCTTTTCCTGGGCTGCTGTCTTTGGTACTTTCTGTTGTTCCACTAAACAGGTTTTCAGCATCTGCCTGAAGAGCCTGAAGGATTTCCATATTTATGTGTTGCGTATTCACATAGGCCGGTACTTCTCCTGGTGGGGTTACATTAGATTTTCCTTCCGGCAGGCTGTAAATGTCCAAAGAGCCTGCAAAAATCAATGCAACCTTTTTTTTGTCCCAGTTTGCAGTAAGGCAATTTAAAAGAGCATCCTTTGGCCTCGGGCTGTTTCCACACTAGAGGTGCAATGAGATGGGTGCCTATGGCAGGATCAGGGCTTCTTGTGCGTGTGGATGATGTTCTTTTTGTCAAAATGATGGGTGGGTTCAGATTGATGATGGGCATAACGTGCTGCATTTAATGAAATATACTGAATTATTTCAGGAGTTAGAATGCTGTTTGAATACATAAGTTACCGGGATAAAAGTACTTCTCGTAGCCCAAACAAAGGGGATAAATTGCATCCTAGACATATTCTCATTACATTTAAGGGGGTTGCGGAAATGGCTTATGTATCAGAAGAAAAGGACCACCCGGTGGGAGTCGGTGCAAGGATTTCTGCTTCCACAATAAGGCTTTCCCCCCTCCTCCCACTGAGTGCCCCTGTGTCTCCCCCAAATCTACTCTGGGGGGTTATGAATACTCCCATGGGGGAAGAACCATCTCCTTTGTGCTATGCTGAATTCCACCCAGAATGTTTGTTGGCTTAGTTTTGCATTTGTCTCCACCTCCTTTTGCTCACCCATCTCCAACTTTCCCACCGCTGTATGGCGGAAGAAACCATTTTTAAAAAAGAAACAGCCATAGAATTGAAGTCCATGACTAAAACAGGCTCAAAAGTATGCTGGAAATGTAAGGGAAAAGAAGGCACCTTTTATCATGTGGAAATGTAAGCGAATAAAAGGATTTTGGGAAATGATATAGAATGAATTGAAAAAAATGTTTAAAATAACCCTTTGCTAAAAAAAACCCTGAAGCCTTCCTTTTAGGAATTCTAGGTGCCAAAATCGCAAGGGAGCAGGAAAGACTATTTATGTATGTGACCACGGCTGCGCAAATGTTATTGGCTCAGAGATGGAAAGAAGATAAAGTTCCTACCGGAGAAGAATGGCAGATGAAGTTAATGGACAATGCTGAAATGGCTAAAATGACCGGAAGAATCATAAATCAGGAAGACCAAAATTTTAATAAGGAATAGGGGAAATAAATTTACAATGCTCTTATCTTAAAGAGCATTGTAAACAGTTAAAATCGTTAGTTGGATTGGAATATCACTTGTAGTTTAATGGTGAATTCTGGAGACAATGGTGATGTAAAAGATTTGGATCATTATAAAAGATGCAGGAGGAAATTATTAATAATAGGATGCACAAAGGGAAGGATGGAAGTCCAGGAGATTCCTTGGAATCTTGTTTTTTATTATCCATGTTCGATATATGACTGTAAAATTTTAATCTGAAAAACCAATTAAATTATTTAAAAAAAAAAAAAGAATTTAAGCCTATGACATGAAGTCTTCCACCAATCTACATTCTTCTGTTTGCCTCTAGAACTCATGCAGCAAAAGTGCAACCATTCAAAGCGCAGCTTACCTTGCCTACTGGGTCGCTGTTGCTGATCTTCGCCAAATAGGTCCCTTACGTATTGGCTCTGGTAGTATGTTTGCTCTCTTCCCATTGCGGATGCAGACTAAGGTGGCAGTAAAAATAGTCTTCATGCAAACTCTACCTTTTAAAAACTGCAATGCATTTTCAGTGGGTCTTTTATATGATTGGTCCAGGTGCAATTCTACCCAAACCCAGTCTTCGTTCATTCATCATGTATGACACTATGACTGAGCATTCTTTTATGAATGAGTTTGCGTAGGAGGAGGATGAGAGAAATGATGACCTTCGGGGAAATTGCACTCCTTTCCTGTTTTATTAACCCCTGTAATTCTAAATGACAAAGTAGGTATATTGCATCTATAAAAGGAACCCCTCCAGTTAAATCACCCTTTCCTAGAACAAACTTGACAGCCTAATGATTTCCAATGAACTTTTACAAACACACAGACACAGAAAGGATGCTGGAACATTATTATAATCATACGATGGCTACGTGTAAAACTTTGTTTCCCAATGCAGGGCTCATCCAGCCTCCCTTTCGTGCTGAATTTCTAGGCATAGGTCCCTTTTGCCCCTATAAAGTGTGGGGCAAAAGGTCAGTGTGGGTGAACCCGCAATTAAGGACTTTAGGGAAGCAAAGTAGCATACCAAGGAAGAAAGCCCATCATAGTACTTTTCTTCCCACTTTGCCATCTTTTCAGTAAATGTATGGTAATTGTTCATTCAATATTACATGAAGAATACAGAAAAGGACCGTGTATATGAAATCTAGTGCTATTCACTTATTTCACATAACTATATATGCATAGATATATATCACAATAAATTTAAGGAACTCAATGAATGTTGCTTCCATATAAATGAAAAGCGACGCAAATATTCACCATGGCAGATTTGCCAAAAAGTCCAAGATTCCTGGCAGGAAAAGAAAATCACAACCCATTGCAGCATTAATGTTTGAGGGAAGAGTTGCCCACAGATAAATTGTCTGTGGGTTGTGTAGTTTAGACTTCAGTAAGCATCTAAAAGGGACGCAGGTGGCGCTGTGGGTTAAATCACAGAGCCTAGGACTTGTCGATCAGAAGGTCAGCGGTTCGAATCCCTGCGGCGGGGTAAGCTCTCATTGCTCGGTCCCTGCTCCTGCCAACCTAGCAGTTCGAAAGCATGTCAAAGTGCAAGTAGATAAATAGGTACTGCTCTGGCGGGAAGGTAAATGGCATTTCCGTGCGCTGCTCTGGTTCACCAGAAGCAGCTTAGTCATGCTGGCCACATGACCCGGAAGCTGTACGCCAGCTCCCTCAGCCAATAAAGCGAGATGAGCACCGCAACCCCAGAGTCAGTCACGACTGGCCCTAATGGTCAGGGGTCCCTTTACCTTTACCTTTAAGCGTCTAAAACAGCCTCTGTTGCATCAATCCCCTGAACTCAAGCTCATAGGAGTTTAAACAGTTTGGAGATTCAAGGGGGGGTAGCAAGAGACATTCGGCAGGCATTTCCTGTGTCAACTTTTACGTGCTGGTGAAAATTTTTCTAATCCTCCAGATCTATGCAAGCAATTCAGAGTACATTCCCCACATTGATCTATTGATGGTTGCTTTTAATTTCTTTTTGCTTTCAACTTCTTTTTAACTTATTGTTATTTTTTTGTTTGGTTTTATGTTTTTGTATTGTCGTAGACCGCTGTGATATATTTTTATAAATGAATGAATCCACAGAGCTACATTTGTGAAACCAGCGGTTACCTTTGCTATTTCCCCCACTCATCTAAACTAGACTGCAGTGCTACATGGTGATCTATGCAATTTGAAACCCAACATGACAGAGGGCAGGAGTAGCGCACCACAAGCAATTTCTTTCCCACCTGTAGTGAGAGCACACCTTCCGTATATGAACGTATACAGCATATCAGACATCCCCACATGGACATAACATTTCACCACAGAGTACACTTATAAGATCCAATGCACGTTGGACCAAATCACATTGATTTTATCGGAGATCTCAATTGTGCTGCTGACGCATTCATCCTGCCGAAAGATTAAGTCCACGTGTGGATGTTCAGTAGCCTTGGAGATGGGACAGGCATTCCAGGTAGACATGAGGGGACAGTCTAATCCACTCTCCCACCAGACAAAGGAGAACAGTGGGAGATGTTATTGACCAAACGGAACCAGGAGCCCTTAAACACAAAGAGAAGAGCTTCCCGGGTTGTGGTAGAGATTGCTCATACGCTTGCTGAGCAACAATGCTCCTCGTGTGGTGAAATATCAGGCGCACACTCCTCAAACACACGTAGACCAGGTGAGGTGGAAGCCTATATACATCTAGACCCAATTTCCCTAAAAAGACAAAAAGAATAGATGGCACAAATCAGGACTATGTGTGTATGGGCATCCATGTGATGGGTCTGCCTTAAATATCCATCCACATGTTTTTGGTAGAGGTGAGGAGGACTGCCACCCAGTGGGGGTATGAACTGGCTCTTTCAACTGGTGCATCAACACCTTTTGCTTAAAAGATCCATGATAAGTTATCCTTTATACAGCTATTTTCAGTCTGTTAAAATAACACCCAAGGGAACCAAGCTAGGATTCATTGGCCTACCTGAGTAGGATCTGACACAGAGGGGAGCTTGGCTCTGATCCTTGCATCAACCAGGCCTCCAGTCGGAGGTATTTTGTTAGGAATGTTGTTGTAATATGGATGCTCTGCTGCTGCCTCAACATCTTCTTCCATCCAAAGTTCATCCAAACTTTGCATCCTGTCAGAAAGAAGCTCTGTTATTTTGCTCCTTCAGTTTTTATTCAGTTGTCTATTTAATTGGCAACATCTAAAATGTGACAAATATATCCCTTAACAAATTCAGTCCCGTTGTTATATAAACTATAGAATTCACCTTTGGACATAATCCAACAGTTTGAGGGATCTCTTGAATTGGCTTAATAGGTTCTCTGTTGACCAGCATATTCTCAGATACAATAGTCCCTTGTATTAACTACTTTGCTGCAGTACAATCCAAGACTGGGAGTAAGGGGTCTTCCACACTTTTTCTTGACCTGTATTTTGGTGTATTGTGTACCGATTTAATTCTACCAGGCCCAAGAGCTTTTCTTGTTGTTTTGTGGTTGTGCCTTTCAAAACTCCAATATTACCTGCTGAATCAGATCTTATCAGATGTGTGGAAAATTCAAAGGGAGGTTTTGCTTAACCGAGCTTCAATTCAGCAGGTATGATCAGAAGTTCGCAATGGGCAGCTGAAAGGACACTGTTATTGCTTTCTCTGTTACAGAGAGCAAGAGTTTGAGGCTGGCACCGAAGTTCGCTACCTGAGCAGCCTCCTCCAACCTGATACCCCTCAGAAGCTTTGGGGAAAAACAACAACCATCATTCTCTGACCACTGGACTCTGCTGGCTGGGACTGGTGGCTACATTCAACAAGATTTGGAAGACATCAAGTTGAGCGAGGCTGTTCCAGGGATGTAAGCCTTATTCTGTTGGATGGGGCAGGTGTCACAATAATCTGTTGTATTTGTAGCCAGTTGTTCCCTTCTGCAAACGAACTCTCCTTTTATTTTAGCAGTCCTTGAAGGAAACAGCACTTCCACACAAAAATCAAAACTCCTCTTGTACTTGCTCACCTATCATGAAGAGCTGGGATCTTTGAGGGGCATTGCAAATATTGCTTAAAACGCAGTTCAAATGCTTGTCCTATACTGCTGATAATATCCTGGGCCAAGCCATCAGAGCACTCCAGGATATGACACGCTAAAGGAACGGGGAAACAAGAAAAGTATTTTAGAGTCTAAGCTTGAAGCTTGAAGAAATCAATGCTGTAGTAGTAGTAGTAGTAATTTAATATTTATACCCCACCCATCTGACTGGGTTTCCCCAGATACTCTGGAGGGCTTCCAGCAAAATACATAAAGATTTTTAAAAAATTAAATACAAGTAGTTTTACACCTTTGTCCTTTGCTTAAAAAAGATAAACTTAAAACAATCTATGGCTATTTTTTAAAAAAACAAAAACTTTGGCAGAAGTAAAATTTAAAACCATAGTTCTAATATATGGGACTTATTTTTAAAACAGATGTTTCCCATCCCCTACATACAAGGTTGCATTCAACACAGTCCTACACAGAGTAGACCCACTGAAATTTGTGAGCCTAAGTTAATAATGCCTATTAACTTCAACAGGTGTGCTCTGAGCTGTATACCACCCCAGGCGTCCCAAAAGTTTGCTTTTAAAAATATCACTGGCAGCTTCTATGTGCCTCCCTATCTTTTTCTAAAAAATAAGAGAATCTTTTAAAAGACACACACACACACACTTAAAAATAAAATAAAAAATGAGAAAAAAATAAGAGAATCTTTTAAAAGACACACACGCACACACACACACACACACACACTTAAAAATAAAATAAAAAATGAGTGTCCCCATGGTCTCTTGCTTTGATACCAAAATGGCTTTTCTTTTGTTTTCTTTTTCTTTTTGGTCACTCCAGACCACTCCAAAATTTAAAAGACAGCTACCAAGCTGTCCATCCCCCATGGAGAAGTAGACTAATGGCTCAGTCACCTTCCAACTTAATAGTTTATAACCTTCTATAGCAAACCTGTACATATTTCACTAGACCGCATCATCTAGGAGGCTACAAATCATTTTCTTCCTCTTTGGCGTTTTCTGATTAATTACTTCTAGTTAATACAGCTGCAAGAGAAGAGTCTCACAAAAACTCTGAGGAAGTGACTGAGCTAGCAACTCAAAAGATTGCTCAAACTGAGAAACATTCCTTAAGTTAAACCTTGTCCGCAGCACCATATAAATGTCCTGAGTTTAGTGGGGCACCTTATGGATGCAAACTGAGCAGCTGCCTAGCCTTTCAGGTGTATTTCTATGCAGGAACTGAGGTTCAAATCAAATCCCCACTCAGCCCAGTGGATGGCTTTGACCAAGTCATCGACTCACTGCCAGACCTACTTCATAAGGTTCAAAATGCAACTTTGAGGACCAAAGTAGACATAGGAATATACTGTAGGAAGTTGCCTTTTATCAAGCTGGACAGTTGGTCAGGCTATCTCAGTATGGTCTTCTGAACTTGGGACCTTCTGAAATGGAAATGGATTGATTCAAAAGAGGTGGGTGGGAAGGTTTCTGCTCTCTGTGGAAGCCACATGCAGCTAGCCTTTTAAGCCCCACTGCCAGGATGGGCAAGGCAACAGCCAATGGCCAACCATCCAACGAGGCACCACCCTCCAAATGGGGCCTCTGATTGGCCCACTGAAATTTGCCCTCTTTGGTGGGAAGACCGCCTCTTGCTATCGCCGGTCAAGGGGAATTCCCCAGCAGCAGCTGGAGAGCAAGCATGCTCTAGCTGCCGGGGTGAAGCTGAAACGCAAGGGGGCCACAACTGTCGCCCGCCCCGCCCCCATAAATGTGGCGAGTGGCCATTATCTACTGCTGAACTACAGCCCTTCCCCAAGACAAGACAATAGAGATCTGTGTTCATCCCACCTCTTAACATTTTGGCAAACAGAAATTGTGTAAGGGGCCGTTTAGATCGGGACCACTGTCATGGGTAGTTAACACTTTACTCCAGTATTGTGCCTGCCTATGCATGGTTTTCTTCTAACTGGTGGGAATAGTGTGGGATGTAATCCACTGGGAGCAGTCAAGTACAACATTCCTTGTTTTCCTAGAGTGGACATGCAAGGAAATGTTTGGTCCAGCCAGTTGAAACTCCCTGTTCCTTCTGGCTGGAGCATCCTTCCTTTTGCATGTGATAGAAGGTGGGTGTGACCTAACCTGTCCAGGTAACAAAAGGACAAGTCACGCAGCAATTCTCTCTCTTTTCCATTTTCCTTTCATCGTGTGAACTGCTGGACTGCTAGCCTGCAGTCACTGGGATTATTCCCCCATATGGGGTAGATCCGCATGTACATATTTGTAACTAAGTCTGCCTTCAGGGATCCAACTGTGAACTGATGTAAGTAAACTTCTTTTATTGACTTTGAATTAGATTGTGGTGTCTTTATTCTTTTAAGAGGGATTCAAGGGAACTTACCATGAACGTACAATTCAATCTGAGACAGACTGAATCGTACAATAGTGAGAGGCTCACACGAGTCTGCAACCAGCTATCTGCTGTGCATGTAGAAGGTGAATGTAGCTCTGGTAAGTAAAGGAACTTGCTAGCGCAAGTTAGGAAGGATATTAATAAACAATATATCCTCTACTGCCACCCTGAACATTCCCACTAATAGGAGCTCCAGGAAAGGAGCGTGTGTGTTTTCCATTTGTAGAAGTGGCAGTTAGGAGAAAAGACTGGCCACCCCAGTCTCCAAAACCTGGAGCTGCTGTTTTCCATAATTTTAAGAAACAGGAAATCCCATCTCAGAGCTCTGACATCTCATCTGATTTGGCAACTGAGCTCTTTGGAGGCAAGGCGGGATGCGAATGTAAGAAATAACAGAATACATTTTGAATATGGTGTGTGATACCGTTAGTGGAAGGGAAGCCATTATCAATAGAACGCAGTGCCTTAATGAGAATCTGAGCAGCGTACGTTTTCAAAAAGAAGAGGAGATTGAATGTTAAGCAGTACTTTACCTCTGCGATTCACAGGGTCCTTAGCTACATAGGCGACATAGTCTGTTGTATCCTGTTGGCAGAGGGAGAGGAGATGGGGGGCAAAGAGACAAACATCTACCATGAATATCATGTGAGTTTTCATTTTATGCTGCAACAAAGGTGCGCTGCTTTTCATCTGAGTGTTTGCAACTGGTTGCCTGTGCTTGGATACCATGGTGACGAGTGTGTTATAAATATCATCCAGATAGAGAGATTAGATTCTAGAGTAGATACATTAAGGCAGGAAGACAGAGAGAACCTCTTGCACAGAAAACCCTGCAAAATAATAGAGCGTGTCCTTGGTATAAAACCATCAATTCAAAGGCTATAATACCATTAAAAACTGGGCCATCTTTTCCAGTATCTATCGAAAGGTACCCAAATTACAATTAAAATGGCATGCTGTATATTGAGGAGGTACAATTTTCTTAAAGCAACAAACCATTTTTGTTGTTACATCTGAAATGAGCCAATATTTTATAAGTGGGGAAATGTAATATCCGCCCCCCCCCATCCCAGTGCTTTTGTAAATTGTGAGTGGGATTTCAGGAGTGTTGTATCAATGGGATATTAGTCGAGAGAATACCACATGTTCCTGCTGAGGAACATTGCAACTCTTTTTTTTCTTCTGTGCTCCAACACAATCTGTACCACACTGAGGTGTGTTTGTAGGTCTTCAGTATTTAAGCTAAAAAGCACAAATCCAGAAGTTTGTGGTAAGAGAATATGCAAGAGATGAGTTTCAACTTATAATATAAGTTTATAAAAAGGTGGGGGGGGGAGCAGAGGTGGAAGAAAAGGGAGAGGTAACTACAAATGAATATGGGCACAGCTCACAAACGCAACAATAATTCACACATTTGAGTCATCACTAGGGTCGGGGGGAGGGGAGCTGTGGCCCTGCAAATGTTGTTGGAGTATCACTCCCATAATTCCTGACCATTGGCCACGTTGGTTGAGCTGATCTGGTGGGTGACGGGTCCCCTAACTCTGGCTAAGGTCATACCATCAATAAGTGAAGATGTTTGTGTGATCAATCACAGATTGATCACTACAGCTAAAAATATAAGGCGAGACTGGTGGATCGGGCCAATGGTCTGCTCAGCAGCCTGTTCTGACAGTGGCCAACCTGTGAGAAACCCACAAGCAGGATTCAAATACAACAACACTCTCCCCTTCTGTCGTTTCCAGCAACAGGTATTCAGAAAGTAACAACAACAACAACATTATACAGTCATACCTCGGGTTGAAGTAACTTCGGGATGAATATGGCAAAGTTTTTATCGGTGGTTGCAAGAACCAATGATCCCCATAGTCTGAACAAAACGCTTGTTTAACCTGGAGGTAGGCCGTATGAATTGTGTATTGCTTTGTAACGATTTGTTGGGTCTCTGGACCGTAATAAAGATTGTTGTTGTTGTTGAATATTTTTGGGTTGCGCTCCATGGCGACCTGGAAGTAACGGAGCACGTTACTTCCGGGTTTCGCCACTCACGCATGCGCAGACGCTCAAAATGACGTCATGCACATGCACGGAAGTGGCGAAACGCAGCACGCACAGACGCGTGTTACGTTCGCTTCAGGATGCGAACAGGGCTCCGGAACAGATCCCGTTCGCATCCAGAGGTACCACTGTATATTTGTTTGTTTGTTTGTTTATATACCCCGTCCATCAGGCTGGGTTTCCCCAGCCACACTGTGTGGCTCCCAACGGATTAAAAACAGAATAAAACATCAAACATTAAAACTTCCCTAAACAGGGCTGCCTTCAGATGTCTTCTAAAAGTCAGATAGTTGTTTATTTCCTTGACATCTGATGGGAGGGCATTCCACAGGGCGGGCGCCACTACCGAGAAGGCCCTCTGCCTGGTTACCCCTGTAACCTCACTTCTTGCAGTGAGGGAACTGCCAGAAGGCCCTCGGAGCTGGACCTCAGTGTCCGGGCAAAATGATTGCTGCCTCCAGTTGTGAATGCACAGCATACTTGGATGGAACTTTGATACCATCTGCTTTCAAGTCATGCAAAACTTTTCAAAGCGGACAGTTCATGCATTTAACTGAGAGTCACCGTAGTGAGAGATGCATGTGTAAATTTAGCCCTGTGTGAAAACAATCCTTTGAACTGGGCCTCCCCTCCACCCATCTCTTGCTTGCCACTAGGCAACTCACGTTCCGAAAATTCAGTAGGCAGTGGCATTTCAGGAGCTGACACTTGGGTTACAAATAGAGGTTAAATAACTGTAGAGGCTAGAAACACCTCTGCCCACAGCAGAAATTGCTCATTATACAGTCATTTTGTGTTCAGACCGCTATGCTATTGATAATATGGGGTTCTTCCTTTTTTCTTTCTTTTTAATCATGAAGTTATTTTCGCAACATATTGGCTTCATTTCATCTTTACTGTAACACCTCTGAGAGTACCTTCATATAGCATAGGAGTGTTCGAGTTAAACTGAATGATGATGCCTTGTTTTGAATTTCCAGAGCTTTCACTTAGAACTTAATGGCAAAGGTCTAATTAGCAATATTTCCTCAACAAGTTAAGTGATCAGTTGCGGCACAGTACCCTTACATCAGTACCACAGTATGATTTCATCAGTTCCAAAATGAGAAAGATTCTAAATAAATGAATCATATGCTTACCACATCGACTCCAGATGCAAAGGAAATAGACTGCATATGATGGTTTGCTATAATCTGTAAAAGGTTCGGAAAAAGATTAGCATGAGCGTGAGATGCAGTCAGACTTTCCAGAGTCACATTCGCATCATATGTTTAAAGCACATGGCTTCCCCCAAAGAATTCTGGGAAGTGTAGTTTACCCTCTCCCTAGAGAGACACAGTTCTATGCAGCTGTAGCAAACTACAGTTTCCTGGTACAGGTAGGTAGCCGTGTTAGTCTGCTGTAGTCAAAACAAAATAAAAAAATTCCAGTAGCACCTTAAAGGTAAAGGACCCCTGACCGTTAGGTCCAGTTGTGGCCGACTCTGGGGTTGTGGCGCTCATCTCGCTTTATTGGCCAAGGGAGCTGGTGTACAGCTTCCGGGTCATGTAGCCAGCATGACTAAGCCGCTTCTGGCGAACCAGAGCAGCGCACGGAAACACCGTTTACCTTCCCGCCGGAGCGGGACCTATTTATCTACTTGCACTTTGACGTGCTTTCAAACTGCTAGGTTGGCAAGAACAGGGACCGAGCAACGGGAGCTCAGCCCATCATGGGGATTCGAACCGCTGACCTACTGATCGGCAAGTCCTAGGCTCTGTGGTTTAACCCACAGCACCACCTGCATCCCTAGTAGCACCTGAGAGACCAGTTAAGTTTGTTATTGGTATGAGCTATTGTGTGCATGCACACTTCTTCAGATATCTGAAGAAGTGTATCTGAAGAAGTGTGAAATCACACGAAAGCTCACACCAATAACAAACTTCTTGTTGTTTAGTCGTTTAGTCGTGTCCGACTCTTCGTGACCCCATGGACCAGAGCACACCAGGCACTCCTGTCGTCCACTGCCTCCCACAGTTTGGTCAAACTCATGCTGGTAGCTTCGAGAACACTGTCCAACCATCTCGTCCTCTGTCGTCCCCTTCTCCTTGTGCCCTCAATCTTTCCCAACATCAGGGTCTTTTCCAGGGAGTCTTCTCTTCTCGTTAGGTGGCCAAAGTATTGGAGCCTCAGCTTCAGGATCTATAACAAACTTAGTTGGTCTCTAAGGTGATACTGGAAGGAATTTTTTTATTTTGTTTTGACTAGTTTCCAGGGTTGGTTTGGGGGCAGCCATGAGCTTGAAACGTCCTCGAAAGCTTAAAAACAGAAACAATAATATCAAAAACAAATGTGCAAAGTCGTGCGTCTCCAAACCTTCTGTGACAGCATGCCCAGATGGCAACTCCCCAGGATCTCAGAGCAGCACTCAGATGCTAAACCCAAAGTCCTGGAATCTTGCAAGGCGGGCTGGCTTTTGGTGTCATCACAGTATGACTCTTGCCCCACGGATCCTGCAGCCCACGGATCCTGCCTTAGGCAGAGTGGGCAGGCAAGGATAGGTGGAAGCACAGCACAGAGTCACCCGTTTGTGCAGATTGTGGGAAGCCGTTTGCAATGAATGCGCATCCACCAAACCCCATCTGAAACTTCCATCTGGGTGCCCTTTGAGTCAGAATACCCTACAAATACTGCCAAATTGAAGAAGCATACATGTTTCACCGCGGCTGGAGAAGGTGGCAAGAAGGGATAAGGAAATACACCTACAGCTGCCTTATACCATGTTAGATAGCATAGATAGCATAGAGTTCTGCAGTGCAGACACTGGTCCAGAATTTCTGCCACTAATTGGCAGCTGCTCTCCAGGGCTTTATACAGGAGTCTTTTCCATCCTTACCTGGAGAGGTTGGGAATTAAATCTTTTGCATGCAAAGAATGTGCCCTACCATGGAGCTAAACGGTGAAGGTAAAGGGACCCCTGACCATTAGGTCCAGTCGTGTCCGACTCTGGAGTTGCAGCGCTCACCTGCTTTATTGGCTGAGGGAGCCAGTGTACAGCTTCCGGGTCATGTGGCCAGCATGACTAAGCCGCTTCTGGTGAACCAGAGCAGTGCACGGAAACGCCGTTTACCTTCCTGCCAGAGTGGTACCTATTTATCTACTTGCACTTTGACATGCTTTCGAACTGCTAGGTTGGCAGGAGCAGGGACCAAGCAACGGGAGCTCACCCTGTCACGGGGATTCGAACCGCCGACCTTCTGATCGGCAAGTCCTAGGCTCTGTGGTTTAACCCACAGCGCCACCCGCATCCCAGACCCACCCCCTTTTTTATGGTACTTTTATCCTAGGGAAAAGAGAGAGAGAGACCCGTTTGCTTACTTTGTAGTCCCATTTTAGTAGGAAAATAGGAAGTTGTCTTATATTACCCAGACCGTTGGTCCATCTAGCTGTCAGGCAGCAGAGGATTGAACCCCCATGGCAGGTTGCCAGGAATGGATAAAACAAGGAGAAGTTCTTACCAACTGCTTTTTATTCAATATTCACAGAGAGATGCTTAGAAATGCAGCCTCTTAGAATAATGACGTTGCCCCCGAGTGAGTCTCCACTCCCTTCCTCTCTCATGCGTCACAGCCACGGGTGCTGAAATGTGCCTTCTGCCTTTGTGCTCTCTGCTTTCCTACTTTCAAGGCTCGCCAGGTTTTGGGAGACGGGGGTATGGAATGCTTTCTAAAGACAATGAATCTGTCAGCTGTGCTCCCTCTGGTCCTTCTTCCTCCTCTCCCATTATTCCCCAGCTTTCCCCCTCATCTGCCTCTGAGCTGTGATCTCCCTCAAACCCCTGTTGTAATTCTGAACTGTCTTCTTCTTCTCTAGAAGGTCAGGCTGGGGAGTCGGTCTCTGCCATCCCTCCTCTGCCCCATCCCTGACACTAACTCACTATTGCCTACAGCAGGAGTGGGGCAGAAAAAGAGGCAAATGTAGGCAGAGCAGACGAAATGGAAGTTCCACCTTTGTGCAGTGGGCGAGTTTCTACGCACGCTCTCCGTCACCCAACCAGACAAGCAGAGGGCATAATAAGAGTACAAGGACCTGTTCCGCCCAGGCCAAAACATTTGGGCTTTGAAGATGGGCCAGTGCAGTGCATGGCTTGGGCAAAGTTCAGCTGGCCAAGTAGAGAGGCCATCCCTGGCCTGCATTTACCATCATTGCCTCCTCAGGGTTCAGGCAGAAAACATTCTCAGACCTACCTGGAGAAGCCAGGGACTGGACCTGGGACCTTCTGCATGCACAGCAGAGCTCTACTACTTCTCTACTTAGTTTTCCTCCTTCTCCCAATTATATTTGTGAATAAGAGCCCAACGGTAATGGTTTTGCTGGCTTTTTAAAGAGGATGATCTGACACTCCCTGCCACCAAAGAGGAGTTAGTCTGGTTAACTTTTGAGGATGTCTGCAGATGGACTCTTCTGTTCCAGTGCAATTTGTCTTGTCTTGAAATCTTTAATATCCAAATCCGGAAAATACACTATACCAGGGTTTCCCAAACTTGGGTCTCTAGCTGGTTTTGGACTACAGCTCCCATCATCCCTAGCTAGCAGGACCAGTGGCCAGGGATGATGGGAACTGTAGTCCAAAAAAAAACCCAAGTTTGAGAAACCCAGCACTATACTAATACACATTGATGGTGCGCTCAGGCAGATACACCCTGATCTGCTTGGAACAGAACAGCTGCATAAAATTGCATAAGAGCTTTGCTGGATCAGACCAAATGATCATATAGTATTGTTGACTGTTGTCTCAGGGGCAACGCAAATGGAAAGCCCCATAGCAGAACATGAGTGCAGCAGCTCTGAGGCATACTAAAGTCAACAGGGTTAGGACATAGCCGTAATGGGTTGTAAGTAAAGGGACGCAGGTGGCATTGTGGTCTAAACCACTGAGCCTTTTGGGCTTGCCTATTGGAAGGTCGGCAGTTCGAATCCCCTTGACAGAGTGAGCTCCCATTGCTTTGTCCCAGTTCCTGCCAACCTAGCGGTTCAAAAGCACACCAGTGCAAGTAGATAAACAGGTACCGCGGTGGCAGGAAGGTAAATGGCATTTCCATGTGCTCTGGTATCCGTCATGGTGTCCCATTGTGCCAGAAGCTACCGTTAGGTCCATCATGAGACGTCCGCCAGCTTCCATCCACAGATACCAGCAGCCTTCAAGCATGCCAACTTGCCTTATTATCGCTCCCTAGCATCCCACTGCCAGAGGATTGCCTCCTTCCATTCACCAGTTTGCCTCCTCCAAGTGGAAGTAACCTGGGCAGTACTGAATGTCACATCCATTGCCAGGTGTGTCCTGCTGGAAATTGAATAGGGCTTTCCCCTTGGCCTGCCTTTATGTCCGCTCAGTTGCCAAGTGCTTTTGTGACATCACAAGAAACCCACAGCCAATGGCAATAGCTGGGGAGGCATCCTCTTCATTGCTTTGAGCCTCACAATGGCAGGTGGACCTATCAGTGATTATGTGCTTGTTTATTTGGGATGTGGGTGGAGTTCTGGTCTAAACCACTGAGCCTCTTGAGCTTGCCAATCAGAAGGTGGGCGGTTCGAATCCCTGTGACAGAATGAGCTCCCGTTGCTCTGTCCCAGTTCCTGCCAACCTAGCAGTTCGAAAGCACACCAGTGCAAGTAGATAAATAGGTGCCGCTGTGGTGAGTAGGTGAATGGCATTTCCATGTGCTCTGGTTTCCGTCACGGTGTCCCGTTGCACCAGAAGCGGTTTAGTCATGCTGGCCACATGACCTGGAAAGCTTTCTGTGGACAAACGTCGGCTCCTTCAGCCTGAAGCGAAATGAGCGCCACACCCCACAGTCACCTTTGACTGGACTTAACCATCCAGGGCTCCTTTACCTTTTTACCTTAATGAGTTCTAGCTATGGACGACCTAATCCTCCATGCATTTGTTGTCCACGTTGGTGGTCATCCCTCCCTTTTTCTGGAGCAAATCCCGCACTTTAACATGTGCTGTGTGACGAAAGTACTTATTTTTGTCTGCCCTGGATCTTCCAGTGTTCAGCTACTCGGATGTACCGGCAAATGCTAGTTATAACAAAAGACTTTGCAGGACCACTAAGCACAGAAATAATCTGGCAGGTAGCAAGGAACAAGCGCCATGGAACTATTCAAAGCAGCAAGCAGGAATTAGAGCATACAGACCTGTCTTGAATCAGGCGTCATCAGGTTTAAGCTGGTGGTAGAGATATTCAGAGTAATGCTCATTCCTGCGAACTGAAGGTTGCTCTTACCCAAGATACTAGAGAGGGCTTTACTCGGCGGCTGTGAAAACAAAAATCACACATCTCAGTACTCTACGAGCATCTGGTGACACCTGACTCCACGCTGCATAAACGGGGAGCCTCTGGGGTTTATTCGTCAAGAGTGTGACATTTTAATCAACGTTCTGTGGCTGCTTTTATCCGAAGTTAGTAAGAAAGAAGTCGAGTATTGATTCACAAGGAAGGGACAGTGCTACAAGGAGAGAGAGAAAATGCAGGTTGTTTCCATATAGATAAGGAAAATACAGTGATCTAAAGTGGTTGGTGTCATACCAGGGAGACCTGGATTCAAATTCCCCTAAAAACCCTACTGGATAACCTTGCTTCAGTCACCATCTCCCGGCCTACCCTACCTCACAGGGTTGTTCTGAGGATGGAATGGGAGTGAGGAACCATGTACAGTGGTACCTCGGGTTAAGAACTTAATTCGTTCTGGTGGTCCGTTCTTAACCTGAAACTGTTCTTAACCCGAGGTACCACTTTAGCTACTGAGAGCTGCCGCCGCCGCCACACAATTTCTGTTCTCATCCTGAAGCAAAGTTCTTAACCTGAGCTACTATTTCTGGGTTAGCGGAGTCTGTAACCTGAAGCATCTGTAACCTGAGGTACCACTGTACACCATTCTGAGCTCCTTGGGAGAATGGATTGCATATTAAACGAATGTAATAAATAGATAAAAAGAACAAAGAGGCATGAGATGAACATACAGAGCAATGCCAAATTACCTCAAAGTCACGACAAGTGTCAGAAGAGAAGCTTTTCTGTAACAGCAGAAAACTAAAATCTATTAAGTATAGAAATGCTGAAACATTTGCAATTATATCTGCTAATGAAAGCCACTTTAAATCACTTCATCTAACTCACAGAGTTGAGTAACAAACCATTTGTGTGGATTCTCCACACAGTTGGGACAATTTGGGGACACAAGCCCTTCCTTTAGGGTTTGCAAGCGTGGAGGAAAGTGTTGTTTTATTTCATTCAGGAAAAATGCTGTTAGACAAGTATTAACAGGCGCACTGGCTGAAAATACAACATACCTTGTTTCCCTAGAGTGGACATGCAAGGGAATGTTGGTTCAGCCAGTGGTGGAGGAAGCCGCGTGCCCTTGGCCGCTCTACAGCTGGGGGGGAGGCAGTGGGCCAGCTTACCCCCCCCAGGGTGACACCTGGGGTGCGCCGCCCCACCCCTGCCTTCGTACGCTCCTAGGTCCAGCCAGTCAAAACTTCCTATTCCTCCTGGGCTGGAGCATCCTTCCCTTGAATGTGACTAGAGATGGGCATGACCTTACCTGTCCAGGTAACAAAAGGACGAGTCATGCAGCTCTCTCTCTCTTTCACTTCATTCTTCGTTCGACCAGCTTCTCAGCTAGGAATGCTCTGCTAGCTGCCAGTTACCAGAAGCACTGGGATTATCCGCCATGTGGGGTAGATCCACATGTACATGTTTGTAACTAAGTCTGCCTTCAGGAATCCAACTGTGAACTGATGTGAGTAAACTTCTTTTATTGACTTTTAATAAGATTGCCGTGTCTTTATTCTTTTAAGAGGGATTAAAGGGAACTTTCCAGGAATTTACAATTCAAACTGAGTCAGACTGAACTGTATACAGTAGTACCTCAGGTTAAGTACTTAATTCGTTCCGGAGGTCTGTTCTTAACCTGAAACTGTTCTTAACCTGAAGCACCACTTTAGCTAATGGGGCCTCCCGCTGCTGCCGTGCCGCCAAAGCACGATTTCTGTTCTCATCCTGAAGCAAAGTTCTTAACCCAAGGTACTATTTCTGGGTTAGTGGAGTCTGTAACCTGTAGCGTATGTAACCTGAAGCGTATGTAACCGGAGGTACCACTGTAATAGTGAGAGACTCACACGAGCCTGCTACAAGCTATCTTCTGTGCATGTAAGAAAGGGGAATGTAACTCTGCTACATGACGGAACTTGCTAGCACAAGTTAGGAAGGATATTAATAAACAATGTATCCTCTCCTGCCACCCTGAACATTCCCACAAAAAGAATTGCACCCAGAGCAGTCGCCCCAGTAGCTTCCCCCTACCCAGTATTAATGTATGATATCAGCGAACCATCTCACTCAAATACGTTATTTAGGAAAGTGCCAGTGGAAGAATCTCTGTTGACCCCAATAGGAGCGCCAATATTTGTATGTGCATGTGTGCTGTGATTTTGGTACACAGGTAAAGGATTAACTGCCTTTGCCATGGGCACAATACTGCTCAGGTCCTCCAATGGCAGCAATTCAAAGGACAAAAATTGTACGTGTAAAATGCATACATGGACTTAATGTCGCATCCCGTTTGGTCCCAAGATGAGAGAATATGATCACGTTGACAAAAAGACACAAGGCAATTACCTTTCTTTTTTTAAAGGCTCCTTTGGCTGCCGGCACAGCATCGCAAACAAGGCTGATCGCTTCCCTGGAGAGACAGAAAAGAACATTGGGTAGCAAATGGTTTCATGGTGCCAGAAGCATACAGTTTGGTTTCTCATGATGGCATTCAAGTAATGATCTACTGGAAAGACTGCATATGGACTAAAACACTCTGTTGTTCATAGCAAACCAAAGTTTGCATTTGAAATATTACACTATTTGATGGTCTCATAGGCTGTATCGAGTATGTTAAAAGTAAGAAAAGCAGGGCAACCAATCTTGCTAATTTTCTTAGGGAATTGTGAAGTTTTAGCATATTCAGAGCTAACCCACAGTTGAGGCAGAGTGAAGCAGCTACCTCAGGTGGTAGAACCATAAGAGGCAGCCCCTGCCCAGCCCACAGAAATGCTCTACTTTTATTCAGGTGTGAATAAGGAAAAGAAACACAAATAATAATAATAATAATAATAATAATAATAATAATAATAATTTTTATTTATATCCCGGCCTCCCCAGCCGAAGCCAGGCTCAGAGCGGCTAACAGCAGTAAAATGATAAAACATTCTAAAATAATTTCATTATAAAATTAATTCCCATCAGATTAATGGCAACCATTGGGCTAGAGTTCTGTGAGGATTCTTTCCTGCTTTTGTTCTTCTTCAGATGGTACGTACTTATGCAAGGTAGTTCAAAAGATAGATGTGGAAAAGTATTTGCAGTACATCATCTCATATTACCTTGTAATCTGTGTTCTAGTATTGAAGTCAAGGGATCTCATGGAACGCAAGACCTCTATACATCCCAAGTACTGCGGGAAGGAGACGAAAATGGTAAATAAGCATAAGTGGGAAAGGAATTTATAACAGGCATTTTAAAATGCAAAATAAAAGCACAAATCATTTCCTCCCACAAGTGCACACAAACAGATGGAGAATGGGGCACGCATAGGAATTTATGTAGCTTTATTTATGCATGTTCTTATACTGTATGTCTCATTTTCACCAAACAAGAGTCCCCACTCAAACTGATAAAACAAATAAAAGTACAGTATGACCCGGAAGCTGTATGCCAGCTCCCTTGGCCAATAAAGTGAGATGAGCGCCGCAACCCCAGAGTCGGTCACAACTGGACCTAATGGTCAGGGGTCCCTTTACCTTTACCTTTATAGTATAATAGTCCACACAAAATGAACAATATTAAAATTTAACAACAACAACAACAATAGAAGGGAAGAAAATCACAGCCCTTTATTGACGCAGAAACTGTTCCCACCCACCAGATTCTTACATGGATGCACAGCTGTTAATGGACAAGCGAGGCCCTTCCCCAGTTGACACAGTGAGATCAAGTTGCGTGATTTACAAAAAGCAAAACATCTCTTTGGAGGGGTGAAGAAGAGTGAGCAACTGGATCAATTTATTTGTGCAGGGGGATCGTTTTCAAAAGGAACAGCTTTTGACAATGGAACTGTTCTTTAATTTTTTTAGTGTTGTGCTTTTTGGACAATGAAATAATCCTAAATAAATAAGAATAAAAATGTGCACCCCACCACCAAGACCATTCCATTGTAACTATCCTACCTTCCAAAAATTCCATACCTCTTGCAGTGTACAAATTCTTCAAACACCTTCCATATCTCCTCAAAATCATTTCTCCTGCATATTCCCCATCTTACCTTAATGGCACATGTTAATTTATCATTAGTAGTTATATCCCACACCTCTTTATACCATTCTTCCATTTTATATTCTGCTTGCCCCTTCCACTTCCTGGCTATAATAATTTGCACGGCTGTCAATAAATTTGTGAGCAAGTCCTTCATAGCCTGCAAATCTTCCACCCCATCGTAAATTGATAATAATGCTACCTCTGGACTTTTGGTCAGCTTTAACCCAGTGAGACTATGGAACTGTTCTTCTGCTGTTTGCATAAGACATGCTAGAAACCTCTGGCTCACTCCATGCTGTTCTAGGTTCCTAAGGAGTCCTTGGATTCCTCACTTTCCTTCAGGGTTCATATCCAACTTTACAGCAGATACTCAATGAAAAGTAACTGAGGGTGGACACCAGCCCCACTGAAAGCTGTCTATGCAGTGGATCTAAACACTTTTCACACGCTATGCCTGCATTAGGCTCAGACTATAAATAATGAGTGTGTGCACATTCACCCAAATCTGGTTAAGTAAGAACTCAATTAAGTAGAGAGCTGGGAATTGGATTGTTAAAGCAGAGGAGGTACAGAAGTGAGGAGCTCAACACCCCTCTGCAACTTCCCTCCTCGCAGCTTCTCTCTCCTCCAAGTTCACTGTGTGTTATGTACTAAGCCTGGATCCCAGAATAATAGGCAAGTAGGATCCTAGAATGCAACAACTGATTGGCCTGCAGGAAAAGACCAATCAGGCTCCAGGAGGGAAGCAGAATCAGCCAATCAGACGGAACTCATTCTGTAAATAATGTACAGTGGTACCTCGGGTTAAGTACTTAATTCGTTCTGGAGGTCCGTTCTTAACCTGAAACTGTTCTTAACCTGAAGCACCACTTTAGCTAATGGGGCCTCCTGCTGCTGCCGCCGCACCGCCAGAAGCAAAGTTCTTAACCTGAACTAATATTTCTGGGTTAGCAGAGTCTGTAACCTGAAGCGTATGTAACCTGAAGTGTATGTAACCTGAGGTACCACTGTATATAAAAGCCTGAGGTTTGGGGGGCAATTCAATCACTGTTTTACAAGCTGCAATAAAGAGCATGAAATCACTACAGGACTATGAGTATATTTCACTGTGGCACCAAGAAGTCAGCGAGGAAAGCACTACCTTCTGGGCACTTAGAAGCAATCCTGGAGAATCAGCATCCCCCTTGACCTTTTGCTGTAGAAATTCAACAGCAGATCCTGCTGTATGAGAAGAACACAGATCTACCTCCATCACACGGAGTTTTGAACTCTCTAAACACGCCCTTCACCGCTCAGCCCTGTAAAATGCTACGCAGCAGATCTAAACGGGAGGTAGTGTAATGCAGGGGTGAGCCCACCCAACTCTCTCACACACATTCTTGCATGCACAAACACACAGAGAACACACACACACACACAGTCCTCCCTCTTCAGCTGATCCATTTGGGAAGAAGGAGTATCGCCCTCTCTGCACACATCAGACAATTGACTCAATGATCAGGAAGAGGGCAATTTGCACCCCTACCAAAGCACCAGATTCTGCCCAGCCAGCGCAGTGTCTACTTAAGTCCCACCCATCCACTTCCACCCTGTTTTTAGCTGCTGTCGCCAAAATTGTTTGGTCCTTGGAGGCCAGATAAATTTGCAGCAGGAGTTGGGCAGATCAGGCGTATGAACTGGGAGTTGCAACCCCTAATCAATCACCCACCAATGTGGATGAGATATCAATTCCTCTTAAAGGAGGAAGCGCATTGCTATCGGATCTCTAAGCACCCCCCACCTCCCGTCGTGGGCAGGGCTATGCCCTGCTCCACTCTGGTTGGTCATTTCATGATCACTTGGACCCTTGGCTTGTGGGGTGACTGTGAAACAACATTTAAGCCCTACGCGTTGTTTGCTGGTTCTCTTTGCCTTCGTGCAGCGGACCACCCACCCACCCATCCTTTATTTAGGTCCATCTGGCCTTGCTATGGACTTGTTGGCCGCCTGTTTTGCAATGGGGGCCTGGTAGGAATTTTTCCATCTGGCAAATTGGCAGGGCCATTTGGTTTTCACCTACCACAGTAGCAATCGTCACAACTTTGTAAGGTTTGGCGGTTAGGCATTGGATCAGCAATGTGTGGGGAGGGGAGGTGCGGCTATCACCTGCCCCTCCAAGCTCAAGGGAATTCCTTTAAAGGAATCTAGGGGTTGGCCTAAGGGGCTAGGGCCATACCAGGACCCCACGGGGGCACCGGGGGTGAGCGCCAGTCTGGACCCTCTGGCGGTGCTCCCTCTGGCAGTGTTTCACCCTTTTATCAGATTCCCCGTGATGCGGGTGGGAATCTAATACACCAGTTTGGATGATTCCAATGCCTAAGCCAATACCACTCACATTTTGTATTCAATAAAGTTGTGGCCTAAATTTTGCCCAGTAACTTAAACTAAAATCCTGTGTCACTGTGTTTCATTTTTGGGGTGTACTGGGGGGGGGTCTCAAATCGCAACGATATAAAAGAAAGGGACAGCCACCTGACATTGCATAAATTACAACTGCTGGAAGGCCAGCAAACAGAAACAGGACTCAGGCATGGGTCAGGAACTTCTCAGCCATTTCCCCCCCTGCAATTAATCTTAAATATTACCCATATAACCTTTGCTAAGAGTCCCCCGGTCCCTATCACCCACCCAGCAGACGCTGAAATGGCAGTTTAAATGAAGTATAAAAAATAAAGGTGCTGCAATGTGACCTTAGAAATATTTCATGAACAAAAATGCAATACCCCGTACCCTCGAGATTCTACGCAACGTCTGGTCAGAGGTATACATTTTGATGATGCGAGCAGCAAAGTCATCTGCATTTAATCCTGGCGCAGAAAATCCCCGAAAACGCTGGTCGACAGCCAGCCCTCTATTAACTATTCTAAAAATAGGCCTGCAAAATTAGAAATTTCTTACTTAGGGAGATTTGAATTCATGGCTGTCTGCATACAATCTGTCTCAGCGTCGCATTGTAATAGTTTTAGCTGGAAAAGAGGAGCCTTCCTTCGAAAACTTGCCAAGATTTATTCATGTTGAACTGATTACTTGTACAGCAATGTGATAACACAAAAATGGCTTCATTAAAAGAAATATCCACGGTGTTAATTGCACATGAGGGAAAGATATGAATATGTGTGTTTTCAGATATATTCATGTGTGAAAGAAGATCTCTTAATATGCAGTTCCCATATCTGAATTACGTTCTAATGGGTGAGATTTGAGCACTGGAGAAAGACAAGCAGACATAGAGATTTAAGGCTGCAATTTAATCTAATTCTTCAATCTCAGGAGGGCGTGGATGACGAACAAGAGAAAGGCATTAAATTCCTTTAATAGTTAACAGAATAGCTGGTGGGCTATGCATTTGCTTTGTAAAGGAAACTGTACTATTAATCTGCCATTTAAGAAATAGAAAATCAAGAGCTCTGCAGTAAAAAGTCTCAAATCCACATCCACCTTGGATGCTCACTGCAGCTTCTCACCAGTTTCGTAGCTCTGTGGAGGGGAGAAATTTAGTTGCCTTCTTGCCCTTCTTCTACTAAGAGCGTTCTCAGCATATACTGTGAACTTCCTAGGTCACACTGAGCAGTCTCGTTCTGATAGGATTGCCAGAGGCAACCCTAACTCCTTGACTTATTGATTTACTAAGCTGAAGTGGGAAGTCCTCTGTAGTCGCTGTAGAATGTTACTTGTAGAAAGAAGAAGAAGGGATAGAAGAACTTATGAAATATGCAGAAATGGCGAAATGTACCGGAAAAATAAGAAATCAAGATAACAAACTTTTTATAAAAGAATGGAAATGGTTTATGGAATATCTACAAATAAACTGTAAATAGATAAGAACGTTGGCAGTTATAAAACCTGAAGTTTTATAAGAGTATATATTTAAAGTAGATGAAAAAATGAGTAACTTAAGTCAATTTGGAATATGCAGAAAATATAAAAAACAAATTTAAGGAACCGCAGAGAGAGGGGGAAGTTGAGTTTTGAAATGTTAAAATGATTGTAAAATTATTGAGATGTATAAAACTGAAAATCATAAATAAAATCATAATAATAAAATGAAGTGGGAAGTCCTACAGATTTCCTTGCGGGATCAGTGTTCCTCAGGCATGCATGTTTTTGCAATGTCCATATGATGCCATTGACTTCAAAATGCCAGCCTAAATCCCACCCTTTCCTGTTTAATCTGGATTCACCCTTCCAAGCTGGGAATTCAATAAGTAATTTTTTTAAAAAATGCTGCCAATAACTTATTTGCAATATCTCCAGTTAAGCCCCCCCTATGGAAGCCCTCTTCATCTTCAGAGAAGAAAAAGCAAATGCTCTAGATGGCCTGTTTATTGAGAGTTTGTTCTGATTTAACTGGAAGGAGGGTGAAGCGAGGTATTTATTGTGCATTTATTATGATTTGTTTGCAGAGAGGTCAGAGAGCAAGTGTTATCCGACATTTTCCAGTGCATTTTCCCATCACTTTCCTTATCGCCAAAAACCTAATCTTCTTAGGAAGTGGGTTTGTTGCATAATACCTCCTGATCAGCTGGAATTCCACAGCTGGAATTTGCTGGTACTGTATGTGATTGAATTCTACCGCAAAACAGAGAGTGTCTAAAAACACCCATAGACTGTGTCCATTGCCATTATCCATTTACAATTCAATTTTCAGAAGCGAGATGCACATTAAGCTCACAGTTTCTTTGCCACCTCATTTTAAACGAGCCGAGAATACTTGAACAAAACAAATACTGTCCTTTAGGTTACGGGGGGAAATATTTTGGCCAAAAGCAATTCTTGAAATGAAAACTGGGAGGTTCGCTGCGAGCTGCTAAATTTTAGCAAATCAATTCAGACAGATAATAAGAAAAGCAAGGTTGGCACATTAAAGTTTATATTTGTTCATTTCCTGAGCCATAGATACATCAAACTCCATGGCACAAGTTAATCAATGTAATATGTGTTATTGCATGAACATATTGTGTTAGTGCATACATCACTCCTTCTAATAGTGAACTCAGACAGTGAGCGCAGACAGGGTTGCAAGCCCAAAGGTGTCTTCTGTAAGGTTACCAGATTTTTTTTCAATGAATCAGGAGACACTTTTCAACTTCCTACTAAATAGATGGATTTTGTCAGGGGACTGATTTGTAAATATGGGGACTGTCCCCAGGAAACGGGGACGTCTGGAAACTACTGAGAAACAAGAGGGAGGTGTGGGTTCACATTAAATAGCTATAAGACCAAAAACAGCAAGACTTAATAACACTCAGCATTTCAATAAAACCAACAGTTTTTTAAGTAAACATAAAAAAATAGAATTACATGTCTGAGTAGGCTTGGGACTGTGGAGGTGGGAGAGGAGGGTTAAACTATCCCTTCCCGCCACTGTTTTTTTCCAATCAAAGTGCTCCCCTAAAGCTGCTATTTGCCCCAGCAGCAGCAGAGAGGACACAAATAGGTGTCATATGTTTTGTTCAATGTGGCAAATAACAGCTGAGGCAGGAGCAGAGGTTATTATAGGAAATTTTGCAGGGGAAAAGGTTAAAACTAAGCAACCTGAATCAGACCTCCTTTGGACGCTATTAACACTCTCTGAAGTACTAATAAACAATGATTATTCTGTTCCTACATAAAACACATCGGAAGGTGTATACTATAGGTGCAAGGGTGCAATTGTAGAAATTCAGTATTTAATATTGTTCTTAACACGGCGGGCACTGTGGTCTAAACCACAGAGCCTAGGGCTTGCCGATCAGAAGGTCGGCGGTTCAAATCCCCGCAACGGGGTGAGCTCCCGTTGCTCGGTCCCTGCTCCTGCCCACCTAACAGTTCGAAGGCACATCAAAGTGCAAGTAGATAAATAGGTACATCCAGCGGGAAAGTAAACGGCGTTTCCATGCGCTGCTCTGGTTCACCAGAAGTGGCTTAGTCATGCTGGCCACATGACCCAGAAGCTGTCTGCGAACAAACGCCAGCTCCCTCATCCAGTAAAGCGAGATGAGAGCGCAACCCCAGAGTCATCCGCGACTGGACCTAACGGTCAGGGGTACATTTACCTTTAACAGTATTAAAGTAATATTAATATAGTGTTCAGTACTATAATATCTCATGAAAGAGGGAGCAAAGGAAGAAACAAAACAATGAAGATTTTTGTGGCACCTTAAAAGCCCATATATATACAGTATATAATATGGTGTAACTTTTTGTGGACTGGAGTCCAATTCATCAGATGGAGTGGACTCTGGCTCGTGCAGACTTATGCCATAATAAATTTGTCAGCCTTTAAGGTGCCAAAAGACTGTTGTCATTGCTGCAACAAACTGGCATGGCTTCCCATCTGGAAATTGTTCTAATGAATCAATACCTCTCTAATGGCCATTTCTCATTATAGACTGTACTTGAATATGTGCCCTGTCCTGGATTTAAAAAGAAAGGGAGGAAGCAAAAGAGATGGGATGGAAAATTCTAAAAACATAAAGCACCATCCGGCAGGAATTTCCCTCCATAAATCCCCATTAAACTGGAAAACGGAATAGCAATTGTTTATTGTTACGTACTTTACTGTTCAAAAGCCAACAAGAATGTTATGCTTTGGCTGTAGTGTCAACTCAGAAAAACAGCAACTGCTACAATCAAATGACACGGCATTGAAATGTTTTCAGATTAGATTAATTTTTTGTCTGCTGTTCTTGTTGTAATTGTTTATATTAGGGTTTTCGGGTTTTTGTGATACAATGTAAAAACAAACAAACCAAAAACAGATACAGTCATACCTCGAGTTACAGATGCTTTCGGTTGCATTTTTTTGGGTTACGGACCCACTGAAACCCGGAAGTACCGGAACGGGTTACTTCCGGGTTTCGGTGGTTGTGCATGTGCAGAAGCACTAAATCGCGCTGTGCGCTTGTGCATAAGCGCTGAGTCACAACCCGCGCATGTGCAGATGCGGCGCTGCAGGTTTGCGAACACTGCGGGTTGCGAACGTGCCTCCCGCATGGATCACATTCGCAACCCAAGCACCCACTGTATAAAAGAAACAAATAAGCACTGGAAAGAGGATTATGTACAAATATCCGAGACAATTGACTCACGTGGAAAATACATATATATCATTGAATAGGAATGAGAGGATGGAAAACGTGAAGAAGGGAGGCAGAAAATCAAGTAAGAATGTCTTATAGCTTAAACTACAATGGTACCTCGAGTTACAAACTTAATTCGTTCCGGAGGTCCATTCTTAACCCGAAACTATTCTTAACCTGAGGCATGCTTTCGCTAATGGGGCGTCCTGCTGCCGTAGCGTCGCCAGCGCATGATTTCCATTCTCATCCTGGGGCAAAGTTCATAACCCAAGGTACTACTTCTGGGTTAGTGGAGTCTGTAACCCAAAGTGTTTGTAACCCAAAGCGTTGGTAACCTGAAGCGTTGGTAACCTGAGGTACTACTGTATATACTTTTACTCTTCTCCTGTGAGGTCATCTAATTACATCAACTTACCAGCTGAGTCCCAAAGCTATGAACATCGTTCTGCCACTGAAACATCTACGTAGGACCAGTCACAATGGTCTCACCATGGACCCAATACTACAGTTCCTAGTCTATCGTTGGATCTGTTACTGACACCTTGTTCCTGCCCTGATGCAGTTGCACCAACATCATGCAAACTCTTTAAAACAGGTGCCCAGTAAAGAGGTAACGCACTGGCAGAACCCTATCGGATTTTGTTGCAATGGCATCAGAAGCCATTTTGGCGCAGCAAACGTTGATGCAACGATTTCCCCTCTGTTGCTTATCAAGGACATTTAGGGGCAATGCTTGTGGTAAACTGGGCTGGGAGGACAAATGGTGCTCTTTAATGGATGAGTTCAATTCCAGAAATGACTTCTTTAAAAAAATCAATCCCCACAGTGCACACATTTTGATTCCCTGCCTCCCCCAGTGCATTAGAGCTTTTTTCTTTTTTGTTGGCATTTTGCAATGCTTGTGATCAACCCTTTGTCTGTATGGTTCTTTTAAATAAATATAGCTTTTAACTAATTGGGTCATTGCTCGGATTGCTGCTCCAGGGAGCACAGACCGGTGGCTCAAGCTCACAGCCCAGCACTGATGCCACGTCAAATCCGTATCCAGCCTTGGAATCACAGGGCAGCCTTGGACAGGATGAAGCCTTGGAGGAGCGAAGCAAGAACAGGCCCAAGAGAAAAAATGCAAAAAGCAATATGCGTAGTAAAGAATTATTGCTGTAACAGCCAAAGCTAAAGGAAGGGATACCAGAACTGATTTGATTAGCACAGCAGAGAAAGGAAATGGTTTTATTGACTGCTGCAGCAGAAACGGATGTGGTTTTTTTAATATAAAAAATGAAACAAATTTGTACTTAAATATTGTACTTCAGCTATCACAAGATAATACCAAGAGGGGAAAAAACCAAGTTCCCATACAGAAACACCAGGATGCATTGTTTTATACGCTGTGCATAGATCCCTCAGAAACCAGGACATATTTCTGAATTCTACTGCGTGGCTATGAGTCAGTGTGTGTTATTTTAGGCTCTCCTTTAAATAGCACAAAAACTGTTTGCAATTAATTGCCTGATCGATGTCTGAGGCGGTAACGTGTAGCATTGCACTTCAAACACTTCTTAAGAATGCACTATAAATAAGTGATAGCAAAACCATAATAGCAACTATTGGACAATGGTTGCGATGTAAAAGAGACGAGGGAAGAGAAATGTAAGCCAGTGCAATATTCATTTGTGCATCAGTTCAAAGTACAGTAGTTCGGATCTCGTGTCCAGGTCACTTAAGGAAGTTGGGGGTAGACTTGGACCAACTGGCCTACCTTATGAGAACTGTAGCAAGAATTAACCAAAGAGACAATCTGCAAAACCATCTGTGTAGAAGTGACATGTAAATGGTTTGCAGTAACAACTATTCCCACCCCTCTTTGCAAAGCCTTGAAAAGCCTTGAGAGTGGGGAAGCCTTCTGAGCCCTATGGAACGAGGTGCAGGGGCTATTGCAGATGCTGGAAATTGCCTGAAATTGGATGGAGGATCACCCAGCTATCATTTCTGTAAATCCTTAGCAAAAGGAACAGCAACAATGATTTAAATAGCATCATCAGTCTATAAATTGCTTTACAAAGTAACAGGTATCGTGTTGTTGTTTTCAGAAAGACACACCTCTCTGCTTCAAGCAGCTTACAATCTAATCACAAACAGCAAGAGGAAACATTGGGGGTGAATGGAAAGAATTACAGGCGCAATTGTATTAAATTATTCTGCCTGGTCACACACAGAGGTTGCTATTTGTTTTTGCAGTAGCAGTTTCCGGCGATGTGGGGTGGACAATTTTCTGCTGAAAAATGTCCAGGGCTAGATTCCCGCCCACCCACCCATCCAGGGCTAGATTCCCACCCACTCACCCACCCCAGCTTAGTAACAATGAATGTGTGCCAGCTGTAAATACAATATTGGGCAATCTTGGTAGTTTCAAAGTTTTTGGCCTTGTTTACTAAATACAAGTAAAATAAATATGCCAAACACTCCCTAGTGTTCTCTGCTGATTCTGATGCAAACTGACCAATTTCCTATGCAAATGAGCCTTATTTCCTAGTAAACCCGCCACGAAACCCACAGGATAGAAACCAGCAGCAAAAGATTAAGCAAATATAACAAACTCACAGCTGTACGAAAAGTTTCAGATCATAAACAGCAAGGATAATCGCCTTTGACTGGACTTAACCATCCAGGGGTCCATTACCTTCACCTTTACATTTGGTGATTATAATTTAATGCTGGAGATTCTATATCTTGTTACCGTCACCATTGATAGCCTTTCTCTCCATGAATCTGTCTAATTCCTATTTTAAAGCGGACCAAGTTGGTGTTCAAGAGCACATGGAAATGTATTCCATATTAACTCCGCTCTCTGTAAAGTGCTTCCTTTTGTCTGTTCTACATTTTCCACCATTCAACTTCATTGGGTGACCCTAACTTCCATGATGATGATGATGAGGAGGAGGAGAGAGGAAGAAAACCACTTCTCTGTCCATTTTCTCCACACTGTGCATAGTTGTATGTATCTATCATGGTCCCCCTTGCTCAACTTTTTTCTAAACTACATAGCCCCAAACATCATCATCATCATTTTAAATATTTGTAAAATTTGTACTGTCCTTCATCCGAAGATCACAGGGTGGTTCACAACAGAAAAATACAAAACGAGAAAACGTAACAAAACAAAAACAAACCAGTAAACCCTCCCCAAACACATTAAAAAAGCTATAGAATGTTAACCAACCGAACACCTGGTTGTAGAGAAATGTTATCACCTGGCACCTAAAAATATGTAATGAAGGAGCCAGGCGAGACTCCCTAAGGAGGGCATTTCACAGACATAAGGTAACTGTTGCAGCCCCTTGATCTTAACTGCCTTTTACTGCTCTTGTTCATCTCTTTTTTATATCCAGTAAAGAAGACTGGACACAGTACTCCAAGTGTAATTGCACCGTAATGGCATTATAATATTGGTCGTTTTATTTTTGATGCTTTTTCTAATATTTTCTAACATTGCATTTGCCCTTTTTGCAGCAACAGTTCACTAGGTTGATACAGTCATACCTCGGGATAAATGTGCTTCAAGTTAAGTATTTTTGGGTTGCGCTCCGCGGCGACCCAGAAGTAACGGAGCGCGTTACTTCCGGGTTGCGCTGTGCGCGCATGCGCAAATGGTCAAAATGACATCACGTGCATGCGCGGAAGCGGCGAAACATGACCTGCGCAAACGCGCGGATGCGGGTTGTGTTCACTTCAGGATGCGAACGGGGCTCCGGAACGGATCCCGTTCGCATCCCGAGGTACCACTGTATCTTCTTTGAGCTACTCTCCAAACCCCAGAGATCCCTTTCCTGGTAATTCAACATAGGCTCAGGTCCCAACAGCATATAGGAAATTTTGAACTTTTGCCCTAATACATTACACATGCTTTCGCTGAACTGCATTTGCTACTTTAATGCCCATTCCCCAAGTTTGGAGAGATCCCTTTTGTTATGTTTTAACCACCTTGAATAGTTTGGCATCATGAGTCTTCTGCAAACTTGGCCACCTCATTTTTTAAAAATTGGAACTACATTTATCAGTTTCCTGTCTTCAGGCACAGAGATCAATCTTAGAGACAAGCTACATTGTTTTTGTTGTTGTTAGAAGATGAACAAGATATATATGGATCCAGTGATTTGTTAAATTTAAGTTTCTCAATAAGGCATATTCCTTCACCTCTTATTACCAGTATTTGTCTCAGTTCTTCAAGCCTCTTCCTGAAAATATCAGTTATCTGCCCTGTCTTCTTCTGTAGAAAAGACAGACACAAAGAATACATTCAGATTCTCTGCAATCTCCTTATTCTCCTTTATCGCAGCTTTAACTCACTTGTTGTCCAATGGCTGCCTACCTAGACACTTCCCTACTCAATTACATTAGTCAAGAAACAGCGTTTTGAATGTACTATAAACATACAACACCAGATGGCGCTGGAGAGCAAAGAAAAATCTAAGCAATTTTCCATAGCGTTTTTTCTTTCATTATAGTGATTTAATTTCCGACGTATTTATAGCATGGGTTTTTCCTGTGTGTAGATCCATCCCTCATGTATTTAAATATATATATTTTTAAAAAATGTTGGTCTTCATGTTTTAAGCAATATGTTCCTCAAATTCTCTCCTCCATCCCTTATTGTCTGCTTGGGCCAATTTCCCCAAAGTTTGTGTTTGTGATCTAGTTGAGATTCCTGCATTGCAGGGGGTTGGACTAGATGGCCCTTGGGGTTCCTTCCAACTCTACAATTCTATGATTTGGGCAAGACATTGATTTTCTGAAGGAAGCCTTCATTCCTATAATAGCTTCCTTGACTCTGCTGGTGTCCTCTTGGACTGCCAAGCAGGGTTGGGGAGAAATTCAACTCAGTTTATACCTAAAAATGAATCTACCTAATTCCTGCTTTCTGAAACAAGACAGAAATTGAAACACAGCATTCTCTTGAAAGTCACACTTCCTTGCATGTTGCAGTGTACTTCTCCAGTCAAGTAATGTATATAAAAGTGCATATACTAATGTAAGGTGTGCATAAAAATGCACATAGTCCTGAAAACAGCATACAAAAAGGCAGTACAAAGAAGGGAAATTTACCGTATTTTTCGCTCTATAGGACGCACTTTTCCCCCTCCAAAAATGAAGGAGAAAAGTGTGTGTGTCCTATGGAGCGAATGCAGGCTTTTGCTGAAGCCTGGAGAGCGAGAGGGGTCGGTGCGCACTGACCCCTCTCTCTCTCCAGGCTTCAGGAAGCTATCCGCAAGCCTGCGGAGCCCGGCGGGAGTGAAGGCACCCCACTGCCCTGCGGAGGCTTGAAAGGCTGTCCCCGAAGCCAAAACAGCAAGACGGGGCGCTGCGCAGCCCTCCGTCTCGCTGTTCTAGCTTTGGGATGGCTGCGCAAAGCCTCCACAGGGCAGCGGGGTGAAGGCACCTCACCGCCCTGTGGAGGCTTGAAAGGCTGTCCCCGAAGTTGCACTCCAAAGGCTTCAGGGATCTTTGAGGTTGGCGGTGCTTTCCCCCACTGCCAGCCCCCCAAGCTCGGGGGGCAACGGCAAGGCTGTGTGCAGCCTTTGCACTGTTCCCCGACCTGCTCTTGAATGCACCTTAAACGCACCTTGTTTCTGAGGGGGAGAACAAGATTTTTTCCCCCCTGTTCTCCCCCTCCTATGGTTTGGTGCGTCCTATGGTCCAGTGCGTCCTATAGAGCAAAAAATACGGTACTTTGCAAAAATGTGTACGTTAGGCAAAAATTGCACTAAAATCCCAATGAATTTTTATGTAGATATATATGTTTGTGTGTGTGTGTGTGTGTGTGCGCATGCGTGTGTGTGCGTGCGTGTGTGTAAACTGATATGGAAATGTGGAGAAGTGAATTTCAGATCTAAGAAACTGAAAGAAACTGAAATAGACTGATTCAATCATCCGTCCTGGAGAGCACATTTCCTAATCTGCACAGGTACACATTCTACCTAAGCTTTTATTATTATGATTTTGAATAACGCCATCCCCAATACTTTATGGAGAATATTGGTTTAAAGAGGTTTAAAGACTCTCTCAAGGCAAATCTTTAAAAATGTAGTTTAAACACCAACAACTAGGAAACACTGGCCTGCGAGCGCTCCAGTTGGAGAACAGCCTTTACTAAAGGTGTCATGGACTTTGAAGAAACACGAACTCAGGACAAGAAACGTGCTAAGAGGAAGGCATGCTTGGCAAACCCTCACCATGACCAACTCCCTCCTGGAAACCTATGTCCCCACTGTGGAAGGATGTGTGGATCCAGAATTGGCCTCCACAGTCACTTACGGACTTATTGTTAAGACCGTGTTCATGGAAGACAATCTAACTCGGCCACAAGTGATCGCCAAAGAAGAAGACTTTATGGAGAGATGTGGCCCTCTGGCCATTCTTTTCAGCTTCCTTTTTACCAATCCCTTCGTTGTGAGTAAGCTGCCACTTTTGAAGTCAAATGCAAATTCCTTGAAAATTGTCCACTTACATATATATTGAATTTAGTAGCACAGTGACCATGGGTGGTGCAACAGTACCTACATCTCACAATACACAGCAATACAGAGGATTAAGTCCATGTTCATGTCCAACAACTTTTATGGTGAGCTGAGACTATCTTCCCCAACCGATTGTGAGAAGATGCAAGTCAAAGAAAATTTATAAACAGTCACTGATAGTGACAGGGAAATCTGTTACTTTTGGTCCCTCTCAGTTTCTCATTTTTCCAATCTTAACTTCAGGTCTTCACATTTCCATAACAGTTTGTGATGTCTTTTTTTTTTTTTAAAGCCTTCATGAAAATTCATCAGCATTTTAGTGTGAATTTCTCCTAAATGCTGTTTTGCTTGCAACCTAAAATGTGTCCATTTAAATGGATAATAATTTGGCCTCTGTTTTGTGCAACGGTTCTGTCATTGCTAATGTGCGTAGCATTACTCACAGAGAACATTTCTAGTGATGCTCAGGACGGTTAACATACATCTTTAGCATCCGATTAACATATTCATGCCACTTTAAAAAAAATATGTGTCATAATCAGAGATAGTGATAATGAGATATACTCTGCTTCAGTTCAAACTCAGCCCGGATGCTAATTTCTAACAATTATCATTGCAAACCAGGTATTGTAATTTTTCTACTTCTTCTCCAGTATGGTTCATAATATATGCTAATATGCATCTCTCTCCTTTGAATTTGCCTTCAACATGATACCGTGCCTCAGAAGTGGTATAATGTCTCAACAATGTGTCAGGCTTTTTAAAACCTTGGTTCTTAATAATTATATATTCCAGCTTCAGGCTGCAAGCTTATGTAGTTATGTGATTATTTATTTTGTCTGTTGACTGATTGATGTAGGGCTTTTTTTTAATCCCACTTTTCTTTAATTAAAACACAAACATCATACAGACACACCAGGACCACTGAAATCAGCAAGATGTATGTACACTTAACCGTGTAGTGATCTGCAGGTAATTTGTTTTAAAATATCTCTAATCATTTACACTAAAAGAAAGAACTAAAGGAGGAAGTTATACACACACACACACACAGTGCTTTTTTTTCTAAAAAAAAATGTTTAGGGGTACTCTCATTTTGAATCAAGAAAATCACCATTTTATAGTTCAAATTGGGGAAAATAAATACAGTAAATGGACAAAAGTACACAGATTTACAAAATGTTTAGGGGTATGTGTACCCCTGCGTAACCCCCAGAAAAAAGCACTTTGTGTGTGTGTGTACACACATGCACGCACATACACACAAACATATATATATACTTGATAAATAGATAAGATGCCAAGCTAATTTTTATCCATTTTTCATTTAAAAGAAATATTTGTCTCATAAAATATGTGTGATTAGAAAAGTCTTAACTGCAGCTCAGGTCCAGTCACAGGAAACCTCACACATAACAACTGGTAGCACACACCCCATTTTCATTATAAAGCACGTCCAACCTGTATAATTTGGTCTGCACGATCACTGGGATGTGGAAGTATGTTCAAATGAGCATTTTCATTTTCATTGACTAGGTGCCTAGACGGTTGATTCCACGAGTGGATTTCTCTTGTTCCATTTTCCCCGTTTGCATGTTCAGACCCAGAAACCTCCCCCCCTAAATAAATTCACACTTGACTCAAATTTTGGTTTTGGTTTTTGGCAGAATTTAGGCCACAACTTTATTGATTACAGAAAGTGACTGGTTGCATAGGCTCTGGTTCGACTAGCTTCCTGCCATGCAGGTAGTGCTGACCCAGGGCACCAGCATAGGTCAGCCTAAGGTGAACACCTGGATCAGCGGAAAGCCAGGAACGGGCTATATCTGCCACCCAAATGCCCCCCCCCGGACTCAGGCACGGGCACAACTCCCTCTCAGGGGTTGACCAAACCATCAAGTCCCTGGATTCCTTTAACAGAATACCCTTCATATAGGGATGGCGAGAGTGTTCCCCCATCCCTATCACCTGAACCAGACCCTATCTGCAACCTTACAAGTTGTGACGATTTGCTACGCGGCAGGCGAAACCCAAATGGCAACAGCCAATCAGCCAAGTGGGGAAAATTCCTGCCGGGCCCCTGTCCCAACGACAGATGACACACAACGGCATAGCAAGGTCAAGCGCAAAGCCCTAAAAATAGGGAGAGGTGGGCAGGTGGTCCAAATGAACGTGCTGAAAGAGGAAACTCTGGGTCACGTGCATGGGTATAAATAGGTCCTTCGAACCATTTGGACTGCATCCCATTGGCCAGATTGCACCCAGCAACAAGGGACCTACCAATCGGGTGTTGTGGCTGTCCAAATGTACCCACCCACAACACAGGGTTAGGTTGCCAGGTCTCACTGCAATACGTATCCTCTTCAAGGGAGGACCTGATATACCATATGAACTAGCCTCTTGCATTGCACGGTGAATTTTGAATGTCTGCTCAGAAAATTCTAGAATTGCTTTGGTTCCTCTTACCACTGAATTGTTGGGAACTAGTGTTTCGAACTACACATTTATAAAAAAAATGGTCCATTTTGCTCTGTATTGTTAGCGCTGACTTTGGCACCGTTGGCAGACACTGGAAATGAATCAGTAGATACTGGAAACGAAGGAAGATTTTTCCCGAGAAATTAGAAAGCCAACGGTGTAAAAGCTCTTATCATTTCACGGAATCAAAGGCTTGAAGGAGAACTAGAAGGGCCACGAAGTTCAGCTTCCCCTCTTCATTTGTTCTATACCTGGAACATCTGCACATCACACTTTCTCCCTTTACCAAATAACATTCTTTCACAGAACATAAATGTGAACTACTGAGATTGTTCCAAGGCCTAATTCCTCCCATTTGCCACCCTTTAAACCCAAGCCTCCAGTCTCCACCCCCCAAAGAACCATACACACAATATTCAGCAACAATGCCAAGACTCTTGTCATCACCATTTCTTAGAATTACTATGAATTTTCTATTTCCTTGGTGGAATTTACTTCGCAGACCAACTGAAGTCAAGCTATCTATGACTCCTAACAGTTAATGCCAAAGAAAAATGCTGTTTCAGCCAACAACATATTATTGTTACCTTGTTACCACACTGGTATGAATACCTCTATCCTTGAAAATGGGGGAATAACATTTGTATTTTTAAGCTTTCCACTTTAAATTGTTTTGCAAGGAACATAAAGCTCTCATACATCACCATCCAAAATCAAATACTAAACAGTATAGCTAGCTGTCAAAATGTTTTAAAAGCCAGGGTAATATGACCAAAGTGAATAAAAACTTTTAGAAAATGACCACCTTTTTAATCTACTATGATTATGTCTATAAATAAAGCATGGCGAACGAGAAGGGCGAGGAATTATGAAAGTGTATTTGACGAGGATGGAACCTTGTGCTGAATTCTCAACATTTCTATTGTTGATAAGTTTGCCATCTATTTGGCAAAATTCATATCTTTCTGAAAGGAGCCACCAAAAGTACTTGTAGTTTTTATGTCACCTGTAAAATTATAGCCGTGTTGATAGTTAATAATGAACTGCCCTTTCAGTGTACCCTGCCTATGTGCCGGTTTTGAAATTTTGATTGGACGCAATCTCTAAAATACAAAAATGTTTTTAACGTAAGAACTTCTATTCTCATGTGTGTGAATGCTGCACTTATAGATGAAGAGTCAGATATAATTAAGAGAAGGTATAACCTAAGAAGAACGGCTTACGTTAGGTGCTTTATGATCAGTAAATGAGCAATACAAAGATTTTGTCCATCCACTTGGCGTCATGCCTATTAGCCGGTATTTTTATATATATATGTCATCATGACACGACTTACATTTGACAGTTTATATATCACTGGAATCAGTGTTGTGATGTTTTTATATTTCTTGCTTTCTTCTTAGTTCTCAAGTGATCGTGTAATAATCCCTAAGCCCTTGTGTTCACATCGTCTGTCTATCGACAGTGGCCTGGTCCCCATCACCCTTTCTGAGGTGCTATAAGCTATGCATGCTTAGAACTGACACTAACCACAGCAGGGTGAGAGCCATCCTCTCAAAGGGTTTGTTTTCTCAGCCAAAGCTCACAGGAGTGCAGTTCCAGCACCTCTCAGGTAGACACCATTGCCATTCTAAGAGAAGAAGGGAGAAGTTCGTGGGGAGCTACCCCACCTCTTTTTCTAGAAAAAGACGACTACCGCACTGACTACCACCACTAGCAATCGTATCTTGCCAACCATAAAGCACAAATATTGCACAAGTTTCTGGAATCAGGTGAATTTTGTGGGCAACAAAATACTTATAAGATATGACAGAGAACAGCTAGTCTGAGGCACAGTGTCAACTTACATGCCTCCCTCATTGTCAAATAGCACACAGTATGTTCTGAAAGGTAGCGATGAAGATCTTATTTCACCTCATGTGCTGTGGTCATTTTAATATGGGAGAGGGGAACATCGCCCTTTTTGGAGATGCTTCCTAATGAACCCACTTGTTGTAATTACCATCGTCAAACAATCCCCACACCTCTCATGTCTGCCAAAAGCACGCAGTCAAGATAGATATTTAACAAGATATTTAATACAAAATTACAACCAGTGGGACTAAGGTTAAAGGTCTGCACATTATAGCACTACTTCGAATACTGTCGCTTTTCCCTTTGAAATCAACAGAGCTATCTTGAATCTCTCTCTCTCCATATATATAAAAATTTGCTTAGTCCTTTAGGATACAACAAATTAATGTTGCTGAAAAGCAGTACAGTTACACAGCAAAGAATTTATTGTTTGACAGAGTGATTTTTCAACCAGGTAACGGAGCACACATTGAAATCTCTAGTTGCTACAAAGTAAGCCATCAGTCTCACCATAATGCCTTACATTCTACCTGGTTAGAGTACACTTTTAAGAACACTGAAATATGTCTCAGCCATATTGGCCTAGAAATACCCTGGGATTTCTGCTCTGCACCTAAACTATCAGCGTGCTGAAAAGAAATACTGTTAAAAGTGGCTGAAAGGCTGTTATGTAAAACAAGACTGCATTTTACCTGCACCAATTGGAAAAAGAATATTCAGGTTTGCAAAATATGACAAATACTGCAAGCTGTGGCTTTTTCTCCACCAAAAACCCCAAACCACACACATACACTTGCAAATGAAACAGACACACACACACTGAAGATATTTCATGCTTGAAATACGGCAAAGGATAAGCACAGGTTCAATATGCATAAACTCTTGCTTCTTCTATTAAACCCGACATATGAGAAATCATTATGCACAATAAATTTGCCCTATTCTGGGGGAGAGGGAAACCGAAGACTTTTGCTTGAGAAATATTCCTTTCCCACTGTTTTAAATCATGTTAACTGCCAACGAGTCAGCATGCACGCTTCCTTAATTAAAACAAATTAACGTGGATTTCTGACAATGTCTTTCTGCTCTTAACAATCTTTGCAGTGCTTCCAGAAATGAAATGTGCCAAGAGAAAACCTTCCAGCCTGCCTACCTGGCTGATGAAATAAGAAAAAGATTCCCCACCACCACCACCCTCCAATTGATTAAAACAATAGAATGGAAAATAAAACAGACCAACCTTCACAATGTACGTCACTCCAGGTCCCAGGATCTTCTCATTTGAATGCAGCCACCCTTGGGAGACTTTGCTGGCAACGTTGCTCCCTTGATTCCAGTCTTCGCCTCCCAGGTTCATTTCCTCTGACCATGGTTTTTTCCCTGTGTTCATCTTGCTCTTGTCCTGCTGAGAAGACGGAGTGGCAGAGGCAAGGTTACATGTGTTGTCTGAAGCCTCTGCTGCCGAGCTCCCCTGCAACTTGGAGGCAGCAAGCTCCTTCACTGCAGATGAGAGGTTCTTGATGCCCGAAAGGCTGCCTGAATGGGAGAGTTTCAGGTGGGACACTTTGTGCATGAGAGTGCAAATGGCGGTGGGTCCATCTTGGTCCTTCTGGAGAACCTCAGGAGAGACCAGGTACGGCGACGGTGTTGACGTTGGACCAATTGATGAGACCTTGCTGTTCATGGACAAGTTATGGATAAGATCGTCAACCGATGTCACCGAATCATTCCTGAAGCGGTTATATTTGGTACGTTGAAGCATTCCCTTCTATCACGAACCTTGCATATGTTCTGACAAACCAGGGACCTCCTGTGCTAACATAGCAGGTGATCCAGAATATCAGCGATGGCTAGTGAACATTTGGCAATGGGGCAAGATAATAATAATTTTTAAGTTGCTAAGATTTTTTTCCAAGGGATTTTTGCTTAAGGTTCCATGGTCAAGCTGGGTGCAGCGATAGTTTTCTGTGCAAGAGAACGATCCCAGTCCTGCTCAGAGCTGCCAAGTCTCTCACAGCAAAAGCATGACTCACACAAATGAGAAGGACCCTTTTCAACAAAAGGCTCAGTGAACGCTGCAAATCACTTCCTGTAGGGGGAAAAATCCACCCACTTACAGCACACTACCACCAATCAATTCTCAAATTTCCTTTTCCTCTCTTAAACAGATTCTCCCCCATCTTTCCTTCCTACCCCATTTCTGCAACCAGAGGTGAGTGCCTGCAATAGTTCTAAGTATAACTGCGTTAACCTCCCCACCACCACCCGAACTACTTTTTCATTTTCATTTTCTCCCCTTCTGTCCTGTTCTGATGACTTTATACAGCATGCCTTAGTCAGGCAGGAATAAAGTAACAATTTCAGAAACAACGTTCAGGCAAGCCCACCAGCATACAAATACCTGGAAAGGCTTCCATAATACACAGGAGGATGGCAAATTCTGTGTGGGTTGAGAAATTTATATGGTAAATAATCTAGTCTTTTTCTTTCAGGTAAGCATTAAAACTGTGCTGCTCTTTACCATAATTGCCACATTACAGTTTTTCTTTAAAAATCGTGATGCCATTATGCTTTTGCTTTTTTCATTTCCAAGAGGAAAAATATCTTTGGAAGGGTTTTTTAATGCAGCATTACACTAAAAACTTTTGGCTGGGTAAAAAATGCACCCATCCATGTATTTGGGAGGGGGGTGAGTGTGGCAGTGGCAAGAGGCTTCTGAAACAAGGTTGCTTTTTCTCACACAATTTAATGCAAAGGAGATCTTCACTTTACCTCTCGATACTAAATTTAAATCTTGAAAGCTAAGAAATACGAGAGGATTATTCAAGAGTACTTAAGGCGATGAGCTGATGCCTCGCTTTCAAAAATGAACATGAATACAAAAGGCAATGCTTCAATGCAGTCATAAAAATACACTTACTTGAAAAGATCCTCAACTCACACACCAAATCCCCTGATTTGTTGCAGGCATGCAAAATTTAACATTAGTCTGACAACCCAATATTAACCATACACTAAAGGACTGAGGTTTGGTTAAGCAGCGTATGGATTTCAGTTACTGATGCTGCAAGAAAACAGATTCAGAATGGCACCGCAACTTTTTGAAAAGCAAATAAATAAAACTGCAACATGCAAGTCAACAAATTTCCCAGAGGGTAGCCCACACTCCTTTTTCGTACTGAAGGCTTAAGTACGGAAAATGCATCAACGCAGTAGCATGCTTCACTGCACGTATTTTATGAGAAGAATGCATGATACATAAATGAAGGCAGCACCTCTGATCCCAGTAGTGATGAATGAAAATGTCCTATTCATTGTAAAAGCAGGTTTCTAGTGATCTGCAGAGTAGCTTTTCAGCACACTGCAAACCTGCTACAACATCCAAACTGCATTCATTCCACCACCCCCCCACTCCGCCCCAGCTTCCTCCTGCTACCCTAGCAACAGCAAATATACATCGTATAGATCATTTCTGGTCTTGTGTTCAGCAACAAGCCGGAATCTCTGTCATTCAGAAATGATTCCCTTCATTAGAAGTAGATTTAAAAAAAAAAAAAAACCTGGAAAATGTGAATGGAATTCTCTGTATATCTGAATGAAAGAGCTGGCTAGCATAGCAGCATTTCTGTGAATGAAGCCCGGCCTTGCAGCCTCTGCCAGGCAATCCCTTGGATGCTAAGTATCTCAGCCAATAAGAAACAGTCTGGATGACTCATTCAACAAAGACTCTCTAAATAGTGGAATCTTCCATTTCACACACAGGTAGAATTTATATATATATATACACCAACTTCAAAAGATATAAACATGACCTTCAAATCAAAAATACACACTTGTTTACAGAAGGTATTTCAAGAGATTTTTATCTTGTTTTATTTTTTACAATGTGTATTTGAACTGTTTGGGTGATGATGTGTTTCACCCCTCAAATAGTCATTCCGTTGGTTTAGGCATCCTGAGGATAGGAACGTGATCATACATACTTAGATGCCTATGAATTCACATCGCCAGGTACACTGGGCAAAATTCGGTCATGGGTCAGCTCCCTTGTAAAGAGAAGCTAGAATGTTTGGTACTTTTCAGTTTAGGGACAAAAGGTGGTTAAGGACAAAAGTGGTGTTAATAAAAGTGTGCTTGGTGTTAAGATAATGGATAGAGAGAAGTTATTCTCCCTCTCTCATAATATTAGAACCTGGGTCATTCAGTCAAAATGACTGGTCCAAGAGTCGAGGCAGATAAAAGGAAATATTCTACATGGTTCATTGTTAACTTATGGCATTCAATGTTTTGAAGGCAAGTACAGGGGAAGGCAAATACAGGGGAACCTGGGACGTGGGTGGCGCTGTGGGTTAAACCACAGAGCCTAGGACTTGCCGATCAGAAGGTCGGCGGTTCAAATCCCCGAGACGGGGTGAGCTCCCATTGCTCGGTCCCTGCTCCTGCCAACCTAGCAGTTCGAAAGCACGTCAAAGTGCAAGTAGATAAATAGGTACCACTCTGGCGGGAAGGTAAACGGCGTTTCCGTGCACTGCTCTGGTTCGCCAGAAGCGGCTTAGTCATGCTAGTCACATGACCCGGAAGCTGTACGCCGGCTCCCTCAGCCAGTAAAGCGAGATGAGCGCCGCAACCCCAGAGTCGGCCGCGACTGGACATAATGGTCAGGGGTCCTTTACCTTACAGTGGAACCTAGGGTTGCAAATGTGATCCGTGCGGGAGGCACGTTCGCAACCCACAGCATTCACAACCCGCAGTGCTGCGTCTGTGCACATGTGTGATACGATATGGCGCTTCTGTGCGATTGAGTGCTTCTGCGCATGCGTGAGTGCCGAAACCCAGAAGTAAACCGTTCTGGTACTTCCGGGTTTCGGCGCGTTCGTAACCTGAAAACACATAACCTGAAGCGTCTGTAACCCGAGGTACCACTGTAGTTTAGATGGCTTTAAAGTCTGGGATAGCTCACTTGGTAAAGCATGAGACTCTTAATATCAGGGCCATAGGTTTGAGTCCCACGTTGGGCAAAAGATTTCTGCACTGCAGGGCATTGGACTAAGTTACCCTCATAGTCCCTTCCAGCAGTACAATTCTATTATTCTGAAGTGGGATTAGAGACATTTATGGAGAATGTGGAAGAGTGATCTGAAGTTTACAGCATGTTATTCCTTGAAGGAGAACTACGGTGGTACCTCAGGTTACAGACGCTTCAGGTTACAGACTCTGCTAACCCAGAAATAGTACCGGACTTCCAGGTCAGCGCCATTGGTGAATGGCGGAGTTCCTCCGACCGGAGGAACGGGCTCCGTGGAAACTGGGTCTTCCCGCCGCGGCGAAGGTGGGGACCCGCTAGAAATCCCAGGCAGAGGAGGCCTGGGAACGTGGGGTTCGGCAGGGCACCAGAAGCGCCCCCCTACTCGTGGGGAATCCCATTTAGGGGCTCCGGAGCGAAGTGGGGTGAGAAGCGCGGTGCTGCGAACTGACTGCTACTTTCACGGAGTGAAGCTGCACAGCCATTGCCAGAGAGCGCTGACATTTTCCTGTGGACAATTGGACTTAAAACAAGTACCCGTGAGTAGAAACGGAAAATTGGATCAAGAAATTGCTTAATTTGGTATCGAAGCGGGAAGGTGCAAACAGGAAGTCCGCCTTCCGCTTTTTGCATATAGACTAAAGCAAAAATTTTGTAAGCTAAAGCCGGGAAAGCTGTCAAAAAAGCCTAAATTTCCTTCATTCAGAATCACTGAAACCCCCCTTGGAAGCAGGAGAAAAGGGGGGGGCTCTGTTTAACCCTAGCAGGAGAGGGAGTGAAGAAGGATAAGTTTCCACCATCTCTAACCTGGGAACGGGGTGTCAGATACAGAAACTGTTGGAGTGGCTCATTGACTGTGAATGGAATACTTTGACAGATAGCTAATGAAGAGTGACAAGTTGATTCTAATGTTGCCTTTTGCATTTTAAAGAAACAAAATATCTGAAAAACATCTGAAATATCTGGAAAATGAAAGTAACTTTCCTTTGCCTTTTAAAAAAAAAATGGATACAAAGAGAAATTGTCTCCTCTAGAGGGAGCTTGTTAAATTGTTGAGGATTCAACATCTGTGAGATTAAGATCGTGGGAACAGTCTTTTCTGACCTTGACCAAAGATGAGCTGGGAGGAACATTGGGTGCTTGCTTTATGCAAAACAAATGCCTTGCTGGAACAGATGCACGAGAAGATGGACTTGATGAATGAGAAAATGGATTTGACTGTTGTGGTTAATAACTGTGGACAAACAGGGAATATTGATACAGAAATCATCCAGGGACCAACCTATGATTCTCTATTGACTGGGCAAGTGCAGATGACGATGAAGGAAGATGCGGTTGCACCTCAAATAATACAAATTGAGAGACCCGAGGCCCTACAGGAGCATAAGCCGCTGTAATTGAAGATTGAAGTTGAAGTGGGCCAGGGGGAGTTTGGAGATGGAAAGGTTTCTAACTTTGGAGAGACCTTGAAATATGACATTAAATACTTTTTGGATTATATCGAGGACTGTGGGGAGTGGGACTGTGGGGAATGGGCGGGCTGGATGAAGGAAAATGGAGACAATTTTGGGTTGGAATCCCCCAGAGACCTACTCCTCAATGAGAAAGGAAAGAAATTAAGAAAGAGACCAACAAAAGACAAGGAAAAGGGCAAATATAAACAACAAGAAGAAGAACTGCAGAAGGGACATGGAAGAGACTTAAGGGCCTCGGACATAAGGCTTCCAGGTTGATGGACTAGATGGAATGGATAGTAAGGACTGACACGATCCGAGACCAGGAAGACGAGACGCTGGATGACGATTGGAAGAAAACTTATAAAGGAAACTTTTTATTTAGAATTAGCTTAATGAATATTAGGGGAAATGTTGAAATGAAACTATATGACTCTAGCAGAAATGATATCAGGAGCTATGTATATTTGAAAATTAAGATTTAAGCTTTAAGGTATTTGGGGGTAAGATAAGGTTAAATAAATTAAGGTAATTTGAATAACAGAATATGGGGAAAGATAGAAAGGATTTGTTGAGTTAATTATTAGGTTGAATTGTTAAGATATATTTTTTAACAAAAATTGAGAAAGATGGAAAGAATTTGCTGAAATAATTAATTAAACTAGAATACAAAAAGGGAGGTGTGAGGAGGTCAATGAAACAAGCAAATGGAAATTATAGATATGCAGTTTGGGATTTGTGTCTTTTTTTTCCCCTTCTTTTTTTATTTTGCTGTATTGGTTTTTATGTTCTGTGTTTTTCTCTTTTTTTTATATTGTAGTGTTGTTCTTTATTTTGTCTTTTTTTTGTAATTTTGAAATTATTAATAAATATTATTAAAAAAAAATAAAAAAATAACCCAGAAATATTACCTCGGGTTAAGAACTTTGCTTCAGGGTGAGAACAGAAATCGTGCTCCTGCGGCGCAGCAGCAGCGGGAGGCCCCATTACCTAAAGTGGTGCTTCAGGTTAAGAACAGTTTCAGGTTAAGAACAGACCTGTGGAATGAATTAAGTTCTTAACCCGAGGTACCACTGTACTTGAAAATGATTTACAGATGGTATTTAACTCTGAGTAGAGTTGCTAAGATGTATAAGACTGAATCAGATAAGTACTGGAGATGCGATGAGACTGAGGGTATGTTCTTTCATATGTAGTGGACCTGTAAAAAGGTAACAGTGTATTGGGAAATAATTTATAATGAATTGGGGGAGGGATTAAAAGCACCTTTCCAAAACAAAAAACAAAAAAAAACACCAGTTCTTTTCGTTGGGGATAATTCAGATGGAAATTCCCAGGTGTCAAAAAAGGTTATTTATGTATGCTATTACTGCAGCCTGTGTTTTGTTATCCCCAAAATGGAAAATGAGCAACTAAAGAAGAACAGCAACTTAAACTGAGCGGGTTATAAATAATAAATTATTATTATAAATTATTATTATTATATCAGGAACCATGGGGGAACTCGAGTCAATGTGCATCAGCGGGGCTCCCCCTATTGGTGGTTTACCCTTACAGGACTCCCTGCAGGAGTAAGATATAGTCTGTTTAATTTCCAATGCCTAAGCCAACACCGCTCACATTCTGTAACCAATAAAGTTGTGGCCAAAATTTTGCCCATTAACCATTAACCTAATATACTGTGTACATGTATCATTATTCTTCATGGGGCATGGGGCTTGGGGTCTTGACATGCAAGTGGTCCCCACTGGAGGAGTGGTATGGCCCTAGCCCCTGTCTGGGCATGGACAGGATCCACTCTTTCTGGAGCCTTTGAACAGGATACAATCACCCCTCCAACCAAGACTAAGATTACCCAATGCCTATCTGCCTTACACAGACATAACACACACAAAAATGAAATATTTTACAGAGAGTGGGTTTTTTATGGTGGGTCCTTTGTAGTCCAGAGAAAGATTGGGCTAGGCACACGCCCACCCTTTTTTTGCAAGGCAGATTACAGAACTTCAGAGAAAATTAATCCATCATGGCCTCTATATGGTTAAAATGTGCTGCCTCTCTTAATGGGGGCAAAATATCTCTGCCATTCAATTTTTGAGGGTCATTCTATATAATAATAATAATAATAATAATAATAATAATAATAATAATATGCCCTCAATCTTTCCCAACGTCAGGGTCTTTTCCAAGGAGTCTTCTCTTCTCATGAGGTGGCCAAAGTATTGGAGCCTCAGCTTCACGATCTGTCCTTCCAGTGAGCACTCAGGGCTGATTTCCTTCAGAATGGATAGGTTTGATCTTCTTGCAGTCCATGGGACTCTCAAGAGTCTCCTCTAGCACCGTAATTCAAAAGCATCAATTCTTTGGCGATCAGCCTCCTTTATGGTCCAGCTCTCACTTCCATACATCACTACTGGGAAAACCATAGCTTTCCACAATTACACTAAAGTTAATACCAGTAAGGAAAAAAAATTGGCAACCATAACAGAAGGAACAGTGGTCCAAAAGATCAAGAAGCCAAACTTGTCTGTGGAAGAACTAGGTTCAGTTTCCATGTTGACAGCACCATAGATTCAATATGTGGCCTTGGGCAAATGACATTCTGCTCAGCTTTGGTTTTCCATCTGTAAAAGAGGAAATGGCAGCCACCTGCCTCGTAGGACACCTGTGAACACAATACTGGAAAGCGCTTTGCAAATGAATAAATAGTGCCATTTGAGAGGATGGTAAAGGTGGTTATCGATGAATGAGGATGCAGACTTCCCTGGCAAAAGGGAAAGAACAAGGAAATGGAGAAATGTCACTATGAAGCTCTAATTCTGTCTACCCGGATCCTTGTAGGTTACCAAAAATTGATCTGCACATCACAGTGAACATTTCAAAAATCGATTTCTTTTCTCTATGCCTTAATAAGAGCTGAACTATCTACCTGAGCCTCCTGAGCACTGGAAAAACAGAGTTCACATGAACTCACACAGAGTTCTGTGAGGTGGGAAATGAGTGTTGACCATCATTGAGGACTCCTGACTTTAAAGCATTTAGCAACATTTATTATTATTATTATTTATTTATTTATACATTTATTATTATTATTATTTATTATTATTATTATTATTATATTTTAAAATAAAGTGAATGCAAGCCCTCAGTCATTTTGATGTGCCTATTCCTTTCTGCCCACGCACAGCACATTTCATCTGACACACATGCACAGCCATGTGAATTTCCAAAGGCGAATCAGAGCCGCCATCGGCATCAGGAGAAAAAGCTGTTGCTGTTGGGCGTTCTGATTCAAAGCATTCCTGAGAAAACAAATTCATGAATGGGCTCGCAGCATTCAGATTTCTCCACGCTGGACGTTTGGGTTTATTCTCATTGGACGAGAAGACACCGAACAGTTCTTAGGCTACCGCAACAGCAAGAAGCAAGAAGAGGATGGGAAGACAACGTTGCCTTTCTCTTGTTTCACTAATTCAGACTTCTGTATTACAATAAAGCAGCCTTGCAGCCTCCCCCTTTATATGCACTGTATCCATGGCAA